TTTGTAATAAGTTCTGGTGTTCCACCCACTGTGCACTCTAATGTAAATGAATTCCCAGCCGTAACGGACATCGGTTCTGGCTTCTCTAAAATGACTGCTGGTTCTGAAAGAAGAAAAAGCCGTCTAATCGGTAACATCTCATTGTAAAGCCGAAAATTCATAATGAAATAGCAAATTATGGAAAGCTGATTTTGTGTCCCGGAAGTATGATTACACGGAGCACACGATTTTATTTTTTATTGTTGGCTAGAAGCTTTTACCAACCTAATACTTGTAAAAATGCCGAGCACTCCCTCATCCCCGCGTCATTTTTGATCTGGCAGATGTACTTTCCAACATTGGCTCCTTCTGCGGTTGCGAGCTCGAGAGTAGCAATATTATCCATAAAGGATATCTGAACATTTTCGCTTTCTCTGATGATTTCGCCTTTATCCTTAAGCCACAGAACCGAAATAGGTTGAGAGCCTTCCACCACAGCCTGCAGAGCGGTCGGTTCCCCCACAAAGGCTACAGTGTCACTTAACTTCTGAACAAATCTCGGAGGTTCTAATGATGGGAAGAGTCATCGTAAAAATGTCAGTCAGCTTTAGAGAGAAATAGCCATAATGCCAAGAAAAGAAAACGTGAATGCTGCGTCTGCTCCTTTATACAAACCTTTGAATTTCACAGCGCAAACACAAGTGTCACTTCCCACTTCATTCATGGCTTTGCATTGGTACTCCCCAGTGTCTGAAGCTTCAAGGTTAAGAATGTGAACGCTGGCTGTGAAGTCTTTAGATGTAACTTTGAACTTCTTACTGCTTCTGACTTGCCTCCTGTCTTTGAACCAGGCTACTTCAAATGGTGGGGTTCCCGAAATTTCACACTGAATGACAACATCCGAACCTTTAAGTGTGTCTACCGGGGTAGGTTTCTTGCTAAAAACCGGAGGTTCTATAAAAAAGAATAACATCAGAGCCTATAAGTGTGTTTGGATAGGTTTCTCGTTAACAACAGGGGCCAAGATATTCAGAAATAGGAGCCTAAAAAGTTATGCTCGTAAAGTCATATTTAGACCTCCAAATGTGACCTAGCTTTCGAAAGTGCTGAGCAGCTAACAGTTCACATTGAGGTCATACTTATTTCTACATCTATAAATTCCTAGTATAGAAATTTGATACCTATGCAAATACTTTGAATTCAGAAATCCTATTCAGTTTCCCAAAGAGAGGATGTTAATAAGGATGGGCTTCTCTTGGCTTGACCTTCAAGACACTTCACTTTAGCCCGCCCTACGATCGGATCTATTAACTTTGTCCACTTCAGCTTCCTCTCTTCTAAAATTTCTAGACTTTACTGCCAGTCCGCCTCTCCCAGCCACGCCTACGTTCTTTCCCATGCTGCCCTTATGCATGACACAGCTCCCCAAAATTGATAAATCCGCTACCCTGTGAATGCCTTCTCACATTCCACTTCTGCCAGGATACTCGCAGAGCTCTGCCCGCTGATAGAGAGTAGGTAGAGAGCTGGCTACAAGGAATACCCAACTACTTTACACCAAAACAACGTGGTAGTACTACTCCTGTTTCTTTCTCCTCCCTTGGCCTATCACCTATCTGTTCGTTCCATTCACCTGTTGCATCTTGTCATTAGACAAGGATCGAAGGTCTTTATGGAAGGGACTGCCTCCTTACTGCGTGTTTATACAGCGCCTTGCACTATGGGTCCCCGACTGGGTTCTCTAAATACTGCAGCTACTAATGCCAATAATGTGTGATACACACAGTCATTTGGGTTAGGATGGGATCTTGCTCCAAGTGTTTTGCTATTTACGTCGATGGAAGCAGGACGGAGCAATCTTTTGAAGCAGCTCTTTAGATTGATTTTGCTATTTTGAGGGTGCACAGTCGCTTAGGTAAAGGCACTGCGTAAGAATGGAAGGAAATAAGAAAAGAAACGTGAAATAAAGGCTTCTAACCTTTTACTGTGACAACAGTACTGCAGCTTGCAGTACCAGCAGAATTGTGAGCGTCACAAATGTAATCTCCACTATCTTCAATGTTAGCATCAGTAATGGTGAGAACTGCCACAGAGTCACTGAATGAGATCCTGTATTTTTCACTAGCATGGATCTCAGTGTCGTTTCTGTACCACACAACTTTGATTTCGGGGGAGCCACTTATTTGACATTCAAGTTGAACTGAATCCCCCTGTTTCGCGAATCTTGAAGCTTCTAGTTTCTTAACAAACTTTGGTGCTTCTATAAACGAAATAAATAAATATAAATAAACAACATTCAGTTTTTCTCAAAATGATTTTGTCAAAATGATTGTGCAGAATAAGCGCCCTTGGGAGGATAAGAATTTTGTAACTTGCTAGAATACCACAGGGACAAAATTAAATTAGGCTTGCCTTAGAATGACAAAAAGAAGGGAGAAGAAGATGAAAACAATATATCTAAAGCTAAATTATGTTCCCAGCTACATAAATGGAAATGTAGAAACACTCCACTGAGCCCAAAGGAGTTGCTCCAAAGCATGAACGACATCCGTGGTGAAAATTCAGGCCCCAATGAAGTCAATGGGAATTTTGTCATTGACTTCATCGGGGCCAAAATTTATGTATATATAAGCGTGTAGGCTCTCCCTCTGTATACACATCTACACAATTTTAAACCTAAAAAAAAAATCCATGCAGGTTTTGGGATGAAGACCATGGATGGTTCATACTCCAGTGTAGTTCACCCATCTATAAAAGGTAAGTGAAATATCCATTAAAGTTGAAGACTTAATTGACGACCGTTTACTGCCCTAAAATATACAATAAAAAGACACTACCTTTTTTCCAATTTCTAAGTTTTATCAGTTTGCTATTTTATCTACAAACACCTTCCAAACACCTCTACATAAAAGTGTCACCATATTCTAGCTTAAAAATTAAATCAATACTCAAAGAAGACAATCAAACTTAGAAAAAGACATGGAAGATAATAGATAAAACTACATATAACGTATAATGTCAAGAGGAATTAAGGGAGAAATTAACGCGTTTGCATATACAGTACACAAAATTTACGCTCTCAAACATTGCAGCATGAAAAACAAGATGAAGATTTAAAATCTATGATAGCCACAGTTTAATGTTTGTAGTTTGAAAAGGTCCTCTCAGTTTACCTCCAACATTTGAAGACACAGAGGGCATAAAAATAAAACTACTTTTCTCCCAAGAAAACCTCACTAATAAGGCCTACTTAATACCAGTACCTTTGACATTAAGTTGGGCCGAGCAAAAGTTTTTTCCAACTTCGTTGCTAGCTTGGCAGGTATACTGGCCAGAGTCTCCTTTGCCTGCTCTCAGAATTCTCAGGTGAGCTGTGTTTGCTATAAAGGTAATATTATAGTTTCCTCCCGTTCGGATCTCTCTGCCATCTTTTGCCCAGGTGACATGTATTGGCTGGGCTCCAGTAACATGACATTCAAAATCAGCACTTTCTCCAGTAGGAACTTCCATGGATGCAGGTGTTATATCAAAGAAGGGAGGTTGCTTGGGTTCTAGAAATTAAAAGTAACAGTAGAATACTGAATGCTTTGTATTCTCATTGAAAGAGTCATCAAACATTGTAGAGATCAGTTCACGTACAAAGAACAAAAAACTAGACCATGCTTTCAATAGAAAAAGATTCAAGAGAAAACGAACCTGAGACTGTGAGCCTAGCGCTAGAGGTAGCCGTTCCAACAGCATTGGTAGCTGTGCAAGAGTATTGTGCAGTGTGACTCATCTCCGTTTGAGACAGCTGGAGAATCGCTACATTATCTACGAACGAGGTTTGCACATTATGGTCATCTCTTAAAGGTACACCATTTTTATACCAAGTCACGCTAATAGGCTCTGAGCCATTTAGACGACAGGTAAATTTAACTGGTAAGCCAACTGTTTGTTCAATGTCCTTTAATTTCCTTGCAAAGGAAGGCGGAAGTTTGCGCGCTGTAAAAAAAAACCCAAGTATGTAATAAATGTTTTGTGTGGAATTTTTCTATACCGAAAGTTTTGCAAGAAAGAATTAAAAAGAGTAGTTTTGAAAAAGCAAACATAATAATCATCACCTTGAACTGTTAAGAGAGCCTTTGTAGTTGCAGTTCCAACACTGTTTTCTGCTTTGCAGATATATTCTCCGCTGTCATTGTTATCCACTTTGTTAAAAACTAGAGTAGCAACATTGTCTCTAAAGAACATTTTATACTCAGGAGTAGATCTTAGTTTTGTATCTCCTTTGTACCAAGACACTGTAATTTCTGGTGTTCCAGCAACTTGGCAATGTAAAGTTGTATAATCTCCAACTGACACTTCCAGAGGTCCCAAGTGTGTAACAAAATAAGGAGGTTCTAAAAAAACCAAATAGTCAGAATGAGTAAGGAATATTTATACCTTAGGAGCGACGCTCTGATAAGCATGATGAAGAAAAATTAAATAACATGGTAACACACCTAATGTAGACACTAGTGCTTCACAAACATCCCCTCCCGCCTCGTTCTCAACATGGCAAGTGTATTCTCCTTCATCATCTTTTGTACTATTGAGAATTTCCAGAATGCAAGATTTTTCCGTTGTGATGATGCTGCATTTTTCAGACTGAGTTATAGTTTTGCCATTCTTCTTCCATACAACCGAGATTGGGAGGCTACCAGTGTATGTGCTTTCCAGAACTATGGATTTTCCTGGCTCAACACAGTGATCACTCAATTTCTTCACAAACACCGCTGGTTCTAATGAGCAATAAGAAGTCGAAAATATTGAGTCCAACTGTACGAAGATGTATATATTTTAGAGAAAAAAAGAGACATTTCAATCTGTACAAACCTTTTACAGAAAGATGTGCTGTACAGGATGCTTTTCCAGCATCGTTAGTCACTAGGCAAGTATAATCTCCGCTCTGAAGCGGACCAACATCAAACAACTCCAGTACTGCAACCGAATCCTCCAAATAGACATTACATTTATCCCCCGGCACCAGTTCATTGACCCCTCTAAACCAGTTCACCTTGAATGGAGGGGTTCCTCTGATAACGCTTGTGAAAGTTACACTTGTGCCTGGTAAAACATCCGAGGGTTCGGGCTTCTTCACAAAAGAGGGTGGTTCTAAACAATTTTTTTTAAAAAAAAAAGTCAAGTCAGTATCAAATAAACCTGATCTTTACATGTACAATGTGAAGATGAAGAGCAAAACATTTTATGTTCGAATGAATAGTTTCCCTCCAAATATGCCCAGAAAATAAGAGACATTTCCAAGAAAGAAAGATTGTTATATAGAAGAGGATTTATGGCAAAGAGCTAATTGGCCATCACATACTGACCTTGTACGTTTAATACAGCTCTGCATTCATCAGACCCGGCTACATTAGTAGCTTTACAGGTGTAACTTCCCGTATCTGATGAGTTCAGTGAATTCAGTTGCAAAACACAGAGGTTATCTGAAAACGTGGTTTGATGTTTTTCTCCACTAACTATCTTATTTCCATCTTGAAACCAAGCGATTGAAATAGGTGGCGACCCAGATACTTTGCACTCCAGAAGCACCGAAGAACCTAGCACACCATTTGTTTCTTTTAATTTTCTTGTGAAAGAAGGCGGAATGATACGATCTGTGTAAGAAAATGTAACAAATCCACAGCAGTTTAAAAGGCAGGAACATTTCCCAAAGAAAAGCTCGGCGAAATGCAGAAGAAAAATTACCGAACCAACCTAAAACATCAACTGAGGCTGTGCAGCTGGTCTTCCCAACGTCGTTCTGCACGGCAAAGGTGTACAATCCGCTGTCTCCCTTTTCCGAATCGAGAATTTTAAGCGTAGATACTTTGTTATGGACGGTAATTTTGTATTTGTGGCTGCTTGTCAGTTCTTTCCCATCCTTAAACCAGCCAACTGAAAGTTCGGGTGTGCCCGCCACTTTGCACTCCAAAGTGCAAACATCTCCCACCGTCACTCTCATTGGTTCTGCCTTCTCTACAATGATTGCCGGCTCTGGAAGGAGATGTGAGCAACAGTCATTGTAAACAACTCATCTTACTCGCTAGCTTTCTATACTTTGTACCACCACATTAGTACAAATAACTGTTTTGACTGTATTTAATACAAATTGCATTGCAACCTGTCGAGTCAGGGGAGTTTATGAAACTTTCTTTCTCCCACCGTTTGTCTGTCTATCTTACACTGTAAGTAGTTTGGGGGCAAGGACTATTTCTTACTATGTATTTGTGCAGCGCCCAGCACAATGAGGATCTTAGTTGGGGACTTTAGATGCTGTCCTAATATAAATAAAATAAATAAATACAGAGGAAAAGAATAGTACGGACTCCACATCTGACCATATGTGTAAGACAAAGCGGTGATATTTTCTCCACTTGGTTTCACCAGTCTCTCTCTCTCGGACCTCGACTGAGCAGAGGATAAGAGTTATGAATGGTGCCAAATTATGAAGTGGTTTCGTGACCAATAATAGTTGGGGACAAAGAGGCGGTCAGTTTCATTTCAATTTTAAAATCACACTCAAAAAGGTGTGTTGACCCCATATGTCACCTAGCCTCCTGAACTTTATAAAGATGGGCAGGGAATGCATAACTTGGTGCTTACTTTATCTGTTCATTCCCTCGGAAGCACTTGGCATTGGCCATTGTCTGGAGACAGGACACTGGGCTAGATGGACCTTTGGGCTGACCCAGACTGACTGTTCCTATGTTCTTTTGGATGCAGGTATTCCCCCAATCCCCACCGTCATCTTTGTTACCAACCTAGAACTGTTAAGGTAGCCATACACTCCCGAGTTCCAGCATCATTGCTGATCTGACAGATATACTTCCCAGCGCTGCCTGGTTCTGCGTTTGCCAGCTGCAGAGTTGCAACGTTGTCCGCAAATGCAATCCTAGTGTTTTCACTTTCTCTAACGACTTCTTCCTTGTCTTTAAGCCACTGGACAGAAATTGGCTGAGAGCCTTCCACTGTTGCTTGTAATTCTACTGGTTCGCCAACCACAACTGAGATACTGTTTATTTTCGTCACGAATTTTGGTGGTTCTGAACAAGAAACATGTGATTGTAGTAAAGATCTCCAGCATTCGCGTAAGAAACCATCAATAAGCGTCTTCTATGCGGGACCTGACACAGATTCTATACAAATAAACTCACCTTTCAGTTGTACAGTGCAAATGCAAGAGTCACTCCCGACCTCGTTCTGTGCTTTGCATTGGTATTCGCCAATGTCTGAGGCGTCGACATTAAGAATGTGAATACTCGCATGGTAATTTTTGGATGTAACCTTATACTTTTTACTGCTGCGGATTTGTCGCTTATCTTTATACCACGTGACTTCGAATGGGGGCGTTCCAGAAATTTCACATTCAAGACTCACATCAGTACCTTTGAGCATGTCTACTGGAGAAGGCTTCCTGCTAAAAACAGGAGGTTCTACAAAAAGAAAAGCAGTTGGCATTGTTATAACGTTATTTGGCTATATGTAACGAACTTTAAAGGGATTCTTACAAAGTTATCACAGTAGCACCAAGATTACGTTTTATGGGGAAAATCCGTGGAATGGATTTGTATTCTCCGGATTTTCTGGGCATATACTGTAATGAGCTCTGTCTATTTTGGAGGCTGACAAGGAGACAGATACGTGCTTTTGTAGCAACTCTTTTTGCGAATGTATACAAAGGAAACAACAGTGTTACAGAATAGGAGCTACTCCCATATGGCTGAACGCAGTAACACCCAATACCGTTATGTACAATTAAAATTAATCAGATTCCTGTTTCTGATCCTGAAAATTTCAGCGCCATGAGGCAGCAAATTTTAGGATTCTGAGAGTCATGGTGCAACTGAAGGAGTAATTTAGGAATAGCCTCCACATCCGTGAAAGATGGAGTAAGGGTAACATCTTTAAAATGTCTTGCCCATGCCCCGATGAAATATAGTAGAACGTGGCGAAAAGTGGACAGGAAGAAAAAGGCTACCCCAGAGAAAGAAATAAGCAACGTTCACTTGTGAATGTCTGAGTGGAGAATCACCGAAAATTAAGTACGAACTAATATGGGGAAGAATGATTTCTAACCTTTCACTATAACCTTAGTACTGCAGCTCGCCCTGCCAGCAGGATTGTGAGCTTCACATATGTAATCCCCACTGTCTTCAGTACTGAGATGGTTCATTTCAATCACTGCCACAGAATCACTGAAGGACATCCTGAATTTTTCACTGGCAATGATTTCATTGTCATTTCTGTACCACACCACTCGGATTTCTGGAGATCCACTTATTTTGCATTCAAATCGTGCGGAATCACCGCGTTTTACTACTTTTGATGCTTCTAGCTTCTTAACAAACTTTGGAGGTTCTATTAAACAAAAAAAAGAAAGTGGAATAAATAGGGGAGACAAAAGAGTGATTTCAGAATTAATATTGAAAAATAAAGAGAGAGAGAGAGAGAGAGAGAGAGAGAGAGAGAGAGAAGAACAAATTAAAGAAATCCGATACTAAACATGAGTTAAGAGTTTCTAAAATCAAGAATGCACAAAAATAATGATCTTGGAACTATTTATAAGAACGATACTGGGCTCGACAAAAGACAGACAAGAAGAGAGCAACACAAAACAAGTCCATGTGCACACCTGTTACCAGCAAGGTTGCAGTACAAGAATCGCTACCAACGTCATTGGAAACTTGGCAAGTATAGTATCCACTCTTTGAAATATCCACCGAATAGAGAGTTAAGAAACCTGTTGACCCTTCTATCCCAATAAAACAATTAGCTCCAGATACAAGTTCCAAATCTTCTTTAAACCACTTTATTGCAAACGGAGGCGTTCCTTTCAACACAGTCTTAAACTCCACCGTAGAATTCGGGACGGCTTGCTGGTTTTCAGGTTTTACTAGGAAGCTTGCTGGCTCTACAGTTTTCAAGGGAAAGAAATGTTTAGTTAAATCCTGGGCAGAAGGTATGTTTGAAAACCAAACAAAGTGAACTATCAAGAACACTAAGAATTCTAAGTACTCCTTAAAGAAAATGAAGCGTCACACAAAGAGCAAAAATTATACGGTAACTTTTCGCAATATTATTCAAAGCTATAAGATGGCAATTATTTTTAAAAGATGTATTTTTCAATATCTACTATAGTTAAGAGAAGACGTAAAGAGTTCCAAACCTTTCACTGTTAAGACGGCGCTGCAAGAGTCACTCCCAGCAATATTAGTTACGCTACACGTGTAACTTGCAGTATCTGCCAACTCTAGTTTAGAAACCTCCATTGATACGGTATTCTCATGGCATAGGCTCCTGTATTTTGCACTATCATGTATTTCTTTTCCATCCTTATACCATTTAGCAGTAATGGGGAGTGAGCCAGAAACCTTACACTCCATATGAATAGACGATCCCAGAACTTGATCTATTTTCGTTAATTTTTTGGTAAACGATGGAGGGATTGTTTGATCTGCCCAACAAAATGGCAAAAACAACAGTTAACGTCCTGCACCTCAAATTGCCTCCCGGTATGTGTGAAGCTATTAAATTTTTTTCCACAAAGAAAGCAAAATGCAATGGAGCAAAATACAAACCTAAAACTGCCAAAACAGCTTCACAGGTGCTGCTTCCAAAATCATTTTCAACCTTAAAAGCGTATGTACCACTGTCCTCCTTCATTACCGATTCAATCCTGAAACTGGCCACGTTACTGTCAAAGCTCATGGTATAATATCTACTGGGCAGAAGCTGTTTGCCATCTTTAAACCATTTCAGTTTGAGTTCTGGTGTTCCAGCCACAGTACATTCCAAGGTCACTGGGTCTTTTTCAGTCACTTTAACTGATTTAGTCTTTTCTATGATCTGAGCGGGTTCTGCAGTAAGAATTAAAGTGTAGACTCGTTATAGTTCTCGCTACTGGTGAGCACGTGTCTTTTAAACTACTTCTACGAAAAAGGCTTGAAAGTACATAGCTCACAAACCTTGTACTAAGAGCAAGGCAAAGCATTTTTCAACTCCTGACTCATTCTTTGCCTGGCAGGTGTACCTCCCCCTGTGACCAATATCAATATGTTTTATTTTCAGTATGGCCACATTGTCCTCGAACGTAATATGGAAGTTCTCATCTTCCTCGATAATTTTTTCATCTTTTATCCACGACACTGATAAAGGATGAGCACCCGCTACCGTGCATTGAAAAACAGCGGAACTTTTCAAGACGGTAGCGACGTTTTCTATCTTCTTTATGAAGGAAGGTGGTTCTGTGTTTTACAAAAAGAAGCCACGATAAAAGATATTGTTTAATCCTTATTAAGATACTAAAAAGTAGGTAAGAAACTGAATGTTGGAGTCCCCCCCCCCATCGTGGTAACTGAACTGACCTTTTAAACTGACTCTTGTGCTGCAAGAACAACTACCCCCATCATTGGATATAATGCACTGGTATTCCCCAGCATCTGAAAAATCGCAGTTGGTTACGACAAGGGTGAATATCGATTCCCTGTCGCTCATGGCGTATTTTTTGCTGCTGCGAATCTCCTTGTTATTCTTCAGCCATGTCACTTCAAATGGAGGAGTACCGGAGACTTCACATTCCAGCATGGCATCAAAACCCTTCACTACCTCAGCAGGTTTCAACTCCCTTATGAATGTGGGAGGTTCTATAAAAAAAATCAGGAGGAAAACACATAGCAGCTTAGGAAAACAGGAAAAAAACCCGCATGACTGCAAAAAAATAAAAATAAAAAAAAAGAGGTGGGTGGGAAGGCTAATAACTAACCTTTCACTTTCAGTTCAATGCTGCAGCTCTCACTACCTGCGTCGTTGTGAGCTTCACAAACATAAATCCCACTATCCTCTATTTTGGCACTGGCTACTTTGAAAGTGGCAAAACCGTCTACGAATGCAATGCCATACTTAGCAGGGTCAGTTACTTCATTCCCATCCATATACCAAGTAACGTGGATTGCGGGCGTGCCTGCTACTTGGCATTCGAAACTGGTGGATTGTCCTTTTCTCAAAACTACTACGGGACTAGGCTTCTGAATAAACCTGGGTGGTTCTAAATATGAACAAAAAGGCAAGACTTTATTTACTCAATTTACATTCAAGAAATATTTCTTTTCTAATAAAAAAGAAACAGAACCCAGGAGATTAAAAGGGTATAAGAATGCACACCTTTCACAAAAAGGGCTGCTTTGCAAGTTGCTGTCCCAACATCATTGCTTATTTGACAGGTATAGTTCCCTGAATCAGAAGTCTTTGCTGAAAACAGCTCTAGCACACTTGACGTGTCATCCTTCCAGACAGAGCGAGTGGCTCCTGAGAGAAGTTCTTTGCTATCTTTAAACCACTTTATCTGCATAGGAGTGGTACCATTCACAAGAGCTTTGAAGAGAACTCTAGCATTGGGTATAACATCTTGTGACTGTGGTTTTTCAACAAAATAAGGGGGTTCTACAACGAGTAAAAGAGAGGAGGAAAGAGAAGGGTAGGAGAAGAATCATTTTATGATCAAAAAGTCCAAAATAATAAATTGAAGGTCTTGTGTTTGCGAAAGAATAAGAAGCTCAAACCTTTGACTGTTAAATATCCACTGCACTGGTTACTTCCTGCTTTATTTGTTGCCTCACAAGTATAAGATCCACTGTCTGAACCTTCCAGCTGGTTGATTTCCAGGAATGCAGTGTTATCATGGAAAGAATATTTGTATTTTTCACTAGCCGTTATCTCTTCGTCATCCTTGTGCCACTGGATACTTATAGGATGTGAACCAGACACTATGCACTCTAAGTGAATGAAAGAACCCTTAATGCTGTCCATTTTCTTTAGCTTTTTTGTGAACTTGGGCGGTATGATAAGATCTATCCAACACAGTAAAAGCAAAGTGTTAGCTCATTTGGCCATAATGCTAGTTCTGGTATCAAAAAAGTAAAGCACAAATATATTTTACATCTCCCTTCCGCCCTCCCCACCCGGAAGAGAGACACAATACAAACCTAGCACATTAATGCTAGCGGTACAGCTGCTGCTTCCAACATCATTTTGAACCTCAAAAGTGTATTCTCCGCTATCTTTCTTTTCCGTATGAACTATCTTTAAGGCGGAGACTTGATCTGTAACACTGATTTTATATTTCGGGCCCAAAGTCAACTCTTTTCCATCTTTGAACCATTTGGCTGCAATGTCTTTAGTGCCTGAAAATCTACACTGCAAGGTTGCTGGGTCTCCCTCCGTGACGTCAATTGACACGGCCTTGTCAGTTATTGTTGCGGGTTCTGATAAATAAAGGGATATATAGTATATGTTAAGTGTATTTTTAATATTCACCGTACACATGAATATGCGATTGTTCGAATTCTTTGAAAACATTCAGTGCTGAACCAACCTTTCACTGTTAGTAAAGCAGAGCATCTTTGAATTCCCGCATCATTTTTAGCCTGACAGAAATATTTCCCATCATGCTTCACTTCAATAGACCTGACAAGGAGAGTGGCCATGTTGTTCACAAACGTCATTTTGATATTGTTATCTTCAATGACGTCATCGTTATCTTTCAACCACGACACTGTGATCGGCAAAGAGCCCTTCAGGGCGGCCTGAAACACAGCGGACCCTCCTCTGAGAGAGCTAATGTTTTCAATCTTCTTCACAAATTGCGGGGGTTCTATCGGGAGAAAAAACAGACTCTCGGTAAGTTTCAGCTGGAGGGCAGAACGGTGTAAGGTAGAAGAACATACTTCAGCTCTATTTCCCCGACTGATACCAACCTTTTAGGGTCACCCCAGCGCTGCAGACGCAGCTTCCTACCGCGTTAGTTACTCTGCACTGGTATTCACCAACATCGGAGGCATCAAACCTGAAAACGTGGAGGCTAATCAATGAATCCTCAATGCTTATTCTCTGCCTCCTACTGCTTCTGACAGGCTTGTTGTCCTTCAACCAAAATACTTCAAATGGAGGCGTACCCAGCACCTCGCACTCCAAAGCAACATCAGAATCCTTCAATACTTCCATGGGCTCAAACTCCTTGCTAAAATAAGGTGACTCTATAGCGCAAGAGAGAGATTGTGGTTTGTATTAATTAAGCATTGGAACCTTTTAAGGATGCAACGAACTTGGAGCGGGAATTGGGGCCGGGGAAATTTGACACAAACCTTGGACTGTGACAACACTACTGCAAATATCTTTGCCGGCATCATTTTTGGCCTCACAGATATATTCCCCACTGTCTTCAATCGCCACACCTATAAGTTTGAGAGTCGCCTTGGAGCCCACGAAGGACATCTTGTATTTGGCGCTTTCCTGAATTTCCCGGTCACCTTTGAACCAGGTGATTTTTATCTGAGGGGTGCCAGTTACTTGACAATCTAATTGCGCGTAATCTCCTGTCTTTAACAGCTGTGATGGCTCTGGCTTCTCGACGAAGGTAGCAGGTTCTATGGATTTAAGATAGGCATTAAGAATACAGAAAGAGGCGAAGGGTGTAAAAGGCAACAATGGGCTAACTTCTCAGTTCACCGGCACCTTGACGGCTGCGCCAGTGTGACTGAGAGCAGCCCAACAACTCAAAGATGTCAATAAAGAAAGGGAATGCAAACCTTTCACAAACAAGTTTGCACTGCACGCAACTGAACCAGCCACGTTGCTGACTTTGCAGGTGTACTCCCCTGAGTCAGACGGCTTTACTGCGTAGAGTTCCAAATAACTCGCTAAAGCTTCAGTCATAATATAGCAGGCTCCGCCGGTTTCCAGCTCACGGGCACCCTTAAACCACTGTATTGTGAGTGGCGGTGTTCCTTTTAAGGAACTCTTCAAACGCACCGTCGATCCGGGTGCTACTTCTTGGGACTCTGGTTCTACAACGAAGCTTGGTGGCTCTAAATGGGCGTTTAAAAGAAATAATTGCAAAGAGTAAGAAGTGTAACCTGCGTGGTGGGGAAGAATGAATCATTAAATGACACATCAAGAAGAAAATACAAAACGATCTGCCAAACCTTTTACAACCAAAGTGCTACTGCTTTCTTTACTGCCCGCAGCGTTTGTGGCCCTGCAAGTGTAAATGCCAGAATCGTTCGTGTCTAGATGTTTTATTTCCAAAGACGCAGAACCTTCCGCAAACACTACTGTGTATTTGGCACTGGTAGTTAGCTCGTCGTCATGCTTAAACCACGAAACACTCATTGGAAGGGAGCCAGAGATTTTGCAGTCCATGCGGCAGGAGGCGCTAACTATGCTGTCAACATTCCTCAATGGTTTAACAAAGAACGGAGCAATGGCTCGGTCTGTTCAGTACACAACAAAGAAAAAACAATACGTGCAATGAGCATTTCAAGGTGTAACCTGATTTCTGCCCTATCTGGGCTTTAAATCTGAACAGTGTTGTCCTTTGCAAAGAGCAAGATACCAACCTAACACAGTGAACGTGGTGGTGCACGAGCTGCGTCCAACATCGTTCGCAATCTCGAACGTGTACTCGCCACTGTCCTGCATTTCGGCGGTATAAAACTTTAGCTGGGCAACGTTATTTTTAAAACTGATTCTATACTTTTTGCTGGAAGCCAGCGGTTTGCCATCTTTGAACCATTTCGTTTTTAACTCTGGAGTGCCTGCAACTGTATATTCCAAAATTGCTGGGTCTCCTGCAGTCACCTCAATCAACTCAGGTTTCTCAGTAATTTGGGCAGGTTCTATAACAGAATTAAACAGTTGTTATTAGGGTCAAAATGGAATCGCTTTCCATTATATGTAGAATGCTGCGAAGTTAAAGTGTTCCTACACGGACCTTTCACTGCTAATTCTCCAAAACACGTTTGACTTCCTGCATCATTCTCCGCCACACATGTATACTTGCCACCAGAACTAATCTGGACACCCGTGATCTGCAGCGTTGCAAGACCACTTTCAAAGGTCACTTTGACTTTGTTATCTTCTTTAATAATGTCTTTCCCCTTCATCCACGTTATAGAAATAGGAGCGGACCCTTTCACAACGGACTGTAAAGTAACTGTGTCTTCAACAAGTGCAGTCACATTTTCGACTTTCTTAATAAAAGATGGTGGTTCTATTTCGAAAGAAAAAAAACTTACTCATTACTACATCTTTCCCAAGCCCATGATGCAGCATATTAATGGTTATTTTAAAAATAAACTTGCCTATTATATAGCATCAATGCACTGGTTAATTAGCTACATCAGGAGGAAAATTTTGGGATGGGTCGGGGAATTGCATTTCCAAGCTGGATAAGCGAAGGGTTGAACACATCACTTAACATAACGTGTTCAGCCACCATGTGGGTGGGGGTGAATGGTAACTGAATTGCTGTCACTTCTTGCAGCCTAGCATAAGATTTTGCACTGATAGCAATTCTACTAAAATTTGCCTTCTGCTTTCCCTTCCAAATTCAGAAGCATGATGGCAGATACACACAAGATATAATGGTATATTAAAGAGAATAAGAAAATAGGGGGGAAACAATTAAGAAACAAGTTTTTAAGAGACAAGATTTTTTCTACCTCTACAGTATGTTAAGAGTTTTCCTTTGCTCACTGACCTTTCAGTATGAACGTTGCACCGCAGAAGCATTTACCAACTTCGTTAGCTACAACGCACTCATATTCACCAACATCTGCACTATTAAAGGAAGAGATCTCCAGAAAAACAAGAGATTTCTGAGAGATCAATCTGTATTTTTTACTACTGCGAATCTGCTTCTTGTCTTTAAACCAGCTAATTTCGAATGGTCCAGTACCAGCAACCTCACACTGAAGTGTAGCGTTTGTTCCTTTCACTATCTCTGCCGGTTCAAGTGTTTTGATGAAAGAAGGAGGTTCTATAAAAGTATTAAAGCATCAATAAAGAATTAGTTACTGACACCAAAACAGAAAGTCATTTCTCAAATAAAATTGCCAGTGATTGTAAGAACAAACCTTTGACAACTATTTCAGTGCTGCAGCTATCATTGCCAGCATCATTAACCGCTTCACAAGAGTAACTTCCACTATCGTCAACTTTCACGTCGGAAATATCTAGCACAGCTACAGAGTTGACAAATGACATTCTGTACGTGTTACTCTCTCTAATTTCTTTGTTATTCTTGAACCACGTAACTTGGATTTCAGGAGACCCTTTGATTTTGCACTGAAGGTGTGCTGACTCGCCCGGTGTCAATAAATAAGATGGATCCACCTTCTTCAAAAATGATGGTGGCTCTAAAGGAAGATTTCAAAAAGAAAGAAACCTGAAATTTGAAGCTCTGAAAGATTGATTAAACACATCAACATTTAGAGGTGCTAACAGGAATCTCAACCAAGCCACAGTTCTAGTGATTCCTGTTAAAAAAAAAAGCTTATTTAAACAAAGAGAGATTACATCCTCCCCACTCCGGAATAAACTAAATAACTTCTTGGTGAAAATACATGTTTATTTAAACAAAGAATGAAAGATTAAAAAACCCAAGAATAAATTAAAGAATTTATTGGTAAAAAGAAATATTAGGCGACACGGACTACACTGAGAGTTTAAAAAGGAACATTCATTAATAACAGACAAAATACGTTAAATAAAGACAGGAACACGGAGTGCATACAGTGTACTCTAAACACAGAATCCTGAGAGCAATACTGACTAAGAACAGTTTACCTCTCAGTGGAATTAGACATCATCCCATGCATTCTATCGCCTGTATTTCTAGCCTGCGTAGATTTAATAGATATTTCAAGAAATATAAAGTTCAAAGTAGATGAACAACTTTCTTACCTCTGATTGTGACAGTTGCAGAAGAGGAACTACTTCCAGCCTCATTCGAAGCCGTGCATACATAATTTCCTGAATCTTTAAGTTTAGCCAGGGGGATTTCAACTGATGCTATTTTGTCTTCAAAACAAATTTTATAATCTTTGCCTGGGGGTATTTTGTTCCCATCTTTATTCCACGCTACTGTTACTTTCCTATCTTCATCTACTTGGCACTCCAGACGTATCTTCTTATTGACAGCAGACTGCACCGACTGTAACTCCTTAATGAAATGAGGCTTATCAATAATTACCATTTCCCCCTGGCAGATGTCAGCTCCAAACTTGTTTGAGGCTTTGCAAGTGTAAACTCCTCTGTCGTTTACTGTAACATGTTTAATCTCTAAAATATGCTTATTATCAACGGTTGAAATCTTGTGATGTTCTGAAGAAGAGATGGCAGCGCCGTCTCTCTGCCACACCGTGTCGATCACCGGAGTGCCTGACACGGTACACAGGAACCTGGCACTTTTACCCACAAAAGTAGTGATAGATTCGGGTCTGGTTAGAAAGGTTGGAGGAAACGCTTCTGCAAAAAGAAATGGTTTCATGGTTATACTGGGCTGGCACCAAAGCCACTATTGTCTCTATATATGCCAAGGGCAGAGAAAAGGAGGAGAATAGTTTGTCTTCGGACACACGTTTCAAATTTGTTTAAACTAAGGGTTGAACAATAAAGAAACTGAAAAGCGGAAAAAGAATGAAAAACATTTTGACCGTCTGGATCGATATATAGCAATGACGAGTGTAGATCCAAAAGCCAGTATTTCATTTAGCAAGACTGGCCAAAATGCCAAATGCTTGTGATTCTGTTATTAATTTATGCTGCTTTCATAATTTAGCCAGTAATGACTGATCCAATAAGGAAAGGAAACCGAAAACCAAAACCCCCATACATTTAGACCACAGCAAAATATAGAGGGGAAACCTATAAGATATTATAAATGTGTTGTTTTTGAGATGTTCATAAAATCCCGTAAATTGAGATATGCCTGTAAACATCTTTTATTCATTGCACGATCACTCTACTCAACCATTCAGTAATTACTGCCCAAGCACGGCGCTTGAGTGTTAAATAAAGCAGAGTACAACTAGAAAATGAATTAACGTAAGTATATACTAAGCACTACATCGAAGAAACTGGATCCTATACAAATCTTCAAGACGACTGATGTCATATATTAAAAATAATTTGAAATTCTTCTCCCAGAGCTGAAGACATTGAATTCTTGCTCGATAGCTCAGAGACCACAATGACTAAACAAATTAATTGGATTTTTTTAAAATGTATCTCCACCTATAATTATCTTCTGGAGGTTAAATTATGTCTTTGTAAAATAATCATATTCTCGGTTTAAAGTGGATTTGTTCCCGCTTCCCCACCCCATGACGTCTCGAAATGCTTTGAATCGATTATCAACTGCGAGATGGTTTTTCCTTCGCTGGATGCAGAAAACAAGAAAAGAAACAACAAAGAAACAAAAAATCCCTGACACTGGTGTTGCCAAAATTCAATTCTTTTCTGTCTTCACACCTGCCAGATGAAAAGACTAGCTATCTGGGCTTGTGTGCAATATAATAACTCATAATCCTAAAATAAGTGTTTTAAAAATATGAAGCAATGAAACAATCGGAGGATGTTAATACAAAAATAAAATTAGCATTAAGATGCCGTACTTACCAGTCACCGTTAAAATAGCTGTAGAGCTTACACTGCCATACTGATTGGAAGCTTTGCAGCTGTATTCTCCACAGTCAACTACTTGAGGTCTTGGAATTTCCAGCGTGGACACGTATTTCGTGGTATGTATGGAATACTTGTCGCCGTCATATATTTCTCGGCCAGCTCTATACCACTGGAATCTGACATTAGGAGCAGTCTCAATCTCACAGCTAAACTTGGCCAGGTGGTTCACGGCTACTTCCTGCGACTCGAGTCTCCTCCTCAGTATGGGTGCAACTAGAATTGGAAGTACAAATTAATTCGAATACCCGCTCATCAGTATATGTACCCCAAATAACTGTTAATGAAGTGACCAACTGAAATTAGATGGGTGATTTACTAGCAATCCAAGGAAAGTGACTGTAAAGAAAACAAAATGACTGTCAACGATGGAAGCAGACTATAAGCAGTGCTAAACCTAGTGAATGGACTACATTGCAGTGCTTAATGAAATCAGAAAAAGGACTAAGAGGTGATACTACTAGACACATGCGTAACAATGTGATATAGAAATATACCACGTTGTATTGGAACAGTGGAAAACGAAGAAGTGTATGAAACTGTGCTAAAAATGGTGCAATGATTTAAAGACCCGTTGCAATGATGAGAAGGATAAAAACAACAAAACCGATCGCCGCTTTGTGGATAAGGGGATGAAAGTGTTGATGCATGCGCTGTTAAGAAATTCTGGTGCAAACAGAAGTATAGACGACACTATTACACGGGGTTGGGTTTTTATCATCTATGAGACGAAAGCAAAAAGGCAACTAACTGTATTACAGAAAAGTGAAAAAGTGCGAATTACTTTAGGGAAAAAAGTGGGAAGGAAAAACGAATAATTGACAGAATGTCCAAAAGGACATGGGAAGTGGAGAAAGAATAGGGGGAAACTATGGTTAGTTCTGTGATTACATTAATGAAGTCTAATTACTTTTCATATCCGTATCGATATGGAGATACAGATATATATATTCTATTTAATTAGAAAATTAGTGAATATTAGGAGGCAATATTTTATCCCCATAATCCAACCTCTTTTTACAACTGTGAGTTTCGCTGATGTTGTTGTTTTTCCACCTTCATTCAGTGCCTCACAGGCATACTCTCCTTGATGCACTTCCTTGTGTACTTTGTTGATTACTAGTGTGTATGTGTCATGATCTTGTAAACACTTGAACTGTTTGCCTGAAGACACCAGTTTACCCTCAAAATACCAATTCACCTTTTTGACGTTTGTTATAATTGATATAAGACTTAAACTATCACCTTCCTCTACAACAGTGTCTACAAGATTTCTGTGAATGACGGGATAATCTTCTCTAACTAGCTTGTCCTCTGGCTTCCCTGCCTGAGTTATGAGAACCTCTCCACCATCTTCCTCAGATATTTCTTCCTTTTTCTGTTTCATTATCAGGATCTGCACTGGTTTCTCCAATGGCACCGCTGCTAAAGCAACGTCGGCAGTGACTGCGGTTGCACCGACATCTCTGATCAGACTTTTGACAGCAACGCTGCTGACTGCTCGAGCAGACAAAAACTGTTGCAGCTGCGCTTCAGATTCTGTGGTTATTTCAGCCTGCTGAGGCTCCAGCGCATCAGAAATAGGACTCGCGGTTTCCTGCTGCACTGGCTTATCAGCAACAGTAGCAGATGAGATTTCTGAGAAAGGCGCATGCGTGATAGACAACTTCTGAAGCCCAGTTACTGACATAGCCCTGGGCTGTTCTGCGATCAAAATATGTTTTTCTTCGTAAATAATCGAATACAAAGCAGCTTTTAGTTCAGTTTTCAAGCCAACTATCTGAGGGTATATTTCTTCTAGAGAGACAGTTATTTCTATGGGACTGGAACTCCCTGTGGTTATAAGGTAGGTGCACATTGTATATTTAGGTTCCTTGTTGACTTTCACTGTCTTAACTTCAATATTTTTTATATCACCCAACCATTCGGAAAACAAGAGATGTTGTTCACTAGTCATTGCAGCTTTCAGGGCACTTCTGATTTGAGTCTTTATGTCTAAGCTACAACCCTTGGGAACTTGAACAACAAACTGGTTTTCTTTGGAAAGGACTTCTCTTTCTTGTATTTCATGTACGCTCAGTGTCTCCTTTGGTTGCTTCTCTACCTTTACAGTTCCAGTTTCTGACCTCGTTAGTTCGACTGCATGTTCTTCCTTGAGAGGCTGCCTTTCTTCTAGTATTAATGGTAGACTCACTGACTGTCCTTCTTGAATTCTTGCAGCAAAATCGTGTTCTGCGGCTTCTAGCATATTTGCACTCTCTAGTGGAACACTTCCTTCCTCGGTGCAAACAGATTCTGAAAGGAATCTGGGTTCAGATTTCACCTCCCCGCTCACGGTCTGAATCTCCTCAAATGTTTCAACATGACCCAGGTCCAAGGTCCTGCTCTCAGTCACGCTCGATAGCTGCATAACTGTCTGAGAGTCTTCTTTTCTCAGGGCAGCTTTCTGCTCCTTTTCTGCCGCACTGATGATTTGTTCTTTTGGCAGAGGTATATCCTCAGCCACTGTGGTAAGACAGGTCGGTAGCTGAGGTTCAACTGTAGCTGTGGGGTGTAATCCTTCGGTACTGCTCCGAAAAGCTTCCAGTTGTTCCGCAGATAACCCGCTCTTCTCTTCTGTTGTTGCTGCCCGATTAAACATTTTTTCTTCTCTCTGGAAAGCCACGTGGGACACAGGTTTTTGAAAAGCCAGCATGTCTTCCTTAGGCAACACATGCTCTGACTGGGTTGTCTGGAGATGGAGGGCGGAAGGGGGCTCTTTGACAGGCTGAATGCTAACCGCCCCATCCAGGGCAGAGAACTGACTAGTGCTTTCATAAGGGAGGGGGGTTTGTTCTTCTGAGACTAACGCGTGCAGGAACATTGGGGTTTTCCTAGAGACTGCTTGATCCTCTGGCAGCGCCACAAAACTAAAATGCCCTTCTCTAGGGAGTGTTGTTTGCCCGTGTACCACCGGCAAATTCAATAGCTTTGCGCCTTCCTTTTGGGTTTCTACAGTTACTGTCCTGTCAAGTCCGGGGACTTGCTGCGCTTGCTCACCCGCGAGCTGCTGCTTCTCTTCTGTAACCAGAGCAGCTTTCACAACCCTCTCCTGCACCAATGCCCCCTTTTGCGGAGCTGCTGACGGGACATCAAAGGCGCCCTCTTTGAGAAACATCCTTTGGGAATCAGTTATAGGCACGTGTAACTCCGCGGGCGATTCCTGTGCTGGTTTCGCTTCCGCAGGTAAATCCAGGGCGCCGAGCTCCTGGGCATGAGCTTCGTCTATTCGCTGCTGTTCCGCAGCTAAGGCCAGTTGAGATTCCTTCTTCTCGCCTTCCAGCCTCAGGAGAGCCTTCTGGCGCGTAGGCGTTTCTAGCGCCAAGGAAGTTTCTTTAGGCAGCTCCCGGATGTCTTCAACTCTGGGGGTGTGTAATAGCTGCTGGGGTTCGCGGGCTGAGGTCCCCGCCTCCGCCCCCGCGCTCGGAAGAGGCACCGCTGTGCTCGCCGTCACTGCACGCTGCTCTTCAGCCACGGCAGAGAGAAAGGTGGATTTCTCTTCTCGGGCCGCCTGCAGAGCAACCCTCTCCGGGGGGTGAATCTGCAGTTCCTTTTCTTTGTCCTGCTGGCTGCTTTCCTCTACTACTGGCAAACAAATAGCGGGGCCCACGGGGAGTTCAGGACCAGGCAACCCAGCTACTGGGGGGCTGTTAATTGGCTCAAGACACGGCTCCAGCAGGCTCGGGTGCTCCCGAACCTCATTCGTAGTGAAAGCTGCTGGGGGAAGCTGCTTTGCCGTTGAAACCCCCGTTTCTGCCGCCGGAGGAGAAACATCTAGGCTCTCCGCAGCCTCACGAGATTCCAGTACGGCCGCTTGCTGAGTAAGAACCGTCTCCTGCTGCATGCTAGCGGCGGAGTGAGAAACCTCAAGCAACGAGTCCACCTCTTCGCTATGTACCGAGGGCCTGCCCTCTGTCCCGATTGTATACAACACTTGCTGGTCCCGCTGCCCACCCTCACCTGGCAATTTAACAGCATATAAACGAGACTCGGTAGTCTGCTCACTTACGGTTTCTTTGTACGATTTCGTAAGCTGTTTCTGAACGACTTTCTGTTCCTTATACTGCAACACAGCAGCGGAGTCCAGTACAAGCAGTTCTGCAGAGCAAGTGGCTTCCCCAAGGGGATTTATGGCTTTACAGGTATATAACCCACCATCATCTCTCTGACACTGATGGACCGTTAATGAACCCGAGCCGTCAGGATTATGAACCACAGTGTAGTATACATTAGAGAAAATCTGGTGATTTCCCTTAAACCATTGCACCTCGGGTACAGGTTCTCCAAGCACTGTATACTCAAATACAACAGGGAGACCTTGAACACACTGAACAGGTTCCACTTTCTTCACAAAGCAAGGGGGGTTGGGATTTCTTTTCTTTTCTAAGGGTTTCTTCACCTCTAGTTCTACCAGCGATTTTTTGTAGACTTCTCCAATCTCTTTTGGCTTCACCTTTAGATAGGCACTGCATGCAGTCTCTCCATACTTATTACTGGCAATGCAAGTGTACTCACCCTCATCTTCAGATTTTGTATAGAGAATGATAAGACTATAATCACTACCATCAAATACAAATTTGTGATCCGTGGAAGAGGTTAACTTTACTCCATTAAAGAACCACTGGATTTTAGGTTTTGGACTGCCAGTAACAGTAACTGAGAGTCTAGCTACATCTCCTAGACTTATTTCAACATTAGAAACGTGTTTGAGGAAAACTGGGACGCTGCCCTCCTCCGTTTTCATCTCTAATTTACTGGAGTAAACAGAATTTTCAGGCATAAATTCAAGTGTTTTATCTCTATCAGACAATTGAAGGCCGCTGCTGTAACTTTCGGTTCTTTCTTCCTCAGTAGACACAACAACAGAACTAGAAAAGTCTGTATGGGAAAAAATTATTTAGTTTTACTAAAACGTTTTGCTGAAAACTTCTATTTAGTAATCACTAGAGAACATGAATAAAACAGGTCTGTTAGTGTAGTTATTTTTTGTTTACCTTGTAGCATTCTCAATACCATGAAACAGCTTAACAATGAACCTGAACTCCTTTTTCTGTCATAACTCAAACTATATGATTCCACTAAACTGAGAGCCACATCATGCTATCATTTTTGATAAAGAACTATCCATTTGGAACAATGGGGAGAATTGTTAAAAAGCTGATGGAACCATATGGCCCAAATATTTTTGTACAATATTTAATTTAGAAAATATTAATATTTCAGTTATTTATTCATTTTAACAAGTAGAATCAAAGTTGTGCATTTATATGCATATTTTATATGTACAGATTAATAAACAATGACGTAACATTTATGAAAAGGGTCTAATTAATCCACCACACTAAGAAACCTTATACTCTGATCTCAATTGCATTGGCTTAACTGGGAGCCATATGGGACACTGCCTTTGATTGTTTGAATGCCTAGATACTTCCGGGGGATACAATAAATCTATGATGCTAAGAGTCACAATTCCTTCAATATCTAGAGAGAAGGCTAACTCTGTTTCCTGGGTTTTGTGGATTAAAGAAGATCCCTCGTGTTAATTTAATGTTATGTTGTTGTACTTTGTTTTAGTGGTGGTTTAAAAAACGAGAGGAAGAAGATCTTGAGAGACACCTCTGTTGCTCTTTGTGGACACAAAAGGCAGTAGTGGAACCTTTGTTACAGCCACGTTGTTTATCTGGAATATTTCCTTTTTTTCCTCAGCAGAATTTTAAAGCTATCCAGAAACAGTGCAACACCTAGAGAGTTTGGAAACCAAATCCTGCGGTCCTTACCAGGCAAAACTTCCACTGAATTCCGAGTAAGGTCTGCAGTATTTGGCCCTAGAAAAACTTGGGATGTTCAACAAAATCAAAAGCAGTTAGTAGAAAAATATATCCTGGTTGTCTAATAATTAATTACATGTTCACAGTTATATGAGTTAAGTAACAAATCTGAGAAAATACTGCATTCCAACCACAAAGCAAAAAAGCAGCAATAAAATGCTCCTTCAGATTAATTCATCTCTCTAGAAGTTACTAATCTTCTCCTAAATCAAAAATGAAATAACATTTTAAAAATCGCAGAAGGAGATGGGTAGACTAAAAAAGTATTACAAGCATTAGAAAAACATTCATGCAGTTATTTAAATATTTTCATCTTTTAAAAAGGACCTTATACCCTACAATTTATGAGTTTTTCTGTAAGAAGGGTGCTATAGTTCTGATGTACCATAAACTGCTATGGCCAGTAACGTGAAGGGGGCCGGTTTTGCCACCTTTACTGTCGTTGAAAATTACCTTAAATCCCATAGAAATCAAAGGGACTGCTCCCCTAGTAAGGTACTAGTCAATGTGAGTAAAGGTGGCCCTTAGACTCTGTGAAGACTGTACAGTAGAATTTCAATCCACAGGATCAGCTACAGGGATAATGACAGGAAAGCTACAAACATATTTTGTCTGCTTACTTCCAAAGTGTATTCCTTTGGGAAAAAGGAAAAGTTACATTATAAATATCTGAGAAGGCTTTGCACCGTGGCGTTCACATAATTTGTATGTGTGTGTGTGTGTCTTGCGTGTGTGCGCTGAAAACCACTGAACAAAACAGTAAACCCTGTATACGATGGAAACTTCAAGCCAGAGGGTGCTGCCACACCCTCAGCACTCCTAGTTCCAGCACTCCTGGCTTTGCATAAAGGAATATAGTAGAATTCATGCAGTTGTGTGTGTTTCAGGATGGTAAAGTCATAAAAACCGTGTTTCGACTACTTTACCAACACACAAATAACAAATTACTAGAAACAACAAATGTAAATATTTACATATTTATTTCACAAATATCATCTACATTAATATGTAAAATATAATATTGATTACAAATAAACATCAATTACCCTCTTTTTAAAATACCCTGTCTTTAAGAATGAAAAAAGACATTTCACTTGACAATGAAATTACTCTTTTTCTTAAATTATTACTTAAGCACTACCTTTAAAAGATATAGGGTCAAATACTGATCATAGTTACACCAGTAATTCCTGAATAACTGTACTGAAATCAAGAATAGCTCCGGATTTATGTTAGTGTAACTTAAGTCAGACCCTGGCACATCATATTTTTATTTTAGTGTCCCTGGCCAAAGTCATACAGTGCATGAAACTGACATTTTAAATAACACTTTTTATTTATTCATTTATTTATTTTACTGCTTATATATACAGTATAAGCAGTAAAAGTAGAGAGAGACTGAGCTATAAAGTTCAGATCTGGATTAGAACCTTCCCAGATTTTGGATGGTTTGGATCTAAGGTTTCAATTTGAGCCAATTTCTACCAAAAACGTATGCCAGATTCACATTTTTAACCTCTAGGATAATTGTTTAGGTTCCTATACAAAGTTTATTAAAGTCAAAGGAGCCCATTCCTTTCAATGGGCTTTGGATCAGGCCTTTAACATCCTATTTAATCAATACATTTCATGTAAATTCCTCTAGGGACCTCTGCTGTCAAATAAATCAGTAAATGCTATGCATCTGTACAGGGAATGAATATGGGCACAACACAAAACCATTCTTACCCAGCCCAATGTTGGAACAAACACTCTCATTTCTCTTATCCTCCAGGATTTTCAACATAAACTGGTTTAATGATAATGACACTTGTAACAACATTAGCTACTTAAATACATATGTACGTTAATGTGTACTAATATTTATTTTGTGGTCATCAGTGGTATTAAAATAATCTGTCTTCCATAGTATTTAGCAGAGTTTAGCTAAGGAAAGTGACACTGCAACGGACTTCATCCACTCGGTTTCATTTCTGAAGGTGCCAACTCATCACTACTTGGCACCTGCACTGTGTAATGGTAAGTAAGGCTTTCCAAACTCTGCAGCACAGTCAGGCAATATAATTTTTCAATAATAATGTCAGATATTTTATTGAATATATTCCGAATTTGTAATGCGTGACTCTCAAAAGGTTTGTAAATTAGGTTCAGCTGAGCACCAAAAGGTCTGATTCCCTTATGGACACCATCTAAACAAATTGAGTCTACAAAATGAGTTTGGAAACGTCACAAAAATAGTTTGACTTGTGAGATTTCCAATACTTCCTATTTCGTGTTGGACAGGAAATACCATGAGAACAACTAATCTCGCTCTTCAAGTATTTGGCACTTCTATTCATGGTCTAAACAGAATAAGGAAGCGCAGTGATTGATGCAATGGGGAATAAAAAAAAAGTTAACCAAAATTTTCCAAACCTCAAAAAACATTGATTTTTTTCTTTAAATCCAAGTCCTTTTTCCTATCCCCATTTAAAATCTGCATAAATGGCAGTGCTCATGGGAGAACTTTCCAAGGATGATTTTCCTTGTCTCTCTGTGAGAGAAGAGTCACACAGAACCACTGCCACAAACAGGCAAGCTTTCAAAATGGAAATATTTTATAAACACTTCAATAAATCCTCATGTGTGTCACTCTGCAGATTTTCTTTATTATCTTTGAGGGCATCACCAAAATATTGAAAGATTTCAGTCGAAGCATCACCACCTATTAGGAGATGTGTCTACTGAAACATCCTCGTGTCTTCAATAATATTTGCAGAGCAAATACTGCTGATTGATTCAATGGAGATTTAATAAAAATGGATTTTTTAAGGTTTTCCCATGTGCGCTATGGCTTTTTAAGACGAGTACCACTGGACTCAATTTTCTCGGGTACTTTAGGATTCTATGAGAATGCTGAGTTCAGAATGAATCCCTACTAATGCAGAATAGCTTCTCTGGTGCCTACAACAACATTCTGAGACATACAGAACCCATATATGAATACATGTCAAACACAGAAATAAGAACATGCGTGAAAACAATTGACTACACAAAAGCATTATTTAAAATAATCATGCCTCTTAAAACATTTTGAAATTCGACTGATAAAAATTAATAAGTAACCTTAGCATTGTGTAAAGTGGAAGCAAAATAATAATTACTCATATTTAAACCAACAGTCCAGAGTTGCTGAATTTAGGGTTTCATCTAAATTCACCTGTATATGTTTGTGTAACCAGAAAGCAGTCATATACATTGTAGGTTTTCCCCTCTTTTTCTACAAATGAATGATTAAATATTTTAAAATTTAAAAATAATTGTTTGACCAGTGTGTACATTTTTGTGTAAGCTAGATAAGCTTAGGTCTGAATCGATCACTTCACCCTGAATTGACTCTTCCATCTCATTTTTTTAATCTTTCTTAGTTCATACCCTAAAATATTTGATTGCATAAAAACAATTAATCTAAAGGACAATAGCTGTGCTTATACTGAAAAAAAAGCTCCATATAGAGTCTGAATCCATTTTGTTTCTGTCCGTTCAGTATTTAACATTATATGTTGCTGGTAGAACGATGACTGACAGAAGAAAAACGAATCCCTGGAGACTTAGTTCTAATCTTAAAATGAAAATGTTCAGTGAAAGTCTCCTGCTTTCTTACTGCTGTGTATTTTTTTATTCACAGCACAGGAGTACAGGGAAAGAGAGCTTTTATCCGTATCGTCTTATAATTACATTCTGTCGATTTATTAAATGCCTCATCTTTGCCTCTAACTCTTAAAGATACAGTACACAATATATTTATATTCATGCTTATTACAATTCCTGAAGTCCCTACTCAGTCTTTACTGCAGAAAAACGTCAACTGGGTTTGATTCTGATCTCACTTGCATTGCTTTTGCAACAGAGTGACCCCATCGACTTCAGTGAAGTTATTCTTAGTTTACAATCAAGATCAGAATCAGGCCCATTGTCTTCAATGGCCATTTTGCCGGAATAAGGACTGTATAAAATAGAGATAAGGTGGGTGAGGTAATATCTTTTACTGGACAAACTTCTGTTGGTGAAAGAAACAAGCGTTCCATCTACACAGATCTCTTCTTCAGGTCTAGGAAAGGTGGAAAGGCTAAAAATGTGTAAGCACTTCAGGATTTGACTGAAAGGTGTACTGTGTTTAGACCGAAACGTATGTCTAAAGTAGTACTCCATACACTTAAGTTACAAGAACACAGCGGATTTCATATTTCAAGATGGTTGCTAGGCCCTTTTAACACAGAGATGATTGCACTTTTAAATAACACAAGTATATATACACGTATAGGAAACAGACAAAGGAGTTCTACGTACGTGAATAACAACGATAAAAAGGGTACCGTTAGCAGAATGCGCAAGGAATTAAACTCATTCCCGTGCAGAATGCCTGCACAAGCCTTTTGCACCGCGTAACTCTCTCACGTTCCTAAAATAGGGCATGTGGGACTTGAGGGGTGCCTGCCAATTGTGAATTTCACTTCTCAATGAGCATTAAAATATAGGAAGCACCTAAAGTGAATGCTACATGTTTACAAACAGAATTTAGGGACAATGCAAACCTATTGTGTGCTTAATCCAAACATGTATTTTGAAATCAAACTTGGAAATTCAGCATATGTTTAACACAGCGCTTGTATCAGCAGTTCCTGCCCTGTTTGCAGCTACACATCTGTATTCCCCTTCATCGTTTTGGATTAAATTTCCAATAATTAGGTTATGATAGCCCATCTGCTTTTCCTCCATACAGTACCTATTCCCTTCAAGCAGTATCCCATCTTTGTACCAACTGATACTCGGGTTTGGAGCGCCAACTACAAGGCACTGGAAACACGCAGAGGTACCTACTGACGAAGTGCAGTCAAAAATATGTTTGATAAACTTTGGAGGGGCTTCTGTGACTTGGAATTCAAAGGAACAACTATCTGAGCTCTCCGCTTTAAATTCTATCTTCTCTTCTTTGGATGGCCCAGCGAATACATCAAAATTAATATTGACACATTTCTCCCCTTCCTCTTCACACTCTTGTTCTGTGACAGCTACCAACTTGACAGCTTTCTGAGAATCATCCGTGTCGCGCTCAAATTCAAACTCCAGCTCTATTTCGGTCTGGTTGCCATTTGGAAGAGTACTGTCTACAAGCAAATCAAACTTCTGTGGCCTACCCATAGCCTTGCCTAAAACTATATCAGTCATTCCATCCCCACTCCTGCTAGCAAGGGCTCTCTGTGAATCTAGCACAACTAGAGAGCTTTTGCATATAGCTTCTCCTACACTATTCGCTGCTTTGCACCGATATGTGCCACTATCAGAATGACCTACATTCTGAATTTTAAGACTATGATTTCCTTTCTCATCAGTCACAATGTAGCTCCCGCCATCTGCGGTAATGCAGGTATTTTCTTTAAACCACTGTACTTGGGGAGTAGGGGAACCTGTCACTGTACATTCAAACACTGCCTCTGAATTTTCTAGAATTTCCAAATCAAAAAGGGGAGTGGTAAAGCGCGGGGGCATTTCAGTGACTTCAAAGTCAATTTTCACGTCTTCATCTCCTTTTGCAGTCAAGCCAGTGGTTTGCTTCACCAGAGCAAAAGGGAGGACATCAAGAAAAACAATCATACTTTTGTTGTCCGTTGTAAATTCAGGAATTGTGACTATTTTTACCTGCTTCTCGAATTCCGTAACCTCATTTTCGTCCAACTCTACTTCCAGAAGTATTTCCTGAGGAGAAGGTGACCTTGAAGTTTTATTTTGTTCCAAGTCAAACTCTATAACATGCTGATGTGTTACTGGAGGAGGTAAGGCCAAGGACCTTCCATCTTGAGGCAAAACTTCTACTTGGGTGATACTTTTAGCTTCCCCTATGATGTTTACTGCATGGCATATATATTCTCCTTCTTCCGATTTCTGAACATTATGGATTTCCAAAATACATATATCACCCTCCTTTTCTATTCTGACTCTTTGATCTGGTTCAAGCAACGACTTATTTCGATACCATTTCACATCAGGAACAGGAAAGCCTATAACTTCAGCAATAAAACCCAATGGACTGTTTTCATAGACCTTCCTCTTGGGCAAGGGTTTGATAAATGCTGGAGGCATTTCATTTCCCTTTGGTTCCACTGCTTCACAAGGTGTGCCAAACATCTCTGAGCGCTGCTCTTCGTAAGGCGACCTCCTGTCTTGGAAAGGAGAACGTAATGTTCTGGGTTCAGGATAGTCACTGGTGGGGGTTGTGTAGCACTCTTGTGGCGTGCCGTCCCTTTCCAAATCTGAAGGGGACTTCCTGTTGAAGGATGGTTCCTCGGAAGGTGTTGAGTACCGTTCGGGAGTGCCAGCTGGAGTGTGGTAAGATTCAAAAGACATGGGAGATTCGAAATTCTCAACTGACGATGGTGGTGTATAGAATCGCTCAGATTCTGTCAGTTCATCCCCGCTTGTGCTAGCAATTTCTATTGACATTTCGGATTCAGGAGAGAGTGGACGGGTCAGCTCCTGCTGCTGATTATAATAGTCGTAAACGGTGCTGAAAGTGACGTCTTCGACTTCCAGAGAAGTGATACATTCCTTCCGGTCAAAGGCCTGGAAAATGGGATCTTTGACATCTGGGATCTCCTGCTGTCCGGCTGAGAGTAAATACGTTGAGAGAGACACGCATGGTTCAGGTTCTGAAACTTGAGCAGCGTTCAGCTCTTGACATTGCAAAACGTCTTGTGATCGGCCCCTTTCATCCAGATTTCCCCCAGCAGCATTTACAACGTCTTTAGTCTGAAATGAAATTTCATTTTCAAGCTGATCTTCTAAATTACACTCTTGTTTCTCCGAGGCAATTAATTCTTCTCTTGATTGCCTTTCCTGGACTATGGATTCTTCATTTCTTAACGAACGAAGGAACTGTGCAAAAGAAATGTCCCTGTCCTGTGTATCTGATTCCCGCTGAATAGCATGATGGTCTTCGGGAATTCCTTTGGTATAACACACAGTTTCAGTTTTACTTCCATTAAAAGTAGACCTACTTATTTCTTTCATTGTGGCTTGCTCTACCTGAAGAACTTGTCTTTGTTCTTGCTCCAGTTTACATGCGGTGGGTTCTTTCTCCTTTGCAGCTTTTTTCAAGTCTGTTATGAAGTTGTCTGCTTTGGGGTCTATTGTCTCTAGAGATTCCACACCCTCAGAAACATCTGTTTCTTGCACTACATTTTGAAAATATTGACTTACCGACATTTTGGATTCTGCTGAAGGACTAGGCGCAGTCTGCTCCAATATCAAGTCTTTAATTTGTTCCTTAAATGATTCTTCCACACAAACATTTTTCTCAGATTCATCAATTCCTTTTGCAGGCGATCCCTGTTCAGTAGAAAGAGGAATGTCAGCTAGGTCACTTTTAAATATTTGCATTTCAGACACTCCAATTTCTGTTGAGAGAGTCCGTTCTTGGACGTAAACTCCCTCCAGTTGCATCTTGTAATTATGACGAAGTTCTTCACTTAAAGAAATTTCTTCTACAAGTGCGTCATTTATTTGTAGATGGTTTATGAAGCTTTCCGTTTCTGTTTCCACGATCTCGGGAGATGACACTTGGTTTAAGGAACACATTTCTTCCGGTGATATGCTGCCAGTCTCTTTGGAAACGAATTCTTCTGAGAAAATCATTGCATGCTGTTTTAGATTAAGTGCTAATCCCTGGATTTGGGGTTCTACTTTTTCTAGAGATAAGGTGTCTTCTTGAGAATTATCTTTTTCGCTTATAGCTTCACTCTCTTTGGAAAACTCTTGACAGGAATCAATTCCTTGTCCTGTAGGTGATGTGGTTTTCTGTACATTTTCTTCCATGTGGTGTGTATCGGGTTCCATTCGTTCAGAAGCAGAATGTTGATCTTTGAAATATATTTCATTCTGCAGCAGCCTCTCTTGTTCTTGACCAAGATTTTCTATAGCAGAGTAAACTTGTTTCAAATCAAATACAATATTGGCTGTATCAGGTTCAGAGGCTGGGTATTGACCTTTTAAATGTGTTTCTTCTTGTTGCCTCCTAATTTGTTCTTGAAAATTCGGATCTACATTTTCTATAACTGAAGGAGCATGTTTTAAATCAAATAAAATGTTGTATGTTTCAGGTTCTATTTTTCCTAATGTTTGTTCCTTGTGACAGGTTTCCTTCTGTTCTGTCTCTCCAACGTCAGATAATTTTTTATCATGAAGAAAGACATTTTCCTCTATGCCATATGCAAAGCTTCTGTAATCTTGTTCATTTCCTTCTATAGTTCTTTCTTGTTGCCCTATGTGTTCTTCTTGCTGAATTACTTTATTTGGATCATAAAAACCAAGTTGTTCTAATTCAGGGGTACCTTTGAATTCATCACTTATCGCATGCGAATAGGGCTCATCTTTCTCTTCTATGGTAGTTGAATCTTGAAATGTCCTATTTAAGTTGGTGTCACATATGTACTTTTCATACAGATCTCTATCTTCTTGTACCTTCTTGGATATAGGACTGAAAAAACTATGATCCTCAAATTCATTCCTCTTTGCACTCAGCTCCTGCTCAAAGACATGGATTTGATCATTTACATTTGTAAATGGTGCATCTAAATTGTCACTGAAAGAAAGTGCCACAGGTGGTGTACCGAGAGTTCGCTCATGAGCAGGACTCTCTTGCTCGGGCTCTAATTTCTCTGAAAAATGCCCTGCGCCCTTGACTTCCATTTCATTACCGTCACTAAAAGATTTGCTTGGCGTGTTTCCGCTATCAAGATGGGGCAGATCAGTAACAGCATTGCTAAAGTTATATTCTTCGGGAACTGTTTTTTTCAAGTACTGCTTCTTCTCAAAAGCAGCATCTTTACCCTTCACACTCTTTACTTCACCATCTGTATCCTGACTTGCAGGAATTTCTATATTACTATATGTAGCCTTCTCGCTATGGCTTCCAATGATCTTTTGATTGAACTTTGATGTAAACTCTGTGGTTGTAATTTCCGTTTTTATTTCGTCTGTTTTATCAGGCTGATCTCTTAGTTCTTCAGAGAGTGGAAGCTGGTTGAGATCTCCAAGAGAAGCGAGTACTTCAGCTTCTTTTATCTTTGACTTCACTTGTTCGCCCACGTTTATTTTCTCTTCTAGTTCACTCCGGAGCTGGAAGTCTGGGCTTTCAATTATTGGCTCATCCTCAGTGTGTGGAACCTGGTTTAAATTGCTAACAAAAGCAAATATTTTGGCTTCTATCTTTGACTCTACTTGTTCATTCACTTTTATCATCTCTTCTTTCTCAGTCTGGTGCTGAAAATCTGGGCTTTCCGATATTAACGGTTCTTCAGGTAGTGGAACCTGGCTTAAATCATCAACAGAAGCAGGTACGTTAGCTTCTTCTATCTTTGACTTCACTTGTTCACTCACATTTATTTTCTCTTCTTTTAGAATCGAGAGCTGGAAATCTGGGTTTTCAGATATTGATGGTTCTTCAGGGTGTGAAACCTGGCTTAAATCGCCAACAAAAGTGAATGTCTTGGCTTCTTCTATCTTCGACTCTACTTGTTCACTAACATTTACCGTCTCTTCTTTTTCAATCTGCTGCTGGAAGCCTGGGGTTTCAGTTATTGGCTGATCCTCAGTAAGTATAGACTTTCTAACGTCACACATAAATCTCGGGAGTTTGGATTCTGTTTCGTTGGAGGATGTATGTTGTTCCTTTTCCATGAGCTCTCCCTGCCTCAGTGTACTGAGGTTATGAAAATATTGACTTGCGGAATACTCTCCATCATTAAACTTGCCAGCAGTATATCCAACTGAGGATGCATAAAGATTGTGCAAAAGTTCCTTTGCAACCTCTTCCTGGATTTGTACACTCTGACCTAGAGCAGTTTCTTCTTCAACATCACTAATTTGTTCTACATGACTATAAAAGCTCTGCACACCAGACTCTACTGTAAGATTGGAAACAGTTTCTATTACTCCTGCTGTGTTCTCAGCAACACATTTGTATGTGCCAGCATCTGACACAGAAACTTCACCAATATGTAACCTGTAACTACCATCCTCTTCCTCCACAAACTGAAACTTCTCAGTAGGAGTTAATATTTTGCCATTTCGAAACCAGGTTACAATCGGTTGAGGTTCACCAGATATTGAGCACTCCAGTACGACAGAATCCCCTTCTCTACAATTAATATATTTTTGTGTTTCTTTCACAATTTTTGGTGGTTCATTTACCACATCAAAGGAAAATTTAAATTTATGTTTTATTGTCTGAGAAACTTGGTCCTGAGGTGATGGTTCAGGTACAAATTCAACAGGATGAACTATTTCCTTCAGTTCTTCATCTTGTTCTGGAGTCGGAGTAGGAGCAATTATTTTGATTTCCACAGGAAATGAAAGCAGGTCTGAGTCAGAAACACAAGGTGTGGGCAGGTTACCCTGAGGAAAGTAAAGGGTGGCTTTACTTTCACTACTGAAAGCTGGTTGATTTTCTTTCATTTTGTCAAACAGAAAACTAAGTTCTTCTTCCTCTTCTGTGTAATCCTTTAATAGTTCAACTTCATCGGTGGTGAATGGTTCAGCCTCAATCCTCTCTTTAATCTTCACTTTGAGCATGCCTGATGTTGTGGCAGTTCCGTATTCATTAAATATCACGCAGGTGATGGATCCTTCATGCGGAGGGAAAACAGACCGGAAAGTCAAGGTAGACCGGCTCTCTGTCGTGTGAATGGCATAGTCCTGGTTACGTGATATGGGTTTGTCATTGTTATACCAAGTGACAATAGGTTGCGGATGGCCACGGAAATGACAGCCAAATATGCAACTCTCTCCTTCCTTTGCTTCCTGAGATTCAATTTCATGAACAAAAAACGGGGGGGCAGGTTCCAGAAGCTTTAGAATGGGGCTCTCTGACCTGGCAGGCTTTTCCTTTATTTCACAGACTTCTACCAATGCAGACTCTCTGATTTCTGCCGAGTCTTCCAGTACTAACATTGCATTTTCTTCACCCTTTTCTGATTGGATGCTTTCAAAAGTATCAACAGGCTCATTGATGTTTATTGTGATTGTCTCGGACATCACATTCTCCAATTTCGTAGTTTCGCTTAATCCATCGCAGAGAAGCACATAGATTATAGATTCCGGGCTTTTCTTCTTGGCTGTCATTGCTTGGAACTCCTCCAGCTGTTCTTTTGGCTTGGTATCTATCCTTGAGTCCTGTGGCTCCTTGTGTGTATAACTATGGTCGATGGAGGTAGCTTTGGCAATTGGCTCTGGTTGCTCTAATGGAGGGTCTCCCCGAAACTGCTCTCTCGTTGGTTCTTTCAGTGTTATTAGTGATTTTGTTTGGAATGTTTCCGCCGCGATGCTTCCTCCAGGAAAGTCCCGAGGACTCTGGGAGGGTTTGGAAAGCCCCAGTATTCGTTCCATTCGCAGGTGAAAGTCCTCCGGTATCTTAACAGGCTCTGGTTTAGGATGGTGCGCGGCACCCTCCTCACCGCATGGCATTTTGGGTGAAGAGGTGCATGTATGGATTGGTTTTATTGTCTGGAAGTCAGAGCGTATCGCCTCACTCTCAATGGCCCAATGGACTGGAGGGGTCCCTCGGTCTTTACCATCTCTAAAATCTCTGGTTCGCACTGATTCAAGGCGTGACTCTGTCTCGGTCTCTGTCTGTGACAAGCTCAGTTTCTTCTTTTCCAGCATGGTTCTTTTGGCCTCCCGCAGTCGTTGCAGCTTAATTTTTATTTCCTCATCAAGCAGAGCATCACTTCCATGATCCTTGTGCCTTGAGGTGCGTTTGCTACCTACCTGTTCTTTATCGTACACGAACTCCTGTCCCCTTAACACGGGGAGTTTTGGAAAGCTTATGGTTCGCACCATCCCCTTTGCAGGGGGCAAGTCTCTTAACATCTTTTCAGTCTCCTGCCTTTTATCGAAAGGAGAGCCAATGCACCGCAGGTAAACCTTCAGCCTACCTTCTTTCCTCTTCTGAACCAGACATTCAATACTCTCATGGGTTCGTTTGGACTTTCTCAGGAAATCTAAATATTTTGCATTTTGCTCCTCTCTCTGTGCAACTAGCAGCGAAGCGGTTGACTCAGCTGAACCCTCACTGTTAATGGCAAACACTTTGTAGCTCCCAGAATCCCTCTCCCGAACATCTCTAACCTCTAGGCTGGAGCTGTGGATATGCATATCACTCTCCATCTTTATTATTCTACGCAGCTCTTTAGGGATAGGCCTATTATTATGAAACCATGTAATTGCGGGGGTTGGACAGGCAACGAGTTTACATTGGAAAACTGCGGGATCCCCCTCTAAAACCGATCTAAACTTCAGCTTTTGAGTGAAAGAAGGTTTAAGAGTCTCAGACCAAGAACTTATAGACGAGGTTCTACTTGCACATCTCTGCACAGACACAAATCCATGGTCTAAGTAGTCTTCAGAATCGGAGAAAGCGTCTCGCATCTCGCTTCGCTTTTCAGGACATCCAGGCTCTTCCCCGAAGAACAGTTCTGTAAGAGAACAACATTACATTACAGCGTACTCTGTTGCTTCTCTCATACATTTGAAAAATGAAAAGAAATGAAATGGCAAGATATTAAATTAAATTGGGGGCATGCTACAGATTTCATCACAAATCCAGAAAAAAAATTCACTCACCATATTTGTTCGAATAAACGCAATGCCTTGCTCTGTTTTAAAGATTCTGACACGAAAATCGTACGTTGTCTGTTCTTTCTTCAAACTGTGGCCATTTCTTCTTGAACAAGCAAAAATGAATTTCAAAATAACATGTTCCTAGGGGTGTATGGTTTTGCTGCCCGAAAAGCTTTGTGTCTTTTGTTGGCAAAGAAGAAAAATCTTACCTGACTTGCAGACAGTAGAATAAACGCCCTTTCTGATCCCTTTGATTATGGTAAAATGTTCAAACAATTGAGAAAAAATATTTTGAAAGATATATAAAAATGTAGCTGTAAGTAATTAGCTAAAATGAAATGAGAAGGCGTTTATTCGAACTAATACAGCCACTAACTTCACAACGTTATGCAAAAAAAGCAAGCAACATGGACCACATATGCTATCTGCAAGCCAGTGTAAGAAATGTATAGTGACGAATTAATGTATGTACATGAGGTGCGAGGATACAATGGGAATGTGTAGCTTTCACATGTCCTAAGTAACATTCATTTTCTATTATACTCCATCCTTTGAATGATTGTTAGGTTGCTTACTTGTTTAAAAATCATGTCATTAAGATTTTTATACCTTCGTTTTGATTTAAACCATCCCATGCACTAACAAGAGAGTTTAACAAATAAAAGCTTAAGCAGTAAACAGCTGCATAGCATGAAGTAGAAGTTAAAAGTACAGCTGCATAATTATAAATGTAAAGTTTTAAACTGATTTTAAAACTTAATCTTGTAATGTGGGTAACCCTTAGCATATTAAAACAAAACATGCAGCATATTCAAATATGCTCCAAAGTGTATTTTACTTTTCCTGTCATACGCTGTATGTAAGCAAATAAAAGTTTCTAACGATTTACTAATTTTTTATGCTAAATCAGTGCTTCAGCGTAACATCCATTTGTGACTGTACCTTTCACTTCCATTTCAATCTGTTTTTCTATCTTCTCTTGAATAACTTTTTCTGGAGCTAGAATAAAATAGAGATTATTGTGATCAATTAACGCATCAATTAATGGGTTGTGAGGTTGAAACTATGAATATCTGTTGCAATGATACAAAAAATCCACACACACATACATGAGTACATGCCAAAACAACTCAAACACCTGATAAATTTGACGAAACAGTGATCAGATGCTTCAAAACATATTTGTATTGTATACTTGTCTACAACTTTTATGATTTTTGCCTGTAATTTACCATGCCTTTAACATGCCTTAAAGACCAGGAGGCAAACATTCAACAATCCACAGATAAGTGACATTTTTCTTTCTTTATTGTTCCCATGGGCTGAATGTACTTGAATGCAATGATGGTATGCAAGAGGAATTTATGTTTGGAAAGAACATGCAGTTGCCAACCTGTCACTCTCAGATGAGTGCTGCACTCGGCTTGTCCTGCAGAGTTAACTATTCTGCACTTGTATATACCCCTCTGATCCTGAACAACTTTCAGTAATTTTAAACTGCACAGTGGCCCATCGTGTTTTAAGGAACATAATGCAGACTCCTCAACTATTAGCTGATTGTACAGCCAAATCACACAAGGAGTAGGCACACCCTTTATTACACAAAAGAGTGACACATCATCTCCTTCTTTTACAATAGTTTCTGGGAGCAGAGTTTCAAGAAATACTGGTACTTTGGCACCAGTTTCTATGATCTCTTCGCATGGCACGACATCAGGGTAGTAGTCTCCGTTCCTTTGTTTTTCAGTTCCTTGTGATCTTTGAGCTGAAGTGATTAACATGCTTGATGTTTCCTTTGAAGACTCTTCCTTAACTTCGGAGGTTGTTTGAATCTGAGACTCTTTGACTGTTTTAGTGCTTTTAGTATCTGAGTCAAGCGTAATTTTTGTTACTGCTTTGGCGTGTGCTTCTTTAGCTAGGTAAGAATAAAGTTAGGAAAAGCATTAGATTAGATGGTTGGCAGGAATAAAACACCCTTATACTTAGAGAAATAAAAATAAAGGGTTTAGTATGGAAAAGAAATGTTCAGCATGTTAGTGCTCAAACTAAAAATAAACTATGAAATATATGAGTTATGACACATTTAAGGGCTCTATTCATGCTAGGCTAAAGGAAGGTCCCAATTAAGTCAGTAGGATGTTTACCATTGAGTTAAGAGTAACTACGACTTGGTCTGTAATGAGTAACACAAGCAAGCACATCTTTAATTTTAATTAGGGTTGTCAAACTAATACAAATAATCGCAATTAATAGCAAGATTAAAAAATAGTTGTGATTAATCACAGTTTTAATCGCACTGCTAAACAATAGAATACCAATTTAAATTTATTGTAAATATTTTGGATGTTTTTCTACATTTTCAAATATATTGATTTCAGTTGCAACACAGAATACAAAGAGTACAGTGCTCACTTTATATTATTTGATTACAAATATTTGCACTGTAAAAAGATAATCTACAAATCAAGCATGAAAGAGCATATGAATGTTTAGCATATCTGGCACAAATACCTTGCAACACCGTCTATAAACATTGCCATGAAAACACCTATTCTCACTTTCAGGTGACATTGTAAATAAGAAGTGGGCATTATCTCCCGTAAATGTAAACTCACTGTCTTAGTGATTGGCTGAACAAGAAGTAGGACTGAGTGGACTTGTAGACTCTAGAGTTTTACATTGTTTTGTTTTTGAGTGCAGTTATATGAAAAAAAATAATTCTACATTTGTAAGTTGCACTTTCACAATAAAGAGATTGCACTACACTACTTGTATGAGGTGAACTGAAAAATACTATTAATTTTGTTTCTTTTTCACAGTGCAAATATTGGTAATAAAAATAATAATATAAAGTGAACACTGTACACTTTGTATTCTGTGTTGTAATTGAAATCAATATATTTGAAAATGTAGAAAAACATCAAAAATATTTATAATAAATTTAAATTGGTATTCTATTATTTAACAGTGCAATTGAAACTGTGATTAATCGTGACTTTTTAAATCTAGTTAATTTATTTTTGCATTAATTGCTTGTGATTGACAGCCCTAATTTAAATCAAAGGTATTTCCTTTGAATGTTGAAGGTAACTGCAGAAGATCATGTAGAGACAACACTTTACGTAGATTGACAGGAAAGAAAGGACTTAACTGGTGTGTAAGAGCCAGATAAATGGTGCATGGCAAATGACTTAATGTTCATGCTGCTGTTGCTCCTGCGTCATCTGAGTTCATAAAAGCAGCTATCACATTATCTAAGGTGAGCAGTGCCAAAGGAACAAGAGGCCCATTCTAGGTCTACAGGAGTCAAGGAAATCAATGTCTATACTCCAAAGATGTTATTACATGTGCAGAAACTGCTGATATTTTAATGCACCGGAGTAATGGCAAGGGGGAAAGGAATCCTACAAGTAAAAAACAACCCACAGGTGTGGAGGAAGACTGTGTAGGTCATTAATATAGTCTTGGGAAAGAGAGGCTCCTAAATCCAGTAGACAAGTGAGGAATTTATAGCACTGAACACAATGAAGAGACATGTTCAGGAGTAAAAAACAGACCTGTATTTAGGGTGTTTGAAGAAAACATGCAAATAAACTGCTTAAAATATTAACCCTTGCAAATATGTAGCACCTTCTGTGCCACTCAAGATGTGCAAACTGAAATGGCCTAGATTCTGGGTTAATTTGCTCATCTAACGTTCCCTCCTTTCCTTTATTTAAAAAGGAATTTATCTCTCAAATTCCAACTTCAGAAATCTGCATAAGTTGCAAAATTAAATTGGTTCCTTCTGTCCTGTTCTTTGTTTTGTTCCAGGTGGACTCTTCCCACCAAGTCAATGTCTCACTGCATATCTGTGGCTTAAATTGATAAATTGATGAGTAGAAATTCCATTTGGCTGCAACTTGCTGAGAACAGCCATGATGCACTTCTCAAGCAAGCTATAAAACTCTCTGCCTGGTGCTGCAAAAGACATTTATGAATAGAGTCCTAAATGTGAAAAAGAACTTAAAATACAGCTTTCTAAATTAAATACTAGTGTTAGGAAATGTGAGTGAGCTATTCGCAGAGATGATTAGGTTGAAATGAGATAAGTCATAATGTTAAAAATCAAATATCCACCTTCTACTGTTAGTACAGCAGCGGTTGTCGTCTCTCCATGATCATTATGCACAGTGCATCTGTACAGTCCTTGATCTAACAGTTGGACATTTATAATTGTGAGTAATAGGACAGTTCCATTTTGTGATAGCTTCACTCGTTTGGACTCTTTTATCCTTTCACCTTCATGGGTCCACAGAACCTCTAAAAAGTGTTCGCTTTCTAAAGCACAAATGAACTGCGCGGTATCGCCAAATTTCACAGTTTGGTCACGGAGTTTCAGGAGAATATTTGGGGAAGCCTCTCTCATTTCCTGAACAGCAGCAGCGGATACTTTCATTGTGCTTTGTGATGTTTGTGAAAGGACTGTTGTATGGAAGGTTTCTGTTTCTTTCACTGATGTAGCTTTCATGGTTAAACTTTCTGATAGAGTTTCCAAAACCTGCACACCAAGTTGGTACGATGGTTCTTGCACTGTTTTAATTTCTTTTTTATAAGCCTGTGTCTCCTTCTTTGCGAAAGGGGAAGCAACATGAACTTCTGATATTGCCTGTGACTGGATAGACTCTTTTACATCTTTCCCAGAACTTTGCCTATCTATGGCTTGCACTGTGTAATCAAGTAACAAAAAAATAACAATATTAACAACTAACATACTTTAATGGGCCAACATAAGAACAAAATAAAATGGTATGGATAATGAGTATGAAAGATATCTTCATGGGAAAATTCAGCATGCCAGATGCATTATGCTCTTGACACAAAAGAAAATTCATTCACGTAGATGAATGGAAAATGACTTGTACTCATGCAGTTGATACACAGCTAATGTTCGTCTCTTCTTTTCACTGAAGCTGTCCATTCCAATATCAAATAATCTGTTATGATACTCTTTAAGGATGTATTTTCTGCTAGCTTTTACAGCCGAGTGTAGAGCATATGAGACAATGGTGTGACTATCACCAGCTCTCTGGTTTAAAGTGTGTACGTGCGTAGTTTAATAAAAGGTCTATATTTTCTATATATAGGACACAGTTTTGTGAGATTTTAAATTATATGACATTTTAAAGTAGAGGAAATGACAGTGGTTTGTTGGTTACAGCTAATACTACCAACATTAGTGAACTAGCTGCTAACTAAAAGGTGTGAAAAGAGGAAAGGTGGTAATTAGTAACAGTGGTATACAACAAACTGAATCCCTTTGAACAAAAATGGGGCTTTACCTTCGGCAGTCACTGTAAGTGTAGCTGTGCAAGTTGCTTCTCCAGCACTATTTCCTGCTTTGCAAGAGTATTGGCCAGCGTGCTCTAAAAAAGCATCTACTATTATCAGCATAGCTGTGCCTGTAGACTCATCAAAATGGAAAACTATATCTTTTGTTGGCAACATTGGCTGTAGGTTATGAAACCATTGGATTTCTGGTTTTGGCCTGCCAGAGACCCTGGCTTGAAATCTGACTGATTCCCCGCTGCATACCCTGCAGCTTGAAATAGGCTGGATAAAGGTGGGCCTTTGGCCAACAGGCTCCTTCTTAAGTGAAACTGATGAAGAAACATGCCATTGGGACTTTGATGTAACTTCTTCAACCTTTTTAAATCCTGAAAAGAAGCATGTCAACTTTTAATTTCTTACCCTACGCTACAATCAAAGTTCTCTCTCTCGTAATTTTTTTTTCTTTTTGGCCTGGCAATTTTACAATATGAATCACTAATTCCATAGTTTACAAATTATGTTGCAAAAATAAAAATAAATATATTTCTGGTTAAATAACACTAAGAACCACAAGATTAAAATAACAAACCCTCTAGACCAATTTCTGTTCTGAAATTTGTGATCAATATTTTCAGAATGCATAATAGTGCAAATTTATTTTCTCATTTGCAAAAATCTGGGGCACGCCCTTGTTTAAGATTTTCTAATGTTTCTTAAATGAAAACATTTAATCAATACCAAAACTCTTTAGAGATCTTTACAAGGCAAAGGCTTGTTAACGGAATAAAAATCTGTTTAATAGACTTAGGTTAGGGACAAGGATTCTACCTTGTTTGAGGCATGCTGGATGCTGCTAATGAAAAGAATTGAAAGGTGAAGTGCATGAAATGTTGAAAAACTGTGAAACAAACTTCACTGTGCATGACCTATGTCTTGGAGATGCAAGTGGATGTTGTGGACATTGCAAGATGATACTGATTAATTGAATTAAAAGACATGACATGACATGACAGTGACTCACATATATTTATTAATGAATATTAGTATGGGCACACAACCTATTTTAAAACATTATTTCTTTTTTAATTGCACATTGTACCTTCCAACTTCAAGTTAGCAGTACTTGTCACTTGGCCTATAGAATTACTAGCAACAAATGTATAAATTCCTTCATCTTCTGGATAGGCTTCTGAAATCTCCAGCTGGCAAGTGTCTTCAAAATGAGTCATTCTAAAGAAACGGGATGGCTTGATCTCCTTATCTTTACAATACCAAGAGATTTTCAGATCTGATCAAGTAAAATAAAAAAAGAAATGTAAGATTAAGATACAATGTCTGTAGGTAAATACTTTAAAAATACACAAAGTAGAAATCACTTATATCACAGCTTTTTGAAGTTGAATATATAATGTACAATAAGACTAGTTTAAAGACATGTAGCTTATTGGTTAGTTTATATTTCCGGCTTGGTAGTATGTAGGAGGGAAAACTTATTTTGTTACTCCTACATTCAGTGATTAACTGGAAATCTCGCTCTCTCTTTCTCATTCTTGATATCTTTGAAATAGCAGAGGCAGAGTAGGCTTTCAACATTGTCAGTGAGCATGAAAAATGAAAGATCCCAGCGACTATAACTTGGCATCATATTTTAAGTAGAAATCTCCATTGAGAATTCATCTGGGAGGGTAGGTGAAGAAATATGGAAGGATCAGCTCAGATGCGGGAGCTCAGCTGATGGCTGTAGGAGCATGAGGGAGAGCAGAGGTGCTGTACATGGGAGGAGGGTAGCATGGAGTCTGTGCCTGGGAGCCAGGCAAAGAGGTCTGGTGGCTGCTGGAGGTGACTGAGAAGGGGAGGAGTTGGATACTGGCATAGGGAAGGAGCAGAGGAAGTTGTAGGGAGTCCATTTCCCTTTCATTTCCAAGCATGCTCCATTTTGCAGAATCTGATGCATGCTAAGACACATGAATATAGGTGGCTCTTTAGGGCTGCATCAACAGTATCCCAGATAATTTCCCTGTATTTTGTTTTTTTTAAAAAGTGCTGCAGCTATTAATTATTATTATTACTGGAGAACTGATTTTATTTTATATTTATCTTAAATCTCAAATTCTCATTTAAAACTGATCATCTAGTAGGCTACAAAATGACTGAGCTGATCCCAACAATTCAAACAAATTACAATAGTAATCTGTTCTCTGAGGAGGGGAGTGCATGGCTTATTTTTCTATCTGAGTTCTGAGAAACCTCCAGTTTTTCATATCCCTAATCCTCTAGACCTTAGGGCCAGATCCTCAGCTGGTGGAAATCATCGTAGCTGAGGATCTATTTTAGTTGTACTGGCCTGTGTGAAGCTTTTTAATGCCAGTCCTTAACTGGCAAGAAAGATCACCGTTGAGTCCAGTGAGATACCTTCTTGTCTAATGCATGAAGCCTGCTGTTTTTCCCAGATCTTATAAACCTTGCCAGCTTGGGGAAGAAGAGGCCAGCACCAGTCATCAAACCTGGCAGTGAACTACATCACTAACCACACTGATCTGGCATATACAAAGTATTTTAATTGTTTTTGCTGCTGTCATTGTAATAAAGATACAATGTTTTCAGGAAACAGTACTGTAGTGTACACAATTTGAAAATATATTTTCAATGCTAGTATATTAGCTAAGCTAATATAAAATATTTTCATGCTATATTTGAGAAATATCCAAATTCATTCATATACAATACAAAAAGAATGAGAACTGCAAGGACAACTCCCCATGTGCTGTGCTGCAAATGTACCTCTCAGTCATCAACATGCACATAAAGATAGTATACACACACACACACACACACACACACACACACACACAATTGTGGCATGCTTTGTGTAGCTGTAATTAAGATGTCAGTTCCAGTATAAACTCCCATGTGTATTTTCTGAGTCTTACCACAATTTTTATCATGGAAGCAGATTTGTTTTCTAATCTTTTTCCAACTCAAGAATTGCATTTTTAAGTGACAGGAATGCAAAAAGAGTAGATGCTACTCATTTCATGCACATTTTTGCATTTCTGTAACTCAAAAATGATTTAAATCTGGACTTTGGTCCAGGGGTTCTCAACCTTTTTCTTTCTGAGCCCCTCCCCCTCACATGCTATAAAAACTCCACGGCCCACCAGTGCTACAATAACTGGTTTTCTGCATATAAAAGCCAGGGGCAGCATTTGGGTGTAGCAAGCAGGGCAGTTGTGTGGGACCCCATGCCACAGGGGTCCCTGCAAAGCTAAGTGGCTCAGGCTTCGGCTTCAGCCCCAGGTGGCAGGGCTGGGAGCCTCGTCCTTGACCCCTACCCAGTGGGGCTTCAGCTTTGTGCCCTGGGCCCCAGCAAGTCTAACACTTCTGTGCTTGGCGGCTCCCTGAAACCTGCTTACGGCCCCCCAAAAGGCCCTGGACCCCTGCTTGAGAACTACTGCTATAATCTACTGTAAACTCTTTGGGACAGGGACTGAATCTTATACTGTTTTATGCTAGGCACTAGGTATCTCTACAGTAATATGTGAATGTTTTATTATTATTATTAATAGTTCCCAAGACTGTGTGGGGTAATAATAATAATAATAATAATACTGCAGTTTAATTTAACAAACTAGCTACTACGGTGTCATGGGCAAAAATGTTAGTTATAAGATGGTATTTATTTAATTAAAACATGGTAAATTTATATAAGGAAAGTCTATTTTGAATAAGCGTAAATTAAAAAAAACCTCTGATGCTGGGATAAAACAAAAATGCTAATTTTCATATAATATTTTTAGTGTAATGTTTCCATGAATGGTACTGAAAATGGTACATCCTGGGGATATTAAGGGTTTCAGGGTGAAAGTCAGGGCAGATTTTTGACCTGTATCTTTTTAAAATGGTGTGTCAGTAGGTGGCACCAGAAGGTTTGCTCATTGTTCATGCTCATTTATAGGACAATGCTTTCCTCAGCATTGCAGTTAGGGCTTCAAAGCTCTGCCATATCACTGCACTGACAGTTTTAAATGTCATGTAGCAGTCAGTACTCTGAAAAGCATTACAAAGGTTCACATCTGATTAAAAATGTCAGAACTACTGAGCCCATGACCACCCATTAAAACACTGCTTAGCTTTAGGGGACTCTTAAATTTCATGTCTGCTGGCAGATATGAGATAGTTTTTTAAATTGCTAGCTGCCAGTCAATTATACAGCCATCACTGTACTTCGTACATATATCTGATAGTTACACAATCCTCATAAAGGCAGATTTCAGCTCATATGCTATTAGATTTGCTTTGAGTATCAGCTGAACAATTCTGATATAACAAAAATTGTATACGATTTCATTAAACTAACCTGTCCCTGTAACTCTGCACTGAAAACAAGCAGATTGTCCCTCAGAAGTAACAACATCTCGAAGTGGTGTTATAAGAGTAGGTGGATAAACTGGCACTTCTAGATCAGGAGAAACAACTTCCGGGACTAAAGGAAGAGACCAAAAGTTTAGACCGCATGGAAGACAACACATCACAAAATATTGACAATACCATTTCAAATACACTTTAAGGAACTTGGGAAACTTACCTTCCACTGAAAGTGAAGCTGAAGTAGTGGCAGCTCCATAGTCATTCTTTGCTTCACATGTGTAAACTGCTGCATCTTCAGGGAAAGTCTCAATCAACAATAGAGTGTATTCTTGTGCGTCATGAAGAAACTTGCATTTAAAGCCTGCAGAAAGCTGCTGCTCATCTTTATACCAGGAAATTTTGGGCTGGGGTCTACCTGATATTATAGCACAAAAGCGGGCAGGTTTACCAGATTCCACGGTGGTGGGCTGAAGCTCCTGAATAATATGGGGTGGCTCTGGAGCTGCAGATTAAAAAAAAAAAGGGATCTAAATATGTGTTGCTTATTGAAATTATTAAAAATTTAGTAAGATCTCTTACTCTGCCAAACAAAAATACTATTGTCAAGTGGTCAGAATCCACAATCCTTATTCATGCAAAGTTCCCAGTGACTGAGGATCCAGTTTAGTATTTCTCACACAACAAAGTCTTCCCTTCACTTGACTGGGGGATTTTCTTGGTCAAGGAATACTGAACTGGGACTGGAATAAAGGCGAGTCAAGAAAAAATGTTTTAAAACAAATAGCTGTTTTAGTGTATAAGATTTTTTGAAAGATGAAATTGTAAAAAACATCTCTGAAAACTGTTAGGTTGATCCTTCCAATACTAAATATTTGGGATATCACAGTTAAGGGACTACTGCTTTATTTACTTTACTTGGAAGTAAAAGGATTTACTGGCTTAGGTAGATGCAGAGATAAAAAGTGCTATAACATTTTAATCAGTTATCCATTTCAATGGAAAGAGTGGACAAGAAGCAGTTATGTAGCACAAGCAGCCCCAACTGTTCCAGGGGTCTCTCTCTGAAGTTATCCCAAGTTTACAGTATTATAACGTCAACAAGTTTTCACAGAGATACAGAAAACACAGGATAGGAAATGCAATGATGAGCAAAATGAATGTCCATGCATACTATTAGAGACACAAAGTGGGTGAAGTAACATTTTTGTCTCTGTCTCACCAACAGAATTTGGTCCAATAAAAGATATTACCTCACCTACCTTCTCTCTCTAATATTCTGGGACCAAACATGGCTACAACAATATTGCAAACATACATACCATTAACATAGAGAATAATAGAGCTTCTGTTTCTTCCTGCTACAAAGGTGTATTCCCCAGCATCTCTGTATCTTGTTTCAGTGATGCTCATCTGGTGGATTCGTCTTTCCACAACATATCGATATCTTTCCTCAATCTGGAAATTGATCTCAATGCCATCCTTATACCAGCGAGCATCAACATCATCTTCGTTGACTTCAAATTCAACTACAGCTCGTTGTCTTTCAATGACCTTTTATCAAGTAGGATAAATATTACAAATAGCACCTGCTTTTACAGCTGCCCTCCTGCTTCACTAAACCTTAAGGGGGAAAACTCAGGAGGCTCTGAATTGTGTCTCTGTAGCAGGACACAGGATGTCCTACTACTTAGTGCACCAACTCAAAGTAACTATATAGGCCTGAGAGCTGCAGATGTGCTCTCCTTCTCCCACTTATTAATGTCCTATTTGGATCAATAAGAAGAAAGTTACCTATCTGGTGAGAAGTAGGTGTCTTTAGAATCCCTAAGGCCTATACCATGGTAATGGGGATGGCCCATCAGAACATGGTGGGAGGCCCCAACTGCACGACTATTGCTGTTTTTTTTTTGTGGGGGGGAGGGGGCGATTATCTCAAATAGTTTAGGTACGCTCTTACCCAGGCTCAATATATCCCATTCATTAGCTATTGCTCCTTCAAATGATAAAACAACAGAACTATCAAGAATTTATTCCCTTTGTATATACTGTACCTGAACATCTTTATGCACACTTCTGATACGAATATCACGACCTTCCACAACTAAGTTAGCACTGGACATGTTTCCTCCTGCTACTACAGTGTACTGTCCAGCATCAGACATCTTTGTGGAAGGAATGAGGAGGCGATGGACAAATCTCTCCCTCTGAACTTTCACTCTAAAGACAACAGAAAGACAATGAACAGAGCTATTTTTCTGAAAAAATATAAGGAATACTAGGGTCTTGTTCTGGAGAAAAAGATTACCTGTCACCAAGCTGGAGTTCCTGGCCATCCTTCATCCACTGCACTGAAATGTCAGGTTCTGAGATTTCACATTCAAAAATGGCTCGTTTCTTCTCTACAACCTTAATGTCTTTAATGTGCTTCCTAAATTCAATGTGACGAGCTAGGGAAATACCATGGATATACGATGAGTGCTGTAAACATATATCAGGAGGGCCATTACATTCCTTAAATATACAGACTATGAAAACAAATACCTTCCACATATAAAGTGGCTGATGAAACAGCTTTCCCAGCAACAAAACTGTATTCTGCAGCATCACCAAAGTGGACATTCCTTATGGCAAGAGAATGTGTAAGCTTTTTAGTTCTTATCTGGCACCTGTCAGTTGATTTTATCTCCACCCCATTCTTTAACCACTTGTATGTGATGCCTTCGTAGTTGACAGTTACTTCAAATGTTATTGTATCTTTCTCTTCAGCATTGATGTCTTTCAGCATGGATGTAATCAAGATAGCTAAAAGAAAAGAAATAGCCATATGATTTAAGAATGTGTCTTAACAGGAACCTGAATTGCTTCACAATTCTTTCATCAGATTGCATTAAGACTAAGGTCCTTCCCTCATTGGTTTTGCAAAATATTATAAAATAAGCCATTACTTGAAAACTGGGCTTCTTGCATTTAGCACAAAAATTACCAAAAAGAGAGTGTCCTTTTCAGCATTTTATTTGGAACTTACTACTTTTTAATAAGTGTATTTGTTTTTTATCACATATTGTTGTGAAATCAGTAAGGAAAAATATAAAACCAATGGAAAGCTCATAGATACAAAGTGACCTGAATAATCTTATTTTCTGGAACAAAAAAAAAGTTTTAAACTCAAAAAACAAACAAACGCCAAAAACAAACTATATCACTCTGTAGTTGTATAGGGCCTTTCATTCAAGGATCTCAAAATAATTTAGAAAAGGGAATATTCTCATTTTATAGATGGTGAAACTGAGGCACAGAGCAGCTAAATGACTTGTGCAATGTCAAAGTGACATTCTGTGTCAGAGTCAAGATTTGAGAATCGAATCTAGGAATAACATTTTCAAAAGTTTCTAAATGATTTAGGAGCCTAAGTCCCATTTTCAAAATGTGATCTAGCCACTTAGAAGCCTAAGCCTTAATAAAAGTCAAAGGGACTTTGAGCTCATAAGTGCCTAAATCTCTTTTGAAAATGGGATTTAGGCTCCTTAGGTACTTCTTTTGAGAATTTTACCCCATGTCTCCTGATTCCCATATTCCCGCTCTAACCAGTAGATGGGGTATGTTTCAGTTTATATTGAACACAAAGAAGCTTTAATCATATATTAATATCATAACTATTTTGGTAATAGAAAACACTTTGGTTAATTTTTATTTTCACTTACGGTTCACTGTCAGAGTTGCACTGACTCTGTCATTCCCACAGACAAATGTATATTCTGCAGAATCTTCACTGCTTGTGTTAATGATATTGAGCTGATGGAGTTTCCCCTGAACCACTATTTTAAACTTTTGACTCATTTCAATTTCCACACCATTTTTTAGCCATACAGCAGGTACATTGAAATGAGATACTTCACACTGAAAGGAGGCAGTTTTGGTCTCAGGAACCTCAATATTTTTCATGGTCTTTGTAATATGTACGGCTATGAAAAAACAAGAGAATGAAAAAAAATCAGATAGTATTGTCTTTTAAATTCTGTTTATAAAATTGGAAATGCAAAGAGTAACAGATCATCCTGTGTAAGGACTAATTATAATACATGAGCTAGTGTGGCATGAAATACTTACTTTCCACAAACAGCTTTGCTTTGCACTCCAGTCGTCCTACTACAGCTGTGTATTCTCCAGCATCAGAGGGAGATATATTCTGCAACATCAGCTTGTGAACTTTCCTTTGAGAGATCATACTGTACTTGTCACTTGACTTAATCTCAACATTTTTGTGGAACCATTTGATCGGTATGGTATCATGGGAAACACTCAATTCAAAGGAAACAGTGGCATTTTCCAAAGCAGTCACATCCTTTGGCTTTTTGATTATCTTAACAGCTTAAGGAAGAGAATTACAACAGTTTATTCATACTTGTGATTTAAATTTTAAATCAGTCATTAGACTAATTGCTGAAATGATCACAAATTGACTTACTTTCAACGTGGAGTCTGGCACTGGCACCTAACCTTCCAAGCTTAAAATTGTAAATGGACTCATCAGTGATAACACAATTTTTCACTTGCAGTGTGTAAACAGTTCCCTTCACTGTAATCTCATATTTGTCATCTGATTTAAGTTCAATGCCGTTTTTGATCCACTGAACTCCTTTAACATCAGGATGGGTAAGTTCCACAGAAAAAACTGCATCTTGTGTTTCTGTTACAGTTAGGTTCTTTAGTGTCTTCTTTATTTTAACAGCTAGAAAAACAATTACCAATAAAGCTGAAAAAGCAAACTGAAACTCAAAGAAAGTTAAATATTGTCATTTTACAAAACATGTTATGATCCACTTTTATTTTAAGATCCAAAGACATACACTTTATACACATATCATGGTCACCAACCCCCCCCCCCCACCAGACACACAAAAAACCCCAAAACAAAACAGCATTTCCCAGCAGCTATCAGTATCTAAGATTAACATAGTTTTTCTGTATTTAAAATGCTACTACACAATTGGCAAATGTTGACTTTTTAATGGTTTACAGCATACACTGAATATGTTTTTATCAAAATATTATGTTAAATTCTAACATGGAATATCCAAAAATTGTATCCATTTATTGCCTCAAACATCATGCATTTTAAATACAAAAGACAGTTGCTAAGAATGATGATATATATCATACTTAGTTTTATTTTGTGTCTTAGGACCTGAGCCAAAGGACATTGACCTCAATGATCTTTGAATCAAGCCCTTAAAAGTATCAAATCAGGATAGAATTACTGACCTTCAACCTTCAATTTGGCAGATGTTTTTGAGGATGCCACTTTGTAGGTATATTCACCCATATCATCTAGCTTGGTGACTGGAATATTAAGTCTCCTCTTTAAACCATCTGATTCGCTTCGGAGGTGATCGGTCATAGATAATGGTTTACCATCCTTCAACCACTGGCCATCAGAATCAGGATTTGCCACCTCACATTCAAAAACAGCTTCTTGGGATTCAGCCACTGTTAGATCTGTGAGAGGCTTTGCAATGGCACCACCTGTTGGGAAGCAAAAGCATGAGTTATTTGTTCAGTGTTTCAGCTGTCTCATTAGATTATTTTTTCCCCTATACTGAAATGCAGCTTTGCTGAAATCCACTGCCTACACAGATTCTGAGGACAACATACTGCCTTCATTTGTGCATCATTCTACATTATGGCCCCGATTTATCAAAGCATTTAAACACCCACTTAAGAGTTGCTGAATCAAAGCCGAGAAGAGAACAGAAAAAATAAGATAGAGAAGGAGAGACAAACCTCAGGAAAAAGAAGAGAAAAGAAAAAAGAGTGGAGAAAGGTATAGCAAGAGCAAAATTGCCAGGTGCTGTTTCAAAATATGTAAATTGCTTATTACATTGGGCACATTTTTTTTTAAAATCAAAGTGAGACACTTTTTGGGATTTAAGCCTACTAACCTGCTACTATAAGCTTCCCAGATGTTTTCTTTTCTCCAGCGTAAAATGTGTATTCACCTTCATCATCTTTCATCATGTTGACCACTGTCAATTTATATATTTTGCCACGTGCTTCGATTTTGTATTTAGGACTAGGCTTGAGCTCTTGGTCTTTGAAGTGCCATAAAACATCAATACCTGCATGAGATAGCTCAACCTCAAAGGATACATTCTGAGTTTCAGTGCATGTGATGTCATGAAGGCCTCTAATAATCTGAATTTCTGTAAAACAAGTTCATTAGAAATATTAGTCACGACCACTTTGTTATATTAGCAAGCAATATTTTAGGAACTACTGTGCATCTTAATGAATACCTACTTTCTACTGTAAGATTGCAATTGGTTTCAACTTTGCCAACCATCAATTTGTATTGTCCTTCATCTGATGCATAGGTCCTGGTAAGCACTAGCCTTTGTTTAGTGCCTTTGCAGACAGCTTGTATACGGTCATCAGGCTTTATCTGTTGATCGTTTAGGTACCATTTGGATGAAGACACATCAGGGACTGAAACTTTGCATTCAAAGACAGCTTTTGTTCCTTCAATAGTGTGAACATCTTTTAGTGGAACCACTATGTCTACACCTGGCAAGTCACAAAAATATTAATGTAACCCCCCCCTTAAATTAACAAGAAATAAAGCAAACAAATGACCACCCATGCCTTTGAAAAAACATTGGACTGGCTAACAATAGTCACTTACTATAAACAGAGACTCGTCCAGTGGTTGAAAGAAAAAGATTGGGAATATTAAAGGAGTAATTTCCACTATCTTCCTTTGTTACATCTTCAACTAACAACATATGTGACTGCTTGTCCAGCACAACGTGCACACGGTCATTTGGCTGAATTTCAATACCATCCTTCATCCAGACACCTTCAACATTTTCTAGGGAGACTTTAACTTCAAGTTGCACAATATCACCCTCACAGACTTTCTGATCAGTAAGTCCTTGAAGAATAGTCACAGGACGAGCTATGAAATATGAAAGAAAAATAAATTAATCCTCACAACAGATAAACAAAATAATTACTTTTAAATCTGTAGGAAAGAAGGGGTATGTGATTAGAAAGGCTTACGCTTCATCTTCAGTTTGCAACTGGTCTTTTTGCCATCTACAACAAAGCTGTACTCTCCTTGGTCTTCCTTACTAACATCTTTAACAGTGAGAATTTGGCGACCACGCCGGGACGTAATCATGTATTTACTATTGGATGTGAGCTCCACATCGTCACAATACCATTTCCCCTCCACATCTTCAGGGGAAATCTCACATTCAAGCTCGCCTGAGAAGGACTCTGGGACTTCAATATCCTCAAGTTCTTTAACAAACTCAATAACGGCACCTGCATTAGAATGTATTAAAATACATTCACAAATGATTTTTTAAAGAGTTTTATGAAACATTTCTTATAAAAAACGTTTGGTTTTAAAGAAGCAAACTTGCATCTAAATCAATATTATTTTTAAACCCTGAACATAAAATAATATTCAGGCTTTCATGTTGCATTAAAAAATATAAACATAGTGTAAACATTTCTGCAATGTTCTATGCAGCAAAATGCATGCTGCTATGTTCATTGGTGATAGCTGACTTCTTCCTGGAAGATTTCACTATAAAAACATTGAGTGATAATAAAGCTTTTATTCCTACCTTCAACAATAAGCTTAGCAGTTGTTTTTACAGTTTCATCTTCTACCAATGCACAGCTGTAGTCCTCAGCATCTAACATGTCAATCATTAGCACAGAAAGAAAGTGACCTTTTCTGTCAGAGTGCATCCTGTATTTGTCTCCAGAAAAAATTTCTATTCCATTTTTATACCATTTCACTTTGATAAAGGGTTCTGAGGTTTCACATTCAAAGGTTGCCATGGAATCTCTCTCTTTAGCAACAACATCTTGTAAATTTTGCGTGAAACTTATTAACTGTTTGGCTGCAAAATAAAAAATATTGAGAGTTGATAACCTGTGGACTACAAAGACAAACACATTTTGTTAATGAACAGGGTACATTAAAGGGATTTACACATTACCTTGTACTAGCAAGAAAGCATGGCTTGAAGTTTCACCAGCTATATTGATTGCTTTCACCATGATGCTGGCAGAGTCCTCAGCTGTTACATCTCTGATGACCAATTCACAAACATTATCTTCAGGCCAGTACCAATATATCCGATCAGACCGCTCAATCTGTACACCATTTCTGAACCATTGGCATTCAGGGTCTGGTTTCCCTACTACTCTAACACGGAAATGTGCATCACTACCTTGGGCTACTGTCTGGCTTTGAATTCGTTCAAGTATCTTAGGAGCCTCCATACTTGGACTAAGCTCAAGCCTCTCTGGTTTGATAGCTGGAATGGTGAGTTCGCCTTCAGCAAGAAGCACTTTCTTCTGTTCCTCGGTTAAGTCTTTGGTCCAGTGAAGAAGTTCCTCTTTTGTCTTTTTAAGCATTTCTTCATATGATTCATCTTTTTTACGAGACTTAAGCTCCACAGCAGTAATGGCTTCATAATAGCCCTCCTCTGTCCTACGCTTGAATTTACTGCGCAGCTCTTCAGTCTCTTCCGTTAGCTTCTCGTGAGTGATTCTCTCAGCCCTTTTTAGCTTCACCACCTCTTTGGTAGTTGTCTCAGCAGGCTTGTCTACCTTTTGTACTTCAAAGAGAAGTTTGCCAGGCTCTGTTGCTGCTGGCTCGTGCCTGGGTTCAGGTGCCCGGCGAAGGACAGACCTGAAATCTTCCCTCTGCTGGATCTCAAGTTTCACTTTATGTTCCGTTACCCCCTCTGGATTTTCTGCTGTAACCTTCACTTCACCTGTATCGTATGATTTGCAGTCCACGATGTCCAGGTAGTAGATACCATCATAGCGGAGTCTAAACCTTTTGCTTTTACGAATGAGCTGCCCGTTGAGATACCAATTGACTTTGGGCTGTGGATAGCCTGTGACACGGCAGCGGAACCGCGCAGTTTCACCCTCCAGAACTCTGGCAGGCTCAGGGACCAAAACAATTTCTGGCGTTTGCTTCTCTTTTTGGTCCTCTGTCACTCCAGCAAGGGCCCCCTCATGGGCCATTCTTTCCATCTCTTCAATTCGCTGCAGTCCCTTCCTGCCTTCCGGCAACTGAGTTTCTTCCACAAGGCTTTTCTCATCTTTAACTATAAGGGTTGCCGATGTGTGGTCAGTACCATATTTGTTACTTGCCCTGCAAGTGATCACTCCACTGTCTCTAGGATAGGCTACTCCATAATCCAGACTGCAGTATCCAAATTCATTAATCATACGGAGTCTATTGGCTGCCTCCAGGGGCTTGCCATCATGTAGCCAGTCGACCACCATAGTGGGGTCACCAATTGGTGTCAGTCTGCAGTCAAAATGAGCTGGTCCAAAGCACTTGAGCCTCAGTGAAGTGAGTTTCTTCTTAAAGAATGGCTTTTGTTGTTTCTCTTTGTCATAAAGGTCTCCCTCCTCCCATTGCTCTTGACCATAACGCAAATGGAGAGGCTCAAGCTCAGGTGCTGCAATCTCCTTTGCTCTGTATGTTCCCCTTGGAATGATTAATTTCCTTTCTGGTTCAGGTTCTGAAAATTCCACTTCGACATTTACCTTGCACCGTGTAGTGTCGCGCCCCGCTTTATTGATAGCGGTGGCAGTATACCATGCAGCATCATGCTTGACAGTGGACTCAATTTTAAGTGCAGCTTCTCCTTTAGTTCCCTCAATTCTGAAATATTAAAAATATATACATTATTTTCTCACATATCTCCTTCACAATTAGGTCCCATCCCAAAACGCTTAAGCAGGCAAACTTCTGGTGGAATCAAAAATAATACTTAATCATGGTAGTGCCTAATGACCAACCAAGAATGTGGCCTCATTGTGCTAGGCACTGTATAAACATAAAGTAGCAATCTTTAGTGATTTTGAAATCAGTACAAGTTTCATCTACTAGAGGACTGTAGATACAGAAAGCTAGTGGAGGGTCTTTTACAATTCGGTTTTAAGTTTTATTGAAATTTACATAATATAAATGTACAGAAACATGCAAAAGGCAGGCCTGAGCCTGTAAGTTATTGCACACTTTTAGGGCCAGATTCAATCCTCATTGAAGTCAGTGGAAAGACTCCCATAGTCTTCAAAGGCCATGGGATCGGGTCCTTAGTACTCACAATGGGAACTCTCAGTTCTGATCTACTACATTATTTGGGAATTGGAGACACTCAGCCTACGCTAGGAGGCACTTAGTACCTTGCAGGACCAGGCTTATTGATATCTTTACTGTTTTTACACATCATCTTTTTAGGAAGCACTTACTTGATCTTTGGGTATTTATGAGGTACAATGATTTCGCTGTTCTTCAACCATACAATGTCAGGATTAGGGTTACCAGTAGCTTTCACTGACATTTTCAGTTTAGTACCTTCCTTGACACTAACATTCTTCAGCCTTTCTACAAAATGTGGTTTCACTAGATGTTCTTGAGCTGAAAGAGCAAGAAAGAAGTGATCCAACACAGAAATTGAAATAGCTGTTTCTATACATAATAATTATAGAGTTCTTTCCAAAATGTGCAGAGTAAATACCTTCCACTGTCAAGGTCATAGCGATCGTAGCTTTGCCTGCCCTGTTCTGAGCAACGACAGTCCATTCACCAGAATCATCAGGACTAGCATGGACAATGATCATTGACTGTGTGCCATCTTCTTTAACTACTATTTTATGAGTATAGTCATTAACAACTTGTTGACCTGCAGAAATAGACAATTTTTTTTACACCCAGTACTGTTTCCCAACATGGAAAATACTATATTTTTTCTCTATATTTATATTAGTGTATGAAAATAAATTGAGATACCATTATGAAACCAGTATGTTTCTGGCATGGGTCTGCCAACTACTTTTAGGTCAAATCTCGCCGTCTGCCCCTCTGCACATTTAAAGGAACTAGGTTTCAACACAAAAACTGGCTTATACAATCTCTCCAGTTGTCCTTCATCAGTTTCATCTAGTCTGCGGGCAGGAGAACGAGATGGAGAACTACGGGCTGGAGAACGGCTTGGGGAACGGGGAGAAAGAGACCTGAGGAAGGAACAAAAAAGCTGTGCTGTAGCAATGACGCCTAGAACCAGGCTAAAGCAATATATAATTCATCTCCTGTGCCTAATATTTTAAAACATGTTAAAATCAATTTACCTAGGGGAAAAGGTGAGATAAAATTATTATTTGTAGTTTGTTTCCTTTTGTTTAATCAATATGAAGAATCTGTGCAATGTCAAATAATATTACAGTTAATAAAACCAGTACCTTGTTTAGACCTATTAGCTGGAAGATGGTACCTCCAGAATCACATTGCCCTGTAGCAATGGGGATTTGGTTCATATTGACCCACAGAACAAAGTGCCACTTACTGAATCAACATCAGTACTTCCAACAGCATGGAGGGCTGACGGTCTAAACTTGTTTAGCTTGGACTACATGATGGGATCACTGGACACTGTTTATTTGTAGTGGACTGGAATGAACATGAGACTTGCATATTACCCTGTACTTACCGATATCTTTTCATAACATCTGGTGCTGGCATATAACCTGGAGCTCCAACTGGTGCAACAGGTTCAATGTATAGCTTTGCAGAGCAAATGGCATTTCCTTTAACATTGCTGGCAAAGACTGTATAAATTCCTTCATCTTCAGGCAACACAACAGGTAAATGTAGACTAGCGCTGCCATCTTGCAGAACTTCCATGTGGTAACGCTCTCCATGCTTAATGCGTTTACCATCCTTGTACCACGCAATCTGCACAAATAGTAAAAATTGGAGTGAACCCTCATGGAGATTAGACTACAGTAATGTGTACCCATGTACATTACTTAAGACTCTGCTAGGTCTTTCCCACTACTTTTCAACTATTGCACAACTGTAACCAACATGTAGTTGGCAAACAATTTTACTTGAAATAAGAAAGAGTAAAGAACAGCTTTTTGCAGTGACACATGATATGAAAATCAGTATCCAATATAAAATACAGCATTATGATACATAAAGAATGAAACAGAAACAAGCCAGATTCACTACTATGTGACTACTTCTCTGTGACACTCCGTGATGCTTGAGTAGCGCAATACTTTGCCATAGCGTACTGGTGAATCTAGCACATTTCCTTATCCAGAACTATTGCACAAATCTACAAAATGGAAACTCAGCTTGATGGGAGAACAAAGGACTGAAAAATGTACATTTTTTTTGGAATTTGTGGTTTTCTAGCTGAGTAGGATAAAAAAGGGGTTCTCTGACAGTGAGCTACCACATTCAGTAAGTTTCCAAATATAGAAGCAGGCCTGTTTCATAGGTAGATATAATTTAAAACAATATCTGTGTGATTTATATTATACATTTATACACGTTGGTATACCTTGGGTAATGGATATCCAGTCATCTTACAATGGAAAGTAACAGTCATTCCCTCAAAGATTCTATAATTCTTTAATCTTAAATCAAATCCTGCTTCAACTGTTTCAGATTCAGGAATATCAACGACCATCTCTTCTCTGTCTTCCTCCAGGAGTTCTTCTAGGGTGGTCTTAATAATTCTGTATTCAATTTCTTTGATAAGTCTTTCTTCAAAGGAAGAAATGTGGAATTCCTATGCGAAAAGAAAACAGTTTTGTGATAGATTTTGTAGAACTGACTTTACAGAGTTTATAGAATAACTGACTTCTTACATTTGTGAAACTAAATAAAAATACTTGAACTGCTCCAATCACAATTTTAAATGACTGAAATACTTACCTGTTCATCTACAAAAGTCCGGATCTGCACAGTGTCTTTTGCCATTTTCTTCCTAATTAGAGCTTGTTCTTTTTCATATTCTTTTTCATAGTCAGCATATAAAATAGCTGGGGCTACCTCAGCCACTTTAGGTTCTTGTATATATGCAGTCACCTGAGTTTGGTACATCATTTCTTGTTGCGATTTTATGTAGACCTCATAATCAGCTAGGAGTTAATTACACATTAATTCTGGTAAGCCACTGTCCATTTTTACTGGCATAAATGTAGAAACAAGCTGCAGAAGTTATCAATTAGTATGTATTATTTTAAACAGAGTTTCAGGCGGTGGTGGAACAAGTGCACATCCTGATGCTCTGTGAGAATCAATAAAACAGATAGATGCTCCACCCAGTCTTGATTAAAACTTCATAATTTATATGTTCTAGGACAGGTGTTCTTAAGTACAGACCACTTCTAAAGAGAGAGCTCATCAGCTCTCAGCCTCCTAACCATAACTTCACACCTTCCCTCTGGATATCTAAATATTCTAAATTAGTTTCTTTTTCTAAAGCACATCTCCCAGCTCCTTAGTTAGTTTCCTTTCCCCAGAACCCCAATGCCAACCTTCAAAGCCCCATATACTGTGCAGAGCATTAAGAGCTCTGCAAGAGGAGAGGCTCCTGTAGCTATGCTGAATAGGAGAGTCTAAACTCTGCATGAGCCTAAGGTTAAATATTCTCTCCCTCCTGCAGAAATCCTCAGAAAAGTAGCTGTAGGCACTCTTCCTCCTGCAGAGCTCCCAGTACCGTCTCTTTCTCTGGGGTAAGGAGAGGAGCGTGGAAGGGAGCTAGGCCGGTGTGCCATTCCTTACCATCTGCTTCTACAGAAGTGAAAACTTTGGGTGAAATCCTGGCTCCACTGGAATCAAAGGGAAGCCAGGATTTCACTCTGTGCCCTGCAAGTGGTTCTGTACATCACTGTGGTTTGACAACTGCTAGGAAAGTGCCCATAGATTCAGGACTCCTTTAGGAGACTCACTTAAAAGAAGAATGTCTCCATTTTGAAACTATTTAATGGCTCAGAAAGAAAAGGAAGCTACTGCAATACCTCATCGACCATTGTGACCAGTCTGTTTTTATTATATCAAACTGAGTGGCACCAATTTGCTAATCTTAAAGCAAGTTTAAAAAACTCCAGTCTTATTCTTCCATATTTTTACACTGACTTTTTTCTTAATCCCTCCTCCCCCACTATCCATGCACATACAAATACCTTCTTCCAGTAAAGAGGCTGATGCAGAAGCTTCTCCATGCTTATTGCGAATAACAATAGTGTATTCTCCGGCGTCATCAGCAAAGGTCATCGAAATTTCAAGTCTGCATTCCCCAGTCTCTTTTTTGTAACTCACTTTGTGTCTTTAAGAACATAGAAAACACAAATTCTCCATAATTCTGATAAGCAGAACTCTTAGCGTATTTACTTTTTGAAAGATCTATGACTATTACTCCTCGAAAAAGCCAGTGTTTTGATAATTTTTTAGGCCAATATCAACTTGGAGGAATAGTAGAACAACATAAGAGAAATAACAATACTGCGACCAGAGCTCAATCATACCCTATACCTATAAAAATAATTGAACTCAGAGACAAAAGGCAGTACTGAAGTCTTGAGGATTCCATTATCATATACAATATAACCTTCCCAATATCAGAATTTTTATATACAGGGAGCTTTATTTTTGGCAACATCATTTCCACCATTTTCTATAGGTGATTATATCATGATACATTTCAAGAGTGCCAGAAAATGTACTCAGATGGCTCCTTCACTAAATATTTCCTCAATTCTATAGAATACCGCAGAGAAAATTCAAACCAAAGTGTCTCTCTCTTCTCTATAAATTAATGTGTATGTTGATTTTTAGCTCAACCTTGTATTTATAATTGCTTTTCTAGCCTTTTAAAATATACATTTTATAACCCACCAGAGCAAACATTGCATCCCATAACAGAGAAGAACGGCCTGAAGGGTTTCAAATACTTATCTGTTCAGAAACTTAGGGCTATATTAATTCCTGATGACACCACACTGAGATCAGTGGGGTTACACTAGGGATAGATTTAGTTCAAAGCAGATAACTGAATTCTAATATGTGTCAAATCTATGGAAGTATCATTTGCATATCAAAGAAAGAACAATGTTTAAGTAGGTTATATACCTGTAGCCAGTAGTAAGAGGTACCCCAGCTTTTTTCCAGTAGATGTGTGGCTTTGGGTTGCCCCCAATTTGGCACTCAAAAATGACACTTCCACCTTCAACTAACTTCTGAATTACAGGTTTGGTTATAAAATAAGGAGCCGCAGCTTCTCCAAACACTTCTTGTTCTGCAATAGTGGCATCTACCATTACCACATCTTTTGACTCCATATAGCTGGAAGAAGATTTCAAAGAAGGCAAATGAGCTGATGCAGAAGGAAATCATAAATAAATTGGAAGTAACTAATAATCACAGTACGAGCAGTCTGCTTAGAAAAGTGACTTTACCGTTTCTCTTCTGTGACAGCCTTCACAGAAACTGCTTCTCGGCTCTCAATCTCCTCAGAAACTGTAAGAAAAATATGATAATGTTGATGCCAAAATATTTTAAAAGTGGACAAAGCAGCTAGGAGGGAGGGTAGTTTTGCTGGCTGACTTTAAGGGTCAAGTCCTTGCACTGGGACAGTGAATCAGGAATCTTAGCTTAAATAAATGGAGATATCCTATCTCCTAGAACTGAAAGGAACCTCGAAAGGTCATTGAGTCCTGCCCCCTACCTTCACTAGCAGGACCAAGTACTGATTTTGCCCCAGATCCCTAAGTGGCCCCCTCAAGGATTGAACTCACAATCCTGGGTTTAACAGGCCAATGCTCAAACCACTGAGCTATCCCTCTTGCTCATAACTGGCATCCAGGTGACATAGGGAGACTCCCTCCTGGCCCCTTCAACCCAACCTGGCTGTAACAGTCATAATCAACATTCCTGAGCTGTTTATTACCGTTCACCCTTAATGTTTTTCTCTCTTGCATATTATTGGGCTGTGCCGTTGTTGTTTCTGTGGTATTTTCCAGTCTGATATGACCTATATGGCCAATATAGTGGGGCATGGGATGTGGGTGTGCCGTAATGTTCCTTTGGTATGTGGGTTTTGGATTGTCTTGAATATAGCTCAGTAACAAAGCAAACTCTCTTTCCTCCTCTCAGATACTTGTGATGATCCTTGAGTATTCTCATAGGGGCTCTTACCATTTATTCCTACCATGTAGGATTGCATTTTTAGGACCCTTACTAGTGCGTGATGGTCTTGACACTAGAGGCTGAAATATTTGTCACTGATGGTTGGGAGTAGGAGGACCCCAGAATAGTTGGGAGATGGGGAATATGTCTATCTCTTCCTCAAAATAGGCATCAACCCAGCCATTGTCTGTAGTGATGGGACTAATGTGAAGGGTGGCAGGCCCACGTATCTCTGAGTGAAAACAGGGATGGGGATGCTGCAGGTAGTGTACAATACTAATGGATAGTCCTTGATCTTTGCCCTAGGCAACACAAAATCTTTTATTAGGTGAAGAGACTAGGTGGGAGTTGCTGGCAGGTTTAGCAGCCCTGGAGGCTGCCATGGGCAAATCAAGACACCTGCAGCTGCCAGAAATACTAGCTCTTGGGTATAGAGAAATTGTAATGAAGCCATTTTGACTGAGCAAACTGTTTGTATTCTTGTTGTGAGAAATCTACTTGCCCTGTACATGTAAGTGGCATGAAGTGCTGACAGTTCCAGCTGCATTGGTAGCAGTGCAAGTAAATCTTCCACTGTCTTCTGCAAAGGCTTCACGAATCACAAGGCGAGCAACTCCTGCTTTGAAGGTAATCTGGAAGTCTATGGAACTCTCAATCTGATAGTCTTCTCTGTACCATGACACAGTCGGGGCTGGATGGCCAGAGATGTAGCACTCCAAAGTGACAGATTCGCCTTCAATAACAGTCATGTTTTTCAGACCCTGTATCACACAAAAGTATTTATACAATGAATATGACTCTTCACTAGTAAATAAATCATTTCAACTATATGATAAAACAGTCCTGAAACTTACAATTCAGCATCTATATCAAAATGAGGCACTGATGTGCAGTGCCCCAAATAAATTAGAGAGAAGAGACATTTTCAAACTACAGCTTTTGAAGCTGGAGTTGGGCTGTCTGAATATGTTACTCTTGACAGGGAAAATCTAGAGGGAACTTGATCTTTGTGAGATACTTGTGAGAATTCACTTGTTCAGCAAAGATCATTCTGATAGGTCACATGGCTACAGAGACTGGCAACCGACTACAGACATGAGAGATGGTGTCAGAGCTCCAGAGAGCAACTGAATGTATTGAATACATGACAAAAAGGGGGTGAAACAAAGCATATCTTAAAAGGAATGAAAGGCAAAACAATGTAACCCTTATCTAAATTTTCACTACTTACTGAGACTAAGGTTGGTGGGGTAGCAGGGACTTCTGCTGGCTCAGGAACTCTAGCCATTTCGGTTACCTAGGACATTTAAAGCAGAGTTACTAAACATCCCACAAAGCGAAGGAAATAAATGGTAGACACACTAGAATTGATGTAGGAAAAGGTTTCCTTGCAGAGAGTGACTGCTGCTTGCTGTGACAAAGTGATGTTAGGATCTTAGAAATGCTTGTGCAAAACAAATATCACAACTTACAGTAGACAAAGCTCAGTAGGGATATTTTAAAAGAATAAGCTTGTAATGAGGGAAGCTGTAAACACTTTACTCTATTGTTTGTAAGATGTAAGTCAGTCAAGATGATTTTGGAATTCACTTAATGACAAACCTTTGCTTCACCTTCTTGCATTAATTCAATGTGTTCTTCCCGTACCACACCACCTGTAATGCTCACACTTATGTCTCTTTTGGTCTGAACATCATAACGACTCTTATAGGCGTCAGCTGCCTCTCCAAAGGGAAATTGTGGCGAGACAACCTTCTCTGCCATCACTCTGGTTTCAGGTGGCTTTACTTGTGGTGATTTCACAGGTCTGGTGATCTTTTGAACAGAAGTTGTTGATAACTCTTTTTCCAGAGTAGCCATAGCAGATCCTGCTATTGAAACCTAACCAATCCAAGAGAAAGAAAGTTACAGTTGTGTTATTCTTATTTTCAAAAGATGAACTATGCATTTCCCAGATTACATATGACTGTTACTTTCTTATTCACGTATTTATTGACATTAGATAAGCTACATAAAGACACTTTCAACCTTCCTATGCTGTAAAATAACATAGCTTTAAAATATATATATATGCTTGTATGCAGACTTAAAGTTGTATAGCAAAGTATTCTATTATATTGTGTTAGAATTTTGTTCTTTAAATAGCAACATAGCTCTCTAAGGAATGTGCTATATTGCTTTCTAGGCTTGAACTCAGATTTCACTAAGGCATCACAGAACTAATTATATGCCAGGAAGTGATTAAAATACCTCAAGAGATTTCAAAGTGCAACCTTTATGCATAACTAAGTTGGACCGTGTCCCTAATTTTTAAAAAAAGATGAAAAAACTCCTCAAACAGTAGAAAGGAAAAAGCAACATGAAATTAATGCAAAAGCACATGGTTCTTTATGGGGCCATAAAATATAATTTGGATTAGGGATGTAGAGCATGTTAATTCCTAAACTGGTTTAGTATGCAGTAAAACAACTGCAAAGAAAAAAAATAAGTACTGCTCCTGAAGTATTATTTCTTTAATGTGAGAAGTTGAGCATGAATCAGGATTTTTTCCCTACCCTTTAAACAGGGTGAAGGTGTATGCCAGGGATGTAGCATTTTATTGTAAATACCACATGTTCTAGCTGCATTCCGAATATATGAAATGGTTGGGGTTTTAAAAAAATACCCAACAAAATCACTTTTTGGCAGGATTTCACAAATAAAGGGCATACATTTATTTGCACTATTATATTTTACTTACTAGGGAATTGGGCAACACAAATCAAAGATAGCACAACCTCTTCCCCCAAATGGGAGTAACACAGTATTGTATGGGGAGGGGGAAGAAGGGGCATCAATATGGAAAAAATGAGGTATCAGTTATTTTAACTGAGCTTGCTGTTTGCCTAACACCTTTCCTCCACTTCTTACCTCATAAGTATGATCTGGTTTAGGAACAGTAATTTTTGAAACTGTAAAATGAGGACTTGCTGTCCGGGGACGTGTGTGTTCCACAAGGACTGCTTTTTCAGTTCTGGTTTCTTCTGTTCTTTTAATCTACATTAACCAATAAAATGTTTGGTCAGTATGTTGTGCTAGTCACCAAATTGCAAAATAAAAAGTTTCATTAAAAAAACAACAACAGCCAGCCAGAGAAAGAGTGCAATGTAAACCAAGTCTAACCTGTGTTGATATATGCATTCCCATTTTTTCAGTGGTGGAAACTTTTGTTTCAGAAGGAACGTGTACTGGTTTGGTGACAACATGACGTTCGGTTGGCACCTCAACAATGTGACCTGTCATAGTACGCTCTTTATATCCATATTCCAAAGCTGTCTGCTCAGCATAGGCTTCTTCAGTGTGCTCTAGCTCCCAGGGCTCTCTAACACGTGCATGATCAACTGCAGCAACAACTGTAGCTACAGCTTCAGCCTTTTTGTAAGCTCCAATCTAAAGATAACATTTACAGAATTCATACAAATACTCACGGTGATGACAAAGATTTGTCTATCTGGCAAATACACAGTACATACATGTTATAGAGAACAGAAAACGTACATACGTTATATAGTATGGAAAATATGTAAGCCTGTATTTACCGACATGTGCATTTCATAGTCACTAGCTGTAAATATATATTTATATTGAATAAATATACATCCACACTATGCACATGCATATTTCTATATACAGTACACAATGTATATTAAATACTTTGCTGGCACATTCATGACTATAGTACTGTATGTATAATATTTAAAAAGCGATAATTTCTGACAGCTGCACGTAATTCTATATCAGACATTACTACGAGAAATGGTCGAAGTATGTATATGCTGTTTCATGTGCAAGCACTGCATAGTCCATTCATGCACAATGAGCCTTAGGAAATATATAGCTGTAACTTCAATGCACGGAAAAGTTGTGCTAATGTATTTTACAAGTTCCTAATAGGGAAGGATAACTGAGTATTTTGGTAAAAGGGAAGTGGTGCTTTTGTGCCAGGATTTAACTTGTTTTTAACTTCCTGATCCATAATTGGTTTCACATTTGATGTCAGTGTAATTTCTCCATTATCAAGCTCTGGTTTGGTCAGCAGCAGATATTTGAGTAGCAACTGCTGCTGTTTTTTCAGTATTATAATTAACCTGGATACGGTATATAGTAAAAGAGCATGTGAAAAAATTAACACTTTTAAATAATAAATTGCCTTCATTCACCCATTTTACATACAGCTTTAAAAACAGTTCACCACGTGAAGTAATATCTCTAAGCTAGGTCAGACAGATTGTCTGCAGACGTTTCTTTTACTATTGATAAGGCTTTGCACTCTAAGGGCTGGATTATTCAATGCTAGTGCTAACTTCAAAGAAAGTGCTTATGGCAGTGTTGAATCTGGCCATAAATTCACACACCAAAGAACTGTGAATTCTGTGCACACTGAACCCTTGGTGTATATTTTATCTGATTTTGCTTTTTTCATTGAAAATTAATCAAAACATTTTGTAAACATACCAGTGATGTTTTCAATTAATTAATTACATTAAGAAAAAAGTGGGCCATATCCTGTAGTTCACAATCATGCTACTCTCTCACTGATGACAGGACTCAGCCCTATTACATTAGAATCCTCTTAACTGGCATAGACCCCAGTGGAAACAGAAACGAACAATGGTCCCCTTTATCAGAGGCTTATAAGAATATATTGGGTGGAACTGAATTGTTTTAAATATATGCATTGTACGAAGAACTAAAACAATACAAATCCTGATAAAGTGAAATCAAATGGTCAATTAACCATAAAATTAAAGGGGAATAGCCTATATACTAAAGGACTTCAGAGACAGAAATTTACATAAGCAAACACCAGTTCAAAGTTATCTACTGAGACCAGGCTTTCAGAGATGATCATAGGTGGTGCTATTTAAAGTGATTTTTTATAAATGGATAGGCCATTAGTTAATTTTCTAGAATTACTGAGATTCATTACACTGAATCTGTTCCTTGTCAAATTACCCCAATTAAGCAGGCACATTAAGGGGAATGCAACTGAGTGGATTCTAGTGTACACAAGTAGTTCTTAACTGATGGTGAAGCATAAGGAGGCTTGCAGAGAAAGTAAGCTGGAACAGTGTATTTCACATCTGCAACAGCCGTATTCACCTGATCACGAATTAGATGCATTTGTTCTTGTTTGGTAGTAATTCCTTCTCTGGCTCTTGGTATTGTTACTGGTTCTTTGGATTTATCAGCAGCAATTACTGTCGGAACTACAGTAATTTTTTCAGCTTCCTTTTTTATCTGATTATTATGGTAGAAACAAAAAAGTTTCAATTACATATGGTCTCATTAAAAAAAAAAAAGCAAAAAGCAAAAAGCATTAGAATGGGGGAAAGGGTTAAGGTTTTAGATCCCTGTACGCTGCAGCCTCCGAGTGACTCTGTATTAGCTAGATGTTGATGAGTATTGTTACATCCTAATGCCTATTTAAATAAAATATAGTATTTTAAAAAAGTTAAAATGCTCTTTACTGCAAAGAAATCAGTGTCAGTCAAAAGAGAGTTATGGATATCTTATTAATGCTAACTATTAGGAGTGAAGGACAAAGTGGGAAGAACTAGATTCTAATTCATAGTTGACATAAGTTTTGAGTTGGAGTAAGTTTTAGAAAAAACCCAGGAAATATATAGTTAGTATTTGTAGGGGAAGTATTAGTGTGCAAAGGGAGTATCACAGGAGAGTGAATATCACATTTATAACAGTTCTATTCACCTTTTCATCAGTTACTCGTACTTGTTCTTGTTTGGTAGCAACTTCTTCTCTAGTTCTCGATATTCTGACTGGTGCTTTAGGTTTATCAGTGGTAATTACTACCTTAGGCACAGAAGGTTTCACAGCATCCTTTCTCATCTGGTTTTTATGATAAAATAAAGTTTCAATTATATATGCTCTCAAACCAAATTACATGACTTTTCAGGAAAGTGGGGCAGGTTGATGGAATATTATGTAGACAAGGCAGTGGCACAGCTAGGAGTGGAAATTTGGGTGGGTCCCAACTTTCGGGTGGACGGGCAATGACAGACTGTGTTTGCTCAGCTTCTCCCCGACACCATGCCCTCTTCCTAGCCCTGGTGCCCCCAGACACAGGGCTTCACCTGCCGAGCTGAGCACGCGCATGGGGTGGCTCAGAAAATGGCAAGGTAGAGCTGCCGGAGCGTAGCTTTCTGAAGGGCGGTCACATAGCTCTGTCCTGGATTTCAAGTGTCTGAGTGATGTTCCGGGCTGCTGTGGCAGCACTATACCCCTGCTTAGATTTGGGTGGGCCTGGATGCTAAGTGGGTGGGCCCACCCGGGGCTACACCTCTAAGACATGGGGAAAGGAAAGAAGATGAAATGCCACTTGTAGAGTGGAATAACTATTGTGTGTAAGCCAACTTCCGTCCCATCTTACACACTTTGCAACCCAGTTAAATTCAGTAGTTACACTGTGTGAGAAAGAATCAGGGAAGAATTTGGCCCCCTACTGGTTACATTTAAGTGACCATCATTGTAGCCTCCTGATATAAACTCCTTTTAGCAGCTGCATAGAAATGAGTATTACTCTGACCTAACATTTACTCTCATTAGTCAGTGGGGCTACTCAGCTAAATAAGGGCTACTCAATGTGAGTAAGGGCTCCAAAATCATCTGGTATTAGCTGTGAGACTGATCAGACAGTTTGTAGTCAGGCAAAACTTCTAGCAAACTTCACTGGCTCAAACCCTTTATGTAAGTGAATATTATTCTGTTCTGATGGCTAACTGAATAAAAACTCTTTAAAAGGTTCTCTTAAAATCCACCTTCATACAACAAGTAAAGGTCACTAATCATCAAATGAGAATTATGAGCATGTTAGTAATGACAACCACAATATTTAAATAACTGATGTTAAGAGCTCCAGCTTGCAGTTCCTGACTAGTCAGAACTCCTAAGTCAGTGGGAGTTTTGCCTGGAACTGTAATACTGGCCTCTTTATGGAACAGTTACTTTATAAATTTTTCTACTGTTGGAGCCTTCAGCTCATAAAAAAACAAAGGCAAAATACATAAGGAGCATTTGATAGAGATTGTTAATGAAAAAGGGTATATCGGTGAGTTACATCTATAACAGCTGTATTTACCTTTTCATGAGTGATGTGAATTTGCTCTCGTTTTGTAGAAATTTCTTCTCTAGCTCTTGATACTTTTTCTTGTTCTTTGGCTTTATCAGCAACAATTATTACCTTGGGTATAGGAGCTTTCTCTGGTTCCTTTCTTATCTGATTTTTACAGTAAAAAAGTCTCAATTGCATATAATCTCAAATGCAAATTACATGACTTTTATATAACATTGGAGAAGAGGCTGGACTACTGAAGGGAAAAGAGGTTAAATTTCACTGGAGGTCCTTGTAGAAGGAAGTGATTGTGAGTCACTGTTTGCACCCTGGAATAACTGTATACAAGTGAATATCATTGTTACATGATGCCTACTCCAGTGTTTTATATAGATTTTAAAAATTGATTAGACTGGCAACAACAACAACTGAACTTCTTTTATGAAATGTACAGTGAGAAGAAAAATAAAATAACTTACTCTATACACTCTGCCATTTTCCTACTAAAAGGCAGTAAGTAAAAGAAACTGGGACAGGAAGAAACTTATCTGCATTACAATCAATGGAGGGAAAGCCATGATTTCGAATGCATATTTTTTTGGCAAATTTCACTTTATCCAGGAGGTTTAGATGAAAATACAGAACATGCTCCTCCCTGTGTAATGGTGGTTTTCTGATTTCCATCCCTCAGTACCGTAAAGGTAAATTACTCCTCCTCCTGCCCAGACTATTTCTCACCTTGAACCTTGATATTTCACTCTAGATTCCATCGTCAGGACTAGACTCAACCTTTACTTGGATTTAGACCCACCCACCCTCACAACTAGATTCCTTTTTACCCTCTCAATTTGAAGCCTGACCTCACCACTTGACTGATCCCACCTACTGGTCTGGAGAAGCTGTAAAGGGTGGTGGACTTCAGAAATGTACCATTTCTATGGGAGGGAGGCATAAGTTACTCTATCTTCGTATGAAACTCCTGGGGACTGTCCAGAAATAGAATGAAGAAATACCAACAGGCCCTGATTCCGCAAACACTTGCACATTTGGTTAACTTTGCTCATTTGAATAACCCCACTGACTGTAATAGGGCTACTTATGAGTAAGGTTAAGCATATGCATACTTGGTTGCAGAATCAGGGCTTAAGTTAAAATAAATGTATCTGAAAATTAAAAACAAAACATATGCTGAAAGTTATCTGAAATTCAGTCACCAGTATTTTGTTTCACATTGTTTTCAGTGCAGAATGAGTTTCTTCTTAATGTATCTTGCCTCCTATTTGTTAACAGAAAAATGCCACGTGTATGGAATAAACTCAGAAAGAGCCACAGAAAAATGGAAAATCCAAGAAGAGGTGTGTGGGCTTTTTTTTTTTTTTTTTAAACACACGTTTGGCGTATTATCTAGCTATACAACAAATGGTAGAAAAACAATGGCATTTTTCCAGGAATTCATTTTTTCAAAAAATTCTCTTTAATCTATCTATAATATTCATAGAGTACTAGCCACAGTAGTATCTAAATATCTTATACAAAACCATCAGTCATCAAGAGAGAATTATGAGAATGCTAGTATTGAAAACCCTGGTGAGCGAGTTATATTAGTAATGAAAACTAAGGGAGAAGAGTTATACAGTGACACTTTGTATTGCTGGGCTTCTCAATTCATAAGTTACAAAAAGAAAAGGAAAGAAAAATATATACATAGTTTGTCTTTAAAGTAGGGTTTAACTATGAATATTACATCTGTAACAACTGTATTCACCTTTTCATGAGTGATGTGTACTTCTTGTTTGGTAGCAATTCCTTCTCTAGTTCTTGATATTATTTCCTGTTCTTTGGATTTATCAGTAGTAACTACTACCATAGCTTCCTTTCTTATCTGATTTTTATAGGAGGGAAAAACAACAACCTTAAAATACATTTCAACACAGAGTAAAGATCAGTTATCAAAAGAAAGTAGTATAAATTAAGGGGGAAATGCTGGGGAATAGTTATTTTAAGCTCAGCTGGGAAAATTCAAGTTAAATATAAGGAAATTTTTTGTCAGTATAAGAACAACATTAGGTAATGGAATAAGCTGCCAAAGGACATTATGGGATCATTTTCACTGGAGTTATTAAAAACAAGACGATACCCATTCCTCAGGAATGGTGTAAGAATAATTAAGTCAACTCAGTCATGATGTGAGGTGATAGATGAGATGACCATTAGCAGTCCCCTACAGTCCAGATGCTTCTGCACCAATAATGCATGCTTATATGAAGCACTTAGTATCTTGTTAATTTTGCACTGTGAAGTACATGCTTTGTTTGCATGTAGGATCAGGGGTAAGGAGGAAATTATATAACAGCTGTGTTTTACTTCTACCTGCTCCTGAACAGGTTGAATGTGTACCGCAGTCATTGCTGTCCTTTTAGAAACCTGCTCTACAGGGCTTGGAACTGGTTCTCTCACTCTAGCCAGGTCAACTGCAGCAACTACAGTAGCAACAGCTGCTGTTTTATCAGTGTCCTGTAGGACCAAAATTAGTCACATCAGAAGATATTATTTTATAGGTTGCATACATAGAATAAACATATGACAATTACATGCACAGAATATTGCTGTCAAAGGTATATTTAAACATTTCCAGGGGAACTCCCTAAATAGCTGTTGTAAGCAAGTGTTTACATGCAGTCTCTCAAATTACATTTAGCAGTTCTCTCAGCATACGCAATGTTCTTTCCAAATTTAAAGACTCTTTACCTCTTTAGCACCAGCAGCTATACCAGCAACAGAGACACCAGCAGCAGCACCACTAATGGTCATCTGGTCTTGGACACCATATCTCCCTTCCCATCTTTCTTCTGTCCTTATCTGGGTAGCACTTGTAGTTACTCTAGTTTCCTGCATCCGTGCCTCAGCTGCAGAGCCATAACCTTCCAGCTTCCAAGGAGGAACAACCTCAGCAGCAGTGGCTACTGTTGCCTGTGCTTTACGGATCAGTGCTGGAGATTTCACAGGCCTAATAGGTGAAGTGGAGAGTCTTCCAGCAGGAGATACTGACCTAATGAATAAACATAACATTACTGGTATTAAATTTAGCATCACATAATAAAATAAAATAAAATAAAATAAAATAAAATAAAATAAAATAACCGCACAAGTAACACAGAATTGATATTCATTTCCTGTTTAGGATACCATCAGTACCTGGACACTGAGCTAAATAAAAAACCAACAAAAAACAAAACAAACCCAATGTCCCCTTTCTTCTCCCTCTCCCCCCAGGTGGAAAATGTTTAAATTTGAATTTTTTTGACCAAACTTTACTTATAAACTCCAGGGCTACAAGAAACCAACCAACTAATAGTGATAGGCTGCATGGCAGTTGGGAACACTGGATTTATTTATTTAGAAAAGGAAAGCAAAACTTCCAGTTGATTTGTTACCTTCAAATTGTGTAAATGGTTAGATTGTGTGAGCTGCTTACCATTCCCCTATTCCCTTCCTTCCTTCCTATTGTTTGTTACACTCACTTGTTCTCTTGTTTGAAATTATGCTCTTCAAACAGTCTTCCTATGTGTTTGTTCAGCTCCCAATACAGTGGGGCCCTGATCCTGACTGGGTCTTTTGGATGCTATCACAATGTAAATAATAAATAGGAGAGGAGATCTCATTGTTTTATTATTTATTTACTAAATGCCATCAATGTGCTTGACACTGCAAGAAGGAAAGGACACGAGGAGCTTTCCTGCTCTTGTAGGTTTGTCAGATCCTTAAATTATTGAAGGATTTTTAATGACTTAATTAGCTTTACAGTAAAGACATAAGAGAGAACATCACAATGTATTTCACTCAAGAATATATATTTATTATAAAAGTACCAGAAATGATAAGTTCACATTGGGTCAGAGACTATATTTTTTACTCAGATAATGGGAGTTTTGAGAAAGGACTATAGGATCAGGGGCATTATGTACTAAATTAGGTCCCAGTTCTGCAATGAGCCCCGCTGAATTCAGTGGAGCATCATGTGGGGGCACAGAAGTCTGCCTTTGATCAGTGCATTTCAGGATTGGGGTCTATCTCCATTGCAACATTTCCTTTTACCAATTACAGCAGCACTAATTGGTATCTGCTGTTACAGCGATAAACAGAGCTTTTAGAAAGACTAACACTTTAAAAATTAATTGTATTAATATGTAGTTATAAAGCACTTTCCAATTTGCTTTAACACCACTACTAAATACATCTTTTCCCCAAGATGAGTTCATGTATATCAAATTTCTAGCACCATTAACATATTTTAACACTGCCACAATCTGAACCATTGCAGCATTAGTGGTGGTCTCCAGCATTATACTTTTATGTTTTATGCTTATTTTCACATCTAATTTAGATGTAAATGTTATTTTTGAGTTAATAATGTATTTCACACAGGTCTACCAAGAGTATAAAAACAACAAGGAGTCCGGTGGCACCTTAAAGACTAATAGATTTATTTGGGCATAAGCTTGATACCTAGAGTATAACATTTTTAGTGCATTATGCCCTCTAGATGGCACTATTGTATTATCCTTGCATTTACACAGGTGCTCATGGATTAATTATGCTTGTAAATTATTAGTTACTACCAATCCATTGCTACTTCTTGTATATACAGCAATAGCTGTTCTCACTGTGATGAAATTCACCACAAAGCAGAGCTGGCACAAAGGTTTAAATGGGGCCTCATTCAGCTCAGAGACATTTCGCTTTTCTGGCCCAGTGCTTGGTGCAGTGGGGAGCTGAGGCAGCGGAGCCAGAAGAGTCTAATAGCTCTTCATCGGTGCCCCAGTGCAAATGAATTGGGCTCTGCCATACCACAGCTGTGGACCCTGCACTTCAAATCACTCCCTTTCCCTCCTGAGGCCCTCTACACATATCAGAGCTAAACCCTCATTTCCCCATAACCATGCTAATTTTTCTTGCCTCCACAGCCTTAACTCTGGAATCATTTCCTACATGTCCATAATATACCTGTGTCCACAGATGTTCGCAGTTATTTTTCTATTGATCCTTCCATTCTGCATGAAACTCACCAAATGCCTACGCTCTTTTCTTTTCCCATACAGTAATTACCAAAGGCCAGATTCTGATCGAACTTACGTACAGTGGAGCAAAAAAAGTGTTACTCCAGCTTTGTGTGGTGGAACACAGTGCAGAATGTGAACCTACACATTTTCTAAAGGATTTCCTAAACCTATCTCAGAGGATGGAGCATTTGCAGACAGCTGCCAAAACCCTCCTCCTGAAGCTTTGACAACTGTACAAAACCAACAGTCAGAACAAGTCATTCTACGTTGTGCTTTCAGTTCGCATCATCACCATTTAATTTTCTCATTTTACTGGTGGGAATGACTCAAAATTCAATCTTTCCTTGATAGTTAACATGATTTACCTGACTGGTGATGGTGTTGGTGCTCTAACATGTCTTACAGGTGACAGTGACTGTCTAATGGGAGATGGTGACTGCTGTCGTGCCATCTGTACTTTTGCTGCACTTATTGGTGGAGTTGGTGATTTTGATGTAGGTTTAGGAGGCATTCTTGGAGGTGCCTTGTGTGGGAGCTGTTGTCCTGTGGCACCCTCTATGGACATTTCAACAGTTGTAAGTGATCTAGCATCAAAGTGGGCTTCTATTTTCTATAATGAAAGAAAGAACAATGGTGAGACTCTGCAATGCCAAGAATCAATTTCTAAAGCTTTTAACACCATTAGCTTTGAAAAAATGTACCTTTTCAATTCTGGCTTGTCTTGTTTGCGAAATCTGAGCAGTCGAAACAATCGTCTTTGTCTTTTTAGCGGGTACTACTTCTTCCTCGCCTATCAGAAGGTAAAACATGAATAGTCAGGAGAATTATATGTGGTAATAAACAATAATAGCTTTTTAGAAGAAACTAAACATGCAATGCCAATTGTATATCAGCATGCATAAACACCAGAGAAAGAATTAATCAGCCATCTGTTTTTCTTGCAGTATCTATAGGCAAATAATTGTGGAACCAGTTGAAATAAGATTAGCCTTTTTGTAGAACTATGTAATTAGGACAAAAAATTAAAAGCATATTAATTATACTTCAGAATCATTCCAGTCTCCCAAATACATACATAGTTAGTCTAAACGTGTATTTTAACTGGTGAGCCAAGAAAGGTTGCCTTGGATATAATGGTATTATGAGTATGATTGAAAGGGCTCCATTCAACCCGAAACCGCCTTCATAGCCACTGGGCTCATTCTCATCTGCACTCTCACCATGGAGTCTACTCTCTCTTGTGAGGGGGTATTGCTTCCAAGAAATGGCTGCATAATGCCAATTACAGCCTTATACAGATGACCAAACTTCTATTAACCCTTTCCCCATGATTAAAGTCTGTGACCTTACTTCAGCCATGTATGGCTTGCACACACTAGAAAGGCTCATATATTTTAGTCTGGTCAGGGCCCTAAGTATATAATGTTGTTGTAGCAGGAATAGTAAAAGCCCTTGTGTCTTTATTAGGTGAATTTTAAACTTTAATGTCTGGGTAGTTTTCAGTTTAAAAATATACAGTAGATGAAGTCCAGACTCCTCTACATATGTGTATGTGAGGAATGAGCTGATCAAAAAGGGCAATTCTGCTGTGCCTCATTCTGGGCTGCTCCCATATTCTTGGAGTTCACACTCTGCAGATGCATTGTGAGACCAGAGGCCTGAAGTTAGGGAGCACTGATTTTTGAATATCAACATGAACATTCTACCATTCATTTGCTATGTGTGTCTCACAAATTCCTCTAGTGAGAAGAAGTTCTGATGGGGCACAGAAATGGGGCCATGTTAATGTTGCTCTTGCAGTATTAGCATATACGCATCTTACTGCAAAAATCAAATTATGCCTTAATCTGGTTTTGCAATGAAAAATAATCATTTAGCAAATTAAAAACAGTCCTGTACCTACTAATGTCAATAAGAGTTTTGCTCTTAAGAACTGCAGAATGTGGCCCAACAGCAGTAGATAAAAGACCTTGGTTTTAAAATCTAATTTTTTAAAAATTCTGCAAGAGCAAAACAAAACAACCTCTCACAAAAAAACCAAAACCCTTCTGTGATGCCTATACTGTACTTATATAATTCAAAGAAGTCCAACTGAAGGAATTGTTTTATGCTGAAAATGTACTTTTTGTTACCAGCCTGGAACCTTTTATGACATGTTTCAGCTTGGAATGAATTTTTACAACCAGGTTACAAACTCTTGAGAAATGGGTTATTAATGAAATTGCTGATCAACATTAATTGCAGCAGTGCCCTTTATACCACAACAAGAATGTACATGTTCTTATTTCCGTGGCTTACAACCTCAACTCCATTACCTTGAACCAGCAATTCGGCTGTAGAAGTAGCTCGTCCCACGCTATTTGTGGCATTTACTGAATAGGTTCCGGAGTCTTCAGGATAAGCTTCTGCAATTATTAAACTGTATAGGTCTCCTTCTTGTGAAATTTGAAAATCGAGGGAGCTTTGAATTTCTGCTCCATCCCGATAGAACTTCACCACAGGTGTAGGGATTCCAGTCACTCTAACATCAAGTCGAACTTGCTTTCCTTGCCTTATTGTCATGCTCTGTAGACGTTGTGTAAAGTTTGGTGGTGCTGTTTCAGCTATAATTTGATTAGAAAAATTAAAGTTCACTCAGTAAAGAACTTCATAAGGCCTAAACATTTCCAATACTAGAAGCATTCACAGCCTTTATGCTCTTTACAAATACCCTTTATATATAAACTACAGTCTCCTTATTTATCTCCCAGTTGCTATTGATATAGAAGAGGGCCACCTTGTCTAACATTAAAATAAATTAAGGCCTCCTTTCTGCAAACACATATACATGTCCTTAACTTTACTCACATGAGTAAAGCCCTGATCCAGCAAACACTTACACATGTACTTAACTTCATGTGAGTATTTCCATTGCTGTCAATGGGACTACTCACATGAGCAAAGTTGAACATGTGCATAAGAGTTTGCAAAATCAGGGCCTATATTGATATATTGGTAAGAAAGGGCCAGATCCATTCTATATTGATGTGAGTACAGTCCCACAGAAGTTAATAAGGGCCCTATCCTTCAAACCCTTATTCACAGGAATAATCTTTACTTACATGACTAATTCCATTGAAGTTGGTGATGCTACTTGTGTGAGTAAAGATTACTCTTGAATAAAGGTTTGTAGTGTTAGGACAGGCATCTGGAACGACTATACTCGTAAGTGTTTGTACAGTCTGGTTCATAGTTTATACTGCTGAAGACTGTTGTAATAGTAATATTTGAAAATTCACCATGAAGTGATGAAGAATCCTATCTACATCTATAAGGAATCTAAGCATATACTGAAGTTTTTTTGGGGGGGGAAATCTAGCTTGCTTTAGGAGTAAGGAATTTGATTTGTTGTTACTATCTTGTATGGTGTTTGCATCTCATATTTTTGTGTTATTTTTATCCAAGTTTCGAATATATACATAATTTTTATTTTAGCTCCCTCACCTCTGGTGACAAGGGGAAGTGTCAATAGTTTGCTGTCCCTCCTTAACCATACTGTACCTGTGACAAGTAGCTCAACGGTACTAGTTGCTTGCCCAGATCTATTGGTGGCTTGTATACTGTATCTTCCACTGTTGTCTGCTGTCACGGCGGGGATCACGAGCTTAGCGCGGCCATCGCTAAAGGAGATCTGCACGCCGGGCAGAGTTGCAGCAGAGATAACCTGGCCATCCCGAAACCAGCTCACCTCAGGAACTGGGGAACCTACAGAAAGCAGTAGATAAAGAAAGTGATTTCAGCATCATTATAGACCAGGAGCCCCCAAATACCTCTGCTAATTACAAATATGTATGGCAGCTTTCAACCATCTGAGGGAATTGCTGCATGTGCACAGGTTTGCAATTACACCAGTAGCATAAAATCACAACACTCAAGGCATTTTCCTGATGTCTTGACAATACATAGAGTTTTAGTGTAATTCACAGGCTGATAGATTAAGAAATTCCTCAAACAGTGTCCTGCACCATTTGAAAGCCCTGTTAAGGGAGTTGACGTTAGTCTCATTTAAGAATTATATGAAAGATTGAGAAATTCATGCCTTTGATTTGTTCACTAGTATAAAAAAAATAAAGTACAGGTTCCTTGTAATGAAATTATATAATCCAAGCGTGAGGCAACAAGAAGTAAATTGAAAATGCAGACTGAATTACAGTATTCCCCCTAATAATGAATTTATTAAATAAGCTACCACTGAAAGTGACTGTAGCAAAAAGTAAAATCAAGAGTTATCTTTATATCTTTCTGGAGAGGATGATGGCAAAGCCTCATGGAAGTGAATGAATGAGGGATTCATATAAACTAGCAGAAAGCAGCCACATTGAGTCAGATATTTTACTGTTCAAATATATTATGTTCTTAGGGGCAAATCCCTCAGGCAAGACTCCCACTTTCAGTATAGACTCCATGTACAGTCATAATTGGCTTCCAGCTTCAAATGGGAACTTAAACATGACAGGGAAAATCCTCTTCCAGCACTCAGATGCCAAGAGGAATCCTTGTGAAGGGAGAAGAATCCTACTACCCACGTCACACAGCAGGAGACAAGCGGCTCTGTGGGGGCTATTCCAGCTGAGAGGACTCTTTGTGGTCTCAGGAAACCCCTTTTCTAAGGTGGAGGGACCCAAATATCTGTTAAGTGACAGATCTCTATCCTCACCCATGTCTCTCCATCCACCCCTCCACTTCCCCGAATCCCTTTTATGCACAGCCATGCAGAAATCGCCATAATGTTGGGTTCTGCGCATGGCAAAGTTGTGCAGTTATGCATGACCTCTTCCAATAATGCCCAACTGCAGAAGTGGACCAGTTCCATTGCAAAAAGGCCCTTTATAGCCCCAGGAGGCGGCCCTGGGGCTGCACTAGTCAAGTTGCCCTAGAGCTGCTACTACAGTCTCAAGAGTCTCTACCTTTGTATGCTCCAAAGGCCCTCAGGCTGCAGAATTCTTCCCCCTAACACTTGCAAAGAACCCCTCTAAAGAACCCAGTTATTTATTTGAACTCTGTATGAGGCCAAGAATATGACTGTATGAGAATACAGGCTGTGAGGGAGAAAGTTTTTGTTGGGAGTCTGCAATCATTCTAGACTTGTTTCGAAAAGTTGCAGATTTTGCTGTTTCTCATGGCCAAAAAAATTAACTGGAGTTATTTTGTTTTATATTTATATATAAAAATCAAATAATTCAGACATTATATATAAAAGTATGTGACCAGTCTGGGGAAGAGAGAGACTTTTCAAACCAAAAATAGAAACACTACATTTAGGTGCTTACAGTTTCACAGATGTAGCTAAGCAAATACCAAGGATTAGGGGGTGGCTCAGTTTTCAAGGGAGCAGTTTGAGACACTTTGGGACTGAGTTTCACAAGCATAGAGCATACCAAGAGTGAAGCTTGTAAATGCAGGCTTGTCATTGTTCAGTATTTGGAAGGGAATAACCCAAATAAACTAACAGGAGTCCAAGTTAACTCTTTATTAATGAATGCAAAATCCAAACAATACTGTGGAAACAGACACACACACAAGCAAGTCACAGTATGGTTCACATGTATAATTTAGTTTATTTACTCTAGTGTTATAGGCTGCATCCTGTAGTGTTTATTAAGCACACTTTTAGTGCTCTCAGATTAATTGTGCTCTTCCTATTCAATCTAGAATTATACATAATATTTGACTTGTATATAACATGGCTTTATTCAAAGGTTTGAATTTAATATTCACAATGATTGATAAAAGAGACCACTATCCAGGTGACAGAAATAAAGTTACACTGTCTGTGATTTAGAAGGTCAGATTCCAGGAAATAAAACGTTCACAATTTTTTGTACATTAGAAAAACGAAATACTGAATCACTGCCAGAACTGTCAGACCTGATGAGTGGCTTTGGGGAGGAAGGGATGTTCCAGTATCCCACAACATGAATAAGAGCTAAGAAAAGATTGGTTCACATAAGGTTTGGGCCTAAAATAAAAGAATGGTACATGCAGTTATAAAACTGATGTGTCCCTTATCAGTATTAAATTAAGTTTCACTCACAAATATTACAGGATATTATAAATGAAAAGAAAATAGCTGAAATCATTCATTCATCAAGAACTTCAGCATCATAACTGGTTTTAATGGTACATTTATCTATTTTACTTTTATGGTTAATGGATTTATTACAAGGGTGATTTTCCTCAGCATATCTATACAACTTCATATGAAACCTACATCAAACAAAAATTCTGCTGTTACAGAAGGCTGGGATGGCTAACACTGGAGCAATGGATCAAACCCTGAAAAGTGGGTACAAAATAATTCACAGATGTAAATGGGCATATGGTGGTATTTAAATGTCCCATATGATCCTATGTTAATCAAGGGATCCAAAATGTTGGTATAGGTCTGGGTGCAAAAGCATGATTGGCAGTCACACTTTGGAGTAAGTACATCTTAGACACCCATAGGGCAATGATTACCAGCCACAGCAAATGTCAAAGGTGGCTATGGTGCTGGACAGACAACATATCTGCCAGGGGGTAATTGTACAACTGCAGATCATGGATGCTTTGTTTTATAGTATGTGGTAGTCACAGTGCTAATACCAACACCCTAATGCACTTCCTTAACCATCCCATTCTGTGTCACTTCTCCTTAGTACTGAGCATGTGTCAAAGCCACTCCTGGAACAAGGCATTGGCTGCTCTGGCACTTATTTTGATTGACTAATAGGGTTTGAGTGGGGCTTTGTACATTCTCGGTGTTCATGCTGACTCAACATACGATAAAAATAGTGAATAAGATTTGATAAAATGGCACTTTATTTAAAAATGAAGGTGCTTCTTTAAGTTGCCCCATGATATTAGTTATGTTTGGACAATCTTATACTACCTCTAAACAGACTTTCCTATCATTTTGAGTGGGCACACAAGCCCAAATTCTGTGCTTATACCCATACGACTCCACCAAAATCATAGAGTCAAGAGGGTTGAATGGGGCGTAAGTCAACAGAAAATGAGCTAGTGTGCCCAGCACAAAAAAAATGGTCCCCTTTTGTTCTGGATCAGCAGTGAACCTTCTGCTACTTGGCTCCTCACTCTGTCATGTCCCCATAGACTCTGTGCATACATCCCTAGATCTCTCACTAGCACACTTTTCACTTTTATCCCTATTTCTTCCTTTGCTTTGTTAACTGGGGCCCAAGTCTGCTCCTATTGAAGTCAATGAGAATTTGGCCACAGACTTCAGTGGTAGCAGAATTGGGCCTTTCCTTTGATCCATCATAATTCTGCACAGTATGTCTGCTGGACTCTGATAGCACTCTCTGAAGTAGGCTAATCCATTGAAGAAATGACATTATATTACTTGACCTTTTTCAGGACTGTCAGATTTGGATATATTCATGTACTGACAATCTTTACTCCATCACATTACATGACTATCTAAAGCACTGGCAATTGTACGTTTGCCTTACATTTCCACAACATAAATAATTCAGGACCAAGAAATGAAGGTAATCAGAAAGGACTAAGTCTTACCACTAACATGAGCCTCAAAGGTTGCGGCACTACCCTCCAGTGCCACAACACTTTGTAACGGCTGCGTAAATGTTGGTGCTTTTGTCGTCATCTTTATAGGCACTCTGAAAGAAAGAGGAAAACATAATTAGATGTCAAATGCCAAGCTCTTTAAAGTTCTTACTGTACACATTTCCTCTCCTTTCTTACTGTACAGGCACCTTTTATTTGTACATGGCATGGAATGATTTATCCTTCTCAGCCTTAAACCATATTGGCCTGGCTATGCTTTAATATTGGAATTTTTGGAATATAATAATGTAGGGTCTGCTCCTGCTCCCACTGAAGACAATAATACAACTCCTATTGACTTCATTGGAGTGAGCTGTGGTCTAGTGGATTAAGCATGGCACCAGGAGACTGGGTCCTACTGTTGATTCTGCCCATGACTCATTGTATGACCTTGTGTAGGTCACTTAGCCTCAGCGCCTCAATCACCCCATCTGTCATAAAGGGAAAATAATCCTTATTCATATAGGTCCAAAGTGTTTTGGGATGAATTGAAAGTGTTCTGTAAGTGCAAAACATCATTAGATTCACTGGGAACAGAATTAAGCCTTAAATAGCAGCTTAAAAGAAATGTGGATGTCTGCAATCTATTTGGCCTTTAATAATTAAAGGATGGCTGGGAGGCTTCCCTTTTTTAAGGTATACTGTAAGTAGTGAATAATTTAATCTTATGCAGAAGAACAGACTTTCCTACCATTTTGAGTGGGCACACAAACCCAAATTCAGTGTTTATAACTCATACGACTCCACCAAAATCATAGAGTCAAGGGGCTTGAATGGGACGTAAGTCAATAGGCTTTAAAGATGCAGACAAAATTCAACTATTTCTCAGAAAGTAGCTCAGTGCAATATGGAATACTGAGAAACAGCTACCTTTGAAACATGAGCTAGGGTATAAGGTAGCCACTGACACGGATGACTTGAACAACTGCAGGCAGGTGTGAAATCTGAAGGAAAAATAGTGTGTCCTCTCTTCCTATACATAATAATTTTTTGTACTTTATTTTAAAAGGGCTTATTTTAATTGTATGTTGAATTGAAATGAATTAAGTTTGAATATTTCTAATGCTTACATACCCATCTCCTTAAAAATAAGGTCACACTGTTTTAAACTGAAGTTATAATTTCTTTCATTAAAAAAACACTATGTGAATATAATGTTATCATGATTTACCAGATAAGAGATATCTTGATCATCTTTTTTTAGGTGTCTGAATTTTGCAGTGATACATTCCTATATACTGTGAGTTGTGCGTTTATATTTGATTCTGTGTCTGACGTTGCCACAGTACCAGACATAATTATAGATAAAGGAACAATAAACCTTTATTTAAATCTCTCTAAGTATGGGACAGCTCCTGCCATCCTTAACTGGGTTGAAAAATACCTTACACTGAGAGCAGACCCATTGAAATCAGTGCCTGGCTCTTCAAAGGAGCCCAGACTTGTTAGGAGCCTGACTCCCATTCACTTTCAATGAGATAAGGGCACCTAACTCCTGTAGGCTCCTTTGAAAATCCCAAACAGTGTTACTACTATGCAGTAATGTACTATTCAAGGTGAATAAAAGGGGCAGCATCTGATGATCTATTGGGTTGTGTGAAACTTCACATAAAAGGCACTATATATATTGTCTTCATGGGTTGTACTGATACTTTTTGTAACTTGGTGTATGGGGTGATTTTTTTGTTTCCGAAGTTTTTCAATTTGTGAAATAGTTTAAACAAATTAGGTATAACCGACATTTAATCTCCAGATGACACCAATTTCCAAAAATGTTCAAGAGCAAGACTGTACAAATTACTTTAACATATACTTATTCTTCTCATATCTACTTCAATTGTGGATTAATGATTTGACAGTCATTTGAGAGAGAAATAATTTAGTATTTTAAATAAACAGTATAAAAATGATACAGATTATTTCCAAACTCCAGAATATGTTGGGAATTATTTAATTAAGTATAATTGATGATGAATGCATTGAAAGTTTAAATCTCTCATTGGATAGGCAAATTTCAATTATAAAGATTTTGAGCTTATAAGGCTTTTTTATAATTATGATTAAAAGGTATGCATCTGAAATATCAGGCTCCAAAAATAACTTCCCCAGCTATGACTGACAGCAGACAAGTGTTCCAGAGCTGCTGTGTAATTGATACCTTCGCAGTTGATTCCCTTAAAAAGTCATCAGTGCTTAGCTGATACCATATGCATTTTATCAGAGCTATTCTTGGAGCTTCTCGGTTTATCTGTGAGTAATATAACCTTGAACACTCCCAGCATACATAAAAAAGTTTGTAAGTTAACCAGACATTTCCCTATACATTTCAAATCCTAATTTAAAATGTTCTTTAATATCAAATGCACTTAAAGAACTATTAATTGAATTTTATCAAAACTCACATTCAGAAACATAAGACATCATTCTTGATAAAGAACTTTAATGTTCAATGTTTATAGACTATATTCTTATTACATACACATACACCATATGCCCATAAATTTACATTTATATTGATGTGTTCTATCAAAATGATTAAATGACTGACAAAGAAATGTAGTTATAGTATAAAAAAAAAATGCCACTAACCTGATTCCTCAAGAGTGCCTAAAAGGAGTGGGCTAAGCCCAGCGAAAGTTTCGTAAACGACGTCCTTATCCAGAGTAAGTTTTTAGACAATCCCAATATGAGAATCGTTGAGCCTCTAATCATTAAAAACAAAACTACACAGTCTTGACAGTGTAGTTTTGCTTTTCTTTGCAATCCCTACACCCGAGGCGAGGCTGGGAATGCACGACTGCTCAGAAGTGCTCACATAGTTGTTTTACTTTATATACCCTGATCTGCTGACAGCTCTGCATCATCATGTCAGTGCCACTTCTGATTGGTTTTCTAAAAAAAAGCATCATGGGAGATGCAATCATACACCACCTGTTGGTCTGATTGACAGTGCTAATTTTGGCAGCACAAAAGGGATTCGCTGAGGAAATGAACCAGTATATTCAGCGTTTATTCTAGTTTAAAGTCCAATCATTTTATTTGCAATTGCTAATTAGTTGCATCACAAACTTAAGAAAAAATTATGAGGAAGGATTTTTATTAAATAGCACAGAACACAGCCAAATCAATAGTGGTCCTGTCAGTCAGATCCAACCTTACAGTCTCTTCCCCTACAATGACTAAGTAGCTACCAAATGCATCTGTCAATCATCAGGTCACATAAGTAAGCTGACCTCTTGCATGAGCCTTATATTGGTAATATATATGTATATTTTTAATTATGAGTTGAAAGTTTGTGTTTGATACAGGGCCGGCTCCAGGCACCAGCTTGTGAAGCAGGTGCTTGGGGTGGCCACTCCGGAGAGGGGCGGCACGTCCAGCTATTCGGCGGCAATTCGGCGGACGGTCCCTCACTCCGGCTCGGAGCGAAGGACCTCCCGCCGAATTGCTGCCGCAGATCGCGATCGCGGCTTTTTTTTTTTTTTGGCTGCTTGGGGCGGCCAAAACCCTGGAGCCGGCCCTGGTTTGATACCAGGTAGATATGACTTTTTTGTTACTGTTAAAAATCTTTTTACTGCTAACTAGATATTTCTTTCAGTAGGACCTGTCAAAAGCAATGTCTGAAATGCAGAAACATGAATGTCAAGAAGGCGCATACACAGCAGCAACTTTTGCAATGGTTTTAAACCCAGACTTTAGCCCTCCCTCCTGACTGCCCTTATTAGGGGCTGGTGTAGGACTCATGCAGCCCTTGCGCCAATGAGCTATGCCTTTCCCATATTGCTTGCTGAGAGGTCTTTGGCTGAGCCGGGCCCAGCTTTATCTGGCTGTGGGGCTAGCTGTATCACCAGCTGTGTTTACCTCAAAACCAGAAGTCAGAGACAGAAGGGGCCTTTGTGCTCTCTTCTGCAGCTGGGATAGTTTATCCTCCTAGCCCCAGCCACTGTTCTAAGATACCTGTGTGCACCTGTCTATCAGGGTGTTAGTACCTCCTTATGCAACCTTCATTTTCCTTTCTGACAATATGGTGCCTAACTAAGCCCCTATCCAGCAAACCACTTAAGCACGTGCTTAACTGGCTCCCTGAGACTTCTCAGTCTTAAAGTTACGTCTGCTTAAGTACTTTGTTAGACAGGGGGTGTAGGGCTGGCTTATTCCCCAAGGTACACAGTGAAAAGAGGTCATCTGTGCACAGATGCCCTTGCAAAAGGGCTGGGGAAAGGGGACAGGCGGGAACCTCTTCTGTGGTACCATCCCCACCTCCTTAGACTATGCAGAAGAATCTCGGCAGACACAGAAACTCAAATGTGAGAAAGAGAGGCTGATGGGGGGGGAGGGAAGGGGCGCAGAAAGAGAAGGTAAATAAAGCTCCACCATGAACCTCACAGGGAATACTTAGGAGAGCAAATACAAACTGAAGTTTTTCTATGCCAGCCCACTTTATGCTCAAGAACCCCTCCTCCTCCCATGGCAGTCCCATAACTGGGAGTGCACAGTCACATTGCCAGGGTGCTGAAGGAAAGGAAAGGAAAGGAAGCTTCTGAGGCAAAATGTCTCTCCATGGATGGAGCACGCTGCAATGTGCTGTTTTGAAAGGAGCGGGGGAGGGTACATCACTTCCCCTTCATAGGCTGACCTGAGGAAAACTCTGTGAGGGGAATCTCAGAGTTTTACACCCTCTCACCCATTCCTGGGGTGGTTTCCATAGAAGGGATTGATCTAGCCTTTAATTTACCTTTCTGGTTAAAAAGGTCATCTGTAAATGCATTTTTTCTGCACAAGGGTAAGGGGAAAGGAGCAGCAGCAATTATTGTAATCTCCCATATTGATGCAATGTCCACCTGACAGTGTTGGAAGAGCGGTATCATACCCCCTTCATTAGTCTATGGTCTGGATGGGGTTAGTCTGAGAGAAAAGCTAGTTTATCCGCATTGATTTACTATCATAGCATGAGGCAGGCCTTGACTGCAGCTAGGATTTACATGAAGGGAGACCCATTTGGCCTCCACTAAAGCATGTATGGTATCCAAAAGAAACCTATGGGATTATGAGGGGTATAAATGAGTGCCGAATTTTTCATAGTGAAAGGAATTTACTCTACAACAACCACATTAGGAGGCAGTAAAATTTTCTCCAAAGTTGTGCAAGTGGTAAAACTGGTGAAAAATCATGTCCGTGATAGCATATTGACTTCAAATTTCTCTCTTTTTAAAAAAAAAAAAAGTAAAAGTCACTGGTGTTATGGAGACATAAGTAAAATGAAGAGTGTAGCATGAAAATCATAGGGTAAAATTAATCATTTTTAAAATCTCAAAAAAGCTGACATTTTGCCTTTTCAATATGTGTATTTTGGTTAGGAGGTCAAATGTTACTATTTTTGCTGGGAAAGGGGGATGAAAATCCCACAAGTGACAACATTCCTTTAAACCAAGTCATGAAGTATCACAGAAAACTATGGTTTTGTATCTAAACATGAAGCAAAAATGGAAAATGTTCTGTAAGTGCAAAACATCATTACATGTTTAAAGCTGCATTCACCAACTCCAACTTTTTTTGCATATATATATATATTGTGGTTTGTAACAGGCACAGGATTCCACCTGCACGAAGCTCATTGCAGGGTAAGGGTGTTGGGGCAGATCCTCAGCTAGTACAAATTGGCTTAGCTCCATTGTCCTTAGAGTTTATGACAATTTACACTTGCTGAAGATCTGCCCACCGCCTCTTTAAAAAAACAAAACAAAACAAAACACGGTCACATGCAATTTCTTAGATAATGATAGCTCTTACCTAGTGCTTTTCATCTTTAGATCACAAAGAGCTTTACAAAAGGTCAGTATCTTCATCCCCATTTTCCAGATGAGGAAACTGAAGCACAGGTAGGGAAGTGACTTGTCCAAGGTCACCCAGCAGGCCAGTGACAAAGCTGGGACTTGAACCCACGTTTCCCAAGTCCCAGTGCCTTGTCCACTAAGCTACATTGGCTCATAATATATCATATCATATATACAAGTTTCCCCTCCCACAAAACCCTTAGAGACACATTAGCCCTTGGAGAAATGGGTACTACAATGCACATACTATTTCTCAAAATATACAGTATGTCAGAAATAGAATGTGATCTTTACTGTAAGAAAATACTATGGGCCTGATACTACAAATACTTCGGTATGTGAGTAATTTCACTCATGCAAGTAGTCCTTTTGACACAATGAGTGAAGGTGCATAAGGGAAACAATTACTTCAATGGGCCTGCATGTGGAAGTGTTACAGGATCAAACCTTTAGTCATAAGAGCGTGAAACTATAACTTCACTGTTTCCTGACTTTTGAATACTTCACCATACATCTTTAACAGGCTCTTAATGTACTTTTTAAATGGGGTTTCCCTAGTTTATTAAAAAAAATAAAAATCAATAATATGCAGCTATTTGCTTAACAGCAGTAGAGTGCACTGTACTGCAAAATATATGCAGTCGATAGGACAGGAGCCCTGTGTTCTTTCCTGCTCCCCTTCCCTTCCCTCTACACATTCATTCACCAAGGCTTTGTCTACAATATGAAGACTATACTGGCATATCTATGCCAGCAGAGCCATGGAGCATAGACACAGCCTACACCCAACAGAGGAGCTTTTCTGTTGGTGTAGGACCACCACCTCCTTGAATCACATTAGTTACATCAATGGAAGATGAATCTACACTGGGGTTTTTGTTGACATAGCTATGTCAGTCAGGGGTATGTTTTTTTCATACCTCTGACAGATGTAGCTATCCCAATATAACTTTTCAGTGTAGGTCAAGCCTAAGTGTATGGACAGAGGTAGAGCCCCACCTCCTCCCCTATGTGCCTTTGTTTTCTTTATACACCTTCTCTCAATGTGAAAGAGTAGGTTGCGTATGAACTTGCCACACCACTTGCAGAGCCAACAGAACCTTGACAAGCAAGCAGTTACTGAATCACATTAAACAAATCAAACCACATGTACAAAGTGTTTTTCTAAACCCTTATAAAACTGACAAGCCAAAAATCAGTTTTCACCCACATGACCTAGAGAATAAATCCCTGTTGAGCTGCTAGTTTTCTACCCTCTACCACTGATCACTAGAGCTCTTCAAACCAAAACATTTTTGTAATTCCCCAGCTTCAGCCTTGAAAATGGCTGAACTGCTCCTCCCCCCTCCCAAACTTTCCAAAAATATTTTCTCCTGGACTGAAAACAAACATGCCAAGTTTCAGTCTGAAAGACAAAAATTTTATAAGCAACAGAAAACATTTGCAATGACATCTGTATCCACATAAGACCTCTAATGAAACAGCAAGTATCTTTGGCCAGACTGATGGCTTGGGATGCTTGCACTACATTACACAACCATGTGAGAAATCCAAGTTCCACACTAACCAACCTCAGGGCCCTTAATGGAGCCTGGAAATATGACAAAGATGATGACAGGAACATGGAGAGAATACACAGACTACGCTGATCTTCTCCACTCATAGCACTTCCTAGAGGTCAGCTATTCAGTGATAGGGACTGGAGGAGAATGCCTACATTTACAGCTGAAAAGTTGATGCTGCTGTCAAGTGCTGGTGCTATCTGACATGATGGGATAAGTTAAACAAGAACTGAGGCTTTGAATGAAGAAGATACCAACTAGGAACGAACCTCCCTATCTCTCCTCAACACAGTCTTAGTTGTTGTGTGTGTGCATGTGCATGTGTGTGTCATAAAATAGCAGGGAGATGGTCTCCATAATGTATTAAGTCTTTTCCATTTTTAATTTCTAGGATTCTATGAGTGATTTAGGTGTGCTTATTGTCAGAAAAGTGATTATGTAAACAAAAGACACCTTAACAGATCTGTTCCCTGTATGCATTCACAGTCATATCTATTTGCCTTGCTGACAAAGACAAATCAGAGCAGCGTCACAAAACTATGGAAGAGTATGTTGGATTCTGTTTCATATATTACCTATCACATTGTTAATAAAAAATCCACAGCTGGAACTTAATCAACAGTCATGAGGTGTAAGCCAGATAAGGATTAGGAGGGGGAAAAAAAACAAAAAATGGGAAAAAAAATAAACCAAAAGCAAAAACAGAGCTTGACTTTCAAATCCCAAGCTGTGTCTGCAGGTCTGGGAGTTAAAAAAACCAAAAACACTGTTTGTTTTTTCAATGAGCAAATTGGCTATGGAATCAGGGACAATAGACATAAAACACCACAATTTCATGTTCACAGAATCACTTTTTCAGAGATTTAGTTATCCTGCAATTTCTAACACCACTTCTATAAACAGTCCAGCTGATAAACACTTTAGTTCTGTAATGTCTCTTATCAATTTTAATTTTACAGTCTATGTGTGAGACGTAATTAAATAGCCCATACGCCAATTCTCTGGGTTTAAAGACTATTAAAAAATGAAATATTAAACACTGGCCTTTAACCCAATGTCAATACCTGTGTGAATAAGATATACAAGTGAAGTATTTATTGACTGAAGATGATTATAGGGGACTCACAGAATATAGGTTTTGTCTTTGTTGATTTTTATGTTCATGGTTTTAGATTGAGAGACAGCTGCTAATGTGTTATTTGGGTCCCTATTCTGCAAGGGTGAAGTTCACCCCCATGTGTAGAGGGCCAGAGCAAAGTCTTAAGCTTCCAAAACAGGACTACAGTGGGATTTAAGTGATGCATAAGCCTAGTACTCACCTGGGAGCACAGGACATTCACTTAAAGTATCAATTTTCCAAACCTTTGCACCACAGATGTGCTTTACAAAATGCACACGGCACCAGCTATGTTGACCAAAGAACACACAGTAGTATAGGAATAGGAGGCTGTGTTGCACAAATTGTCTGCTGCATGGGGCTTTGAAAATTTAGATCAGAATGACCATTGAGGAACAGCTATTTTAGAGTCTGAAAGTCCTGCTGGTTCAACTGCTTCTCAAATTGCCAACCAAACTATGGCTTTTACTGCTCCTCTTCCTCCAATACTTCCACTGCAGGTGTGAAGTGGCTTCCAGAACGTCTGCTGCTGATCTGGTGGTAGTCTTGGAACTCTTTAAGGACAACTGTAGGAGCGTCTGCAACCCAAAGGAGGAAACCCAGTTTTCCAACGTAAGTGAAAGTGACAGTTGGCCTGTCTATCACCAGGCACTATAATGCAAGTCTTGCAAACAACATGCATATATGAATAAAGTTCCTATTAAGCTGCCTTAAAAAGTTTCATCTGCCCAGGGACCATCTTAGTAGCAATCCTGACTAGGCCCAGCCTTCCAGTTGCCAGAAATGATTGCTTGTCCATGCACAGCCTCCCTAGGAGCATTGCCAGAGATCTTGGGAACTGATCAACCCCCCACCCCAGGTTTTAAATACATAGGATTAGCCAGCCATGAGAGACAACAATTTATTTCTATCATTCCCTGATTATAGAATCCATTAACTCTTGCCTGTGTAAATGAAAATTGAAGAACTGAAGTCCTCCATTAGCTACTTAAGAGGAAAAAGGGGGAAACCTGCTCTTCTCTCATTCAGTTGCTTGTGTACCACACTTGATATTTGTTCTCAGTCTTGCTGACAGAATGGGTACAAGAAAACTGACCTACCAACAAGGACGACTGTGGTCTTCAAAGGCCTATGAAAAGGTACTTAAAAAAGTAGAGGGGAATTTACTAATATCACATATAAACACACCTCAAAAGAAGGTGAGTTTTCTAATTTGTTTTATAAGCCAGGATAAAACAAGTGAAGTCGAAACCACAACATTTACGTCAAGTAAATTCTGCTATGCATGTGACTTTATTAATGAAATATAGAGAAACAAATTACAAATTCTAATTACTAGCATGTTCTTAACAGGTATTAATTAAGCAGTACTCAAAGAGTCCCTTCCCCCCTACCCCCCACAATGTCAAATCTCCATGAAGATTCACAGCAAGCAATTAGTCCACTCATAAATTGGGCATCCTGAAGTTCAACCCATCTTCTTAATTAGATTTCCCCTATAATATCCTCTGGACTAGCCAAGAGAAGTATGGGATCATGCTTCAAACTGATGTTAACCTCTTGCGACTCCACATGTGAAAAATAGGCACTCTGCAGCCAGTGTTCATGTTTTAACCTGTGCAAGCAAACACATTTAAATTAATATCAGCTACATTTTAATCTGGTGTAAATTACCACTCTTCATTCACCATTCTGTGGTGGTTGACAAAACTGCTCCTAAAATATCCAAGATCATGGACAGAAGTATGGAGTAATCCCATCCCTAACAGATTAGATCACTGGACTAAAACTTATTATATTACTGGTGAAGAGTAAGAAGTAGCAGTGTTATGTACAAGCAGAGGAGTCACAACAATAAAACAAAAGTCTTCAGGTTTTTGTTTTTTCTTTGGATCAGATGACATTTCACCATGATGCACAAAGCATGGACCTTTGCCTACTCAGCTGGCTTTGAATAGGAGGACCAAGGGAGAAAGGATTTTTGAAGAAATAGAAGAGCAGTTTTTGCAACCAATATGCTGCCCATGACATATGTTCTAGTTCTCTTTCCTGTGTTATGCGCTTTGATTCAGATCAACACATATCTCACAGGAGATGGGAAGAGATTGAAGAACCAGCATTCTTGCACTTTCATCAACATAGCACAGCAGAACTTTTAGAGGATGTGAAGATTACAGAGAAAACTCAGATATTTATTCCTTCAAGAGAGATCATCAGTTCAAATGAAGGAGCAAGAATACCACAATAATAATGAAAATTCTGGCAGCAAATACACAATGATCTGACCAATATAAAGGTTAGATCTTGGGTAGAGTGTTGAAGGCTAGTTAGTAGCATGTTGACTGTCCTACAGACACTCAACCACTTTCACAGGAAACAGGAACAGTCATTTGCTTCTTGCTAGCACGATTCATGGAGATGTTTTTCTATTGACTAATCCTAAATGGAAATAATCCTAAATCCCTTAACCTCTCACTTTAGTTTCTCAGGGCATTTTAAGACAAAAAAGATGGCCAAACAATCTACTTTTCACAGAGTTGTAACATGCTTCATTTGAAGCACTGTTCAGGAATTTTCCATTGTTTTTGGTTTTGACAGAAAATGTGGTTTGAGGAAAAAAATAAAGATTTTCCACACTTAAATTTTTATTTTGGAAAATTTAATAAAAACTTTTTGGCACCAGGAAATAAAATCAAAACAAAATATTTAATTTCAGGTCAAGTTGATCCAAATGAAATAATTTTGGTTTGTTGAACTGAGCCAAAATGTTTTGTTTTGTTTTGCATCATTTCATCAATAATCAGTGTCCACTTTAGCTTCCACTGTGCTTCACATTTTTATTTTCCCCTATGGGCTTGATTCCACAACCAAGTGACATCTCTCATAATGCACCATGGTCTCGCCTGAGACTGAACTCCAACGTTGCATTAAGAGCGTCCCACAGCCCTCCAAAATGTTTCATTTTGATAAATTTCAAAAAATATTTTAATGTCATTTTTTTTAGAACAGGTTCCATTAAAGTTTTGATATTTTGACTTTTCATTCTAATGTGGGCTGAAAACAAACATCAAAATACCAAAGTTTCCCACTGGATGGAAATTCCAAGTTTCTCTCAGCTCTCCTTGTTAGATACATCATCTTGAAATCATAATATTCATTAGCATGAATGCTGCTTTCTAATTAGTGTAGTCATCCTTCAGCAGCCTATTCTCCCCCTGCCTCAACCAGCTTCTAGGCCCACTCTCTTATTATGAGAATATTCCATTTGTTTTATGCAGCATTCAAAATACTGTAAAATACCTGCCAAATTCTCCTTGATGTGAGCCGTCAAGTAGCTCCTGTGCCTTGGAAACCTCTGTAACTTAACTTGAAGATCCAAGTGTCATTTCAGTTACTAATCTGTTTTAATGGTTATAATTATGTCACTTTTGCTTTTTTGAGGATTGTAAAAAGAGGGTCAATGGAGCAAATTTACTGCTGTAGCCACTATCAACTTTGGCTTAATTCTGCCTTCAGAAACACAACACACACACATTGCATTGACTTCACTGGGGATGGTGCACATATCCAAAAGTATTGTCTGACTCCCAACCGCAGCAGTGAAAATGCAGTGGATCACCATAATGTGGCATGAAGTCTTTTGTGAGAGCTTTCAATTTTTTTTACAGAACTTTTGGGATGAATTTGCTAAGCATTTCTTAAAGCCCACATTCCAAACCCTGTAACTTGAACACGTTCATACTCCTAGCAGCAGTCACTGTGAACACATTATTTTTCAGGATAGCACTAAACTGATCTTGTGTGTCAGCCAGATAGGATTAGGAAAGATTTCAACATATGCAGGTAATAGTCATCACTTATGGATCTAATATTTTGATAAAATACTATCCTCTCTGGGATAAGACATAGGCTTTTAAGTAGGAAATTATTTTTATCCATTTTAGTGTCACAGTAAGTACTAATGCCACAGTGAGAATATGACCATTGTCTCCTGGGAATCTGGTGACATCATTGATGACTCTGGAGAATTCTATCACTCCTCTCTCCCGCCTTCATTTCACATTTTCATTCTGGTGAAATCTTGGTAACTAAATATATAGGCATAGGACTTAAAGAAGCTGAATAAGGTACCAGGATGGTAAACGAAACCTCACATGTGGGCATCCTCTGCTATGCTTAAAAAACCCTTGTGCTTCTGCTAAGTTAACTTGGGACTTTTTGCAGGACACACCACCGATTTTATTTTCCAGCTGTTGAGTAAAGAGATCATATATAGATAGTGCCTTCTCTCTCTTCAAATGGGAGTGGAGGATGTACTATTCACGTAACATGCCCAGTTCATGAATGCAAGAATTTCCTTGGGAGACACTTGTAGAATGAGCAATATAAAATGTATACAACAAAATTGTCAAGCCTGTGGCCATTTCACTCACAAAATCCTATGCCTGCTTGGCACCAGTTAGTAGTGCATCCTTTTGCAGCAATAGTGTTGATACCTTGCTTCAGCTATACCAGCATGTAATAGAAGCTTTGTTGAATTTTTAAAACACTCTTTATTCAAAAGTGCCTTTGAGCAATTCAGTCTAAGAGGTTGTTATACACAACATAAAATAGCCATACTGGGTGAGACCAATAGGTGTTCTAGTCCAGTATCCTGTCTTCCAACAGAGGCCAGTGCCAGATGCTTCAGAGGGAGCAATTTATCAAGTGATCCATTTCCTATCATCCAGTCCCAGCTTCTAACAGTCAGAGGTTTAGGGACATCCAGAACATGGGGTTGTGTGTGTCCCTGACCATCCTGGCTAATAGCTGTTGAAGGACCTAACCTCCATGAACTTATCTAATTCTTTTTTAAACCCATTTATACTTTTGGCCTTCACAACATCCCCTGGAAATGAGTTCCACAGGCTACATGTGCATTGTATGAAGAAATATTTGGGTTTTTTTTTTGTTTTAAACCTGCTGCCTATTAATTTCATTGGGTGACCCCAAGTTCTTGTGTTATGTGAAGGGATAAATAACACTTCCTTATTCACTTTCTCCACACCATTCATGATTTTATAGACCTCTATCATATCCTTCCTCAGTCATCTCCTTTCTAAGATGAAAATGTCCCAGTCTTTCTAAGCTCTCCTCATATGGAAGCTGTTACATACCTGTCATCATTTTTGTTGCCCTTCTCTGTCCCTTTCCCAATTCTAATATCTCTTTTTTGAGATGGAATTACCAGAACTGCATGCAGAATTCAAGATGTGGGCATACCAATGGATTTGTATAGTAGCATTATGTTTTTTTCTGTCATATTATCTATCCATTTCCTAATGGTTCATAACTCTTAACTTTTTTGACTGCTGCTGCATATTGAGCAATGTTTTCAGAGAACTATCCACAATGACTCCAGGATATTTCTTGAGTGCTAACAGCTAATTTAGACCCCATCATGTTGTATGAATAGTTGAGATTATGTATTCCAGTGTGCATTACTTTGCATTTATCAACACTGAATTTCATCTGGCATTTTGTTGCCCAGTCACCCAGTTTTGTAACACTTCAGTCTGCTTTGGACTTAACTATCTTGGGTAATTTTATATCATCTGCAAACTTTGACAACTCACTGTTTACCCCTTTTTCCAGATCATTTATGAATATATCACCTTGTCTCTGTAAATGTGAGGTAATAACTTTACTGGATCAAGTGAGACAAGCTTTTGAGCCACACAGACCTGAAGAAAAGCTCTGTGTAGCTCGAAAGCTTGTTTATCTCACCAACAGAAGTAAGTCAAATAAAAGATATCACCTCACCCACTTTGTCTCTCTAATATCCTGGAACTGATAAGGCTCGAGTGACACTACATACAAATTACATTTATGTAAGTTACACTTATGTTCTACTGTATAGTTAGTTACAAGATTTTATAAATTGTATATGGATCTATGGTATCTTCTGATAGATATCTAAATGCAGATGATAGTCATGTTACGAGTCACTTACTCACTTTTGGGTAATGTAAGACAACAGGGTCTTGTGCATGAGTGAAGCTCAGTACAGCCACTACAGTATATTACAAGACACAGTATACTCAGAGTAAATCTGAAGTTACCTCACTGACAGATGGTTAGCCATTGGCCTTTGACCTTTCATACAATATGCATCCTGACCTTGTCCCGCTTCAGTTGTAGGGACAGTCATTTTTTCTGAAAAATATCCTTGTTCCTGTTTTGATTTTGTCTCAGTTTCAGTGGGAATTTCTGGTTTTTCATTTTTCTCTGAAACAAAACATATGTCAGTGAGAGTGGTAACAAAGTTCTCTTTAATTATACTAATGTGCATTGGAGGAGGGGCATTCACCTGTAACTCTTATGAAAGCTGAACAGTATGCTTCCCCAACTTCATTGCTTGCAACACAAATATATTTCCCAGTATCAGCAAGGACTACATTTCTTTTTAAAAGGTAATAGGAGTCACCTAATTTCTCAATCTGTAAAACAATAAGATATGTGCAGACAACAATTAGTAGCACACAGCAAGATATACTATGTCCTTCCCCAAGGAACACTTTAAAAAACTTAAGACATACACTGATGTTTCCAGCTACCAGTCTGATATCATCTTTAGTCCAAACAACATTTGGTCTGGGTATTCCACGTATAGTGCAATGCAGGATTAAATCTTCTCCTTCTTGTAGAGTTGTATGTCCAAATTTCTGTATGAAGTTTGGTTGTTTTCCTTGTACTGAAAAAAAGCGTATACCGTACTTGAAATGGCACAACTAAAGCAAAAAAATAAAAAAAAATAAAAAAACACCTTCTGCTTTCATAATTTTTTGATTATTGCATGGAGAAAAGAATCCATGATTATGGTTGAATCTCAAGAGTACTAGTTTACACAGCAGTAAAGGACAAACATCTTTGAAATTATATTCCTTTTATTTTGCTTTTTGCCTGTGTGATATGGAGTGGGAATAGTGAAACTCTCCTTGGTACATAGGGTGGTGAGCATCAAGACCTCCATGCATCAGGAGAGTGATATTAATTTAAAGGTAGCATTAGATAATCAAATTCTTTTTATGAGTAATAGATAAATATATGGTGGATTACCTTATTGCAGTAAATAGTAAAACACATTTCCTACAGAAGTTTAAGGAACAATGTCAAGACTGGCAAACTTTTGGGCTAGGCTTACTGTTGCACATCATGCTTTTCTTGGCTTTGCTTGTCTGTGCCATCCTTCCAGGTTAGCAGCTTAGTAAAGCACACAAGAATCCTATTCTACAAAAGGGTCAAATTCACACTAATACTGAAGGACAGAACAGCATTTATGCACTCTTAAATTACCACTTAAGCCCCACATGAAAAACTAAGGTAGATTGCTACAAAGTAAAGGATTTTTAGAGCAGTCCAGACACTTAAATCACATCTTTCTTCCCCTCCACATCAGAAATATATACTCTCTTTTTCTCCTCCATTATTTCATAATATACCATAGCATACAGATTTATTAAGAACAATACAAGGCAAACCCCACTGTATGCATGCTAGCTACCTTATTGTGAGGGTAAATGCTTTAGGCACAGACAAGACTCTCATAAATTTGAATCAGTGAAATATTTTGGATAAGGTCACTAAACACTAAGGGTATGTCTACACTACGAGGGTAGTTCGATTTCACTTAAATCGAATATGTGGAATCGATATTACAAAGTCGAACGTGTGTGTCCACACTAAGGACAGTAATTCGACTTTGTGAGTCCACACTAACGGGGCAAGCGTCGACATTGGAAGCGGTGCACTGTGGGCAGCTATCCCACAGTTCCCGCAGTCCCCGCTGCCCATTGGAATTCTGGGTCGAGCCGCCAATGCCTTCTGGGTAAAAAAATGTGTAGAGGGTGCTTTTGGGTAACTGTCGTCATCCGTCCGTCACTACCGACCTCCCTCCCTCCCTGAAAGCGCCGGCGGGAAATCAGTTCGCGCACTTTTCTGATCAGTGACAGCGCGGACGCCACAGCACTGCGAGCATGGATCCCGCTGCGACCATCGCTGCAGTTGTGGCCGTTCTCAACGCCTCGCAGCTTATCATACACCTTTCCCTGAGGCAGATGCAGAGAAATCAGGCGAGGAGGCTACGGCACTGCCGTGAGGGCCTGAAGTCGGAGAGTAGCACAGAGCTGTCAGAAACCACGAGACCCAGCGCCCAGGACATCACGGTGGCAATGGGTCATGTGGATATTGTGGAACGGCGATTCTGGGCCCGGGAAACAAGCACGGACTGGTGGGACCGCATAGTGCTGCAGGTCTGGGATGAATCCCAGTGGCTGCGAAACTTTCGCATGCGGAAGGGCACTTTCCTGGAACTTTGTGAGTTGCTGTCCCCTGCCCTGAAGCGCAATGACACCCGGATGCGAGCAGCCCTGACTGTCCAGAAGCGAGTGGCCATAGCCCTCTGGAAGCTTGCAACGCCGGACAGCTACCGGTCAGTCGCGAACCACTTTGGTGTGGGCAAATCTACCGTGGGGGTTGTTGTGATGCAAGTAGCCAACGCAATCGTTAAGGTACTGCTCTCAAAGGTAGTTACCCTGGGAAACGCGCAGGTCATCATAGATGGCTTCGCCGCGAAGGGATTCCCAAACTGCGGTGGGGCTATAGATGGGACTCACATCCCTATCCTGGGACTGGACCACCAGGCCAGCCAGTACATTAACAGAAAGGGCTACTTTTCAATGGTGCTGCAAGCACTGGTGGACCATAGGGGACGTTTTACCAACATCAACGTCGGATGGCCGGGCAAGGTTCATGACGCTCGCGTGTTCAGGAACTCTGGTCTGTTTAGACGGCTGCAGGAAGGTATTTACTTCCCGGACCACAAAATAACTCTTGGGGATGTGGAGATGCCTACAGTGATCCTCGGGGACCCAGCCTACCCGCTAATGCCCTGGCTCATGAAGCCCTATACTGGCGCCCTGGACACAGAAAAAGAACTCTTCAACTACCGGCTGAGCAAGTGCAGAATGGTGGTGGAGTGTGCTTTTGTCCGTCTCAAGGGGAGATGGAGAAGCTTACTGACTCGCTGTGATCTCAGCGAAACCAATATCCCCATTGTTATAGCAGCTTGCTGTGTGCTCCACAATCTCTGTGAGAGCAAGGGGGAGACCTTTATGGCGGGGTGGGAGGTTGAGGCAAATAGCCTGGCTACTGATTACGCCCAGCCAGACAGCCGGGCGATTAGAAGATCCCAGCGGGACGCGCTGTGCATCCGGGAGGCTTTGAAAGCTAGGTTCCTGACTGAGCAGGGTAACCAGTGACTGTTAAGTTTGTGGACACAGAAGCTGAACCTGCCCCCGTTTCTTTACCCAGTTTATGTTGACTATCCTCTCCAGCTACATACCCCCTTCACCCCCTTCCCAAAAAATAAAATCTGTTCTGTTTTGTTAATGAACACCGTTGTCTTTATTACTGTTTTCGCGGGAATGTTTTAAACCGGGGACGCAGACTGTGGCGGGGGGCGGGTTTAGTGTTCTGATGCAAATGATGCTTCTAAACTCCAGGAATGACAGGCTCCGCAGTGGTGGACTGGTTGTTTCAACGGAGCCTGCCAGCACTCCTGGGCGGGACTGCGTGTATGTGTCGGCTAGGTGACTTTCTGGCAGTGGGAGGAGGGTTACAGATCCCCTGCTGCGTGGCTCTGTGATCCAGGATAAGGACCGCTGCATAAGATCAGTAACTGCCCTCCCCCGCCACAAAGTCACAGAGCAACCCCCCCCCCCCAGAACATGAAAACCACCTCCCAGACTGACCAGGGTAACTAGTGACTTCACTGTGTATGTGTCCTGATGCTGGACCTGCCCCCGCCTCTGTACCCTGCTAAAGGTGACTGTCCTGTCCAATTACCAAGCCTCTTCCCCCCCTTCAGACAGACTCTCCTCCAAAAGAAAATCATGGCAACAGTAATTAACAGAAACGAATATTTTATTATGAACCACACATGAAACGGGGGGGGGGGAACTTGTGTGAGGTGGGTAGGAAAGGACTTTTCAAATTTTGAGCAGTCTGCAGGGGTTGACTGAAAGTTTTAACGGCCCTTGCCGCCCCTCCTTCTTTGGACTTTGGGTGAGGGGGGTGTGGGACTTGGTGGTGGGGGAGGGCAGTTAGAGATAGACTGCAGCGGGGCTCTGTCCTCCTGCCTCCGGTCTTGCAGAACATCCACAAGGCGCCGGAGTGTGTCCGTTTGCTCCCTCATTAGTCCAAGCAGCGTTTGAGTCGCCTGCTGGTACCTCTTGACGCCACCTCTCCTCCTGTTCCATGATAGCTCGGTGCATTTGGGACAAGTTCTCCCTCCACTGTGTCTGCTGGGCTAACTGGGCTCGGGAGCAGCCCATTAGTTCTGAGAACATGTCCTCACGCGTCTTCTTCTTCCTCCGCCTAATCTGCGCTAGCCTCTGGGAGTGTGATGCCAGGCTGGGTTGGGAGACAGTCGCAGATGTGTCTGTGGGAATGGGAAAAAGGGAGTGAATTCCTGAGACAGATACATTTTGTTGTGAACAAAGAACATAGTCTTTCTCTGTGAACAAGACCATGCACTGCACCTCTCACATGTGCACTCAGGACAAGGTCGAATTTTCGGCCCTCGCCTTCAGTGCCTGGGGTCTTGCAGTGGCGATCTGAGAAGCAGGGCAGGACACCTGAACTTCTGTAGCAGGCAAACATGGTAAGCCATAGACTTGTGGCTGCTTAAAACTTTAATAGTAGCACTGGCCTCCTTTCACATTGAAAGCAATGCCAGTCTCTGCTGGCAGCAATCAGGCTAGCATGAACTCTGCCCCTGTCCCACCCCCTCGCGGCTGTCCCTCTCCCTCCACCGCGTGGCTGTAAAGCAGTCCCAGTACTAACATTCCCCTGCCTAATTCAAAGCAGGGCATCATGAGCGACATCACCCTCATGAGGATCTCGGACAGCGAGAAGGAACGCATGCTTAGGGAAAGCATGCAAAAACCAGGGCCGTATGCTGCCATGCTCTGCCGTGCGATGATCCCAGAATACTTGATTGTGTCGTGGCGGGGAAACGTCTCGTACCATGGGGGACCAAATAAGATCGCTCTCCCCAGGAACCTGATGACCAGGCTTGAACATTACCTCCAGGAGAGCTACGTAGAGATCTCCCATGAGGATTTCGTCTCGATCCCCGGCCATATAGACCGTATTTTGGTGTAGCTGCACTAGCAGGAAGTAAAGAGTGGAGCGTCTTTGGCTGGAGAATCATGAAAAACCGGACATTGTTTGATTTTTTTTAAATAGTTGGGACTAAATAGTTAAGCGCCTAAGGCAAAGAAATCATGAAAAACCCACTGTTAATATTATAAATATTCCAGTTCTGTTGTACATAAAAGTTTAGATGTTTAAATCACTTCATGAAAAACACATTGTTAATATTATAAATATTCCAGTTCTGTTAAAAATAAATGTTTAGATGTTTAAAGCACTTACTGCTTGATCCTTCCCCTGATTCTGTGTCCGGGCTAACGGCTGGGGACGGTTGGTAGGGGATCTCGGTAAGGGTGATGAAGAGCTCCTGGCTGTCGGGGAAATCAGCGGTGCCAGCGCTGTCGACTGCCTCGTCCTCCTCATCTCCTTCTTCATCTTCCCCGTCCGCTAACATGTCTGACGAGGAACCGGCCGCGGACAATATCCCATCCTCAGAGTCCACAGTCAGTGGTGGGGTAGTGGTGGCGGCCGCACCTAGGATGGAATGCAGTGCCTCGTAGAAACGTGATGTGTGGGGCTTGGATCCGGAGCGTCCGTTTGCCTCTTTGGTTTTTTGGTAGCCTTGTCTCAGCTCCTTGATTTTCACGCGGCACTGCGTTGCATCCCGGCTGTATCCTCTCTCTGCCATGGCTTTTGAGATCTTCTCGTAGATCTTAGCATTCCTTCTTTTGGAGCGCAGCTCTGAAAGCACAGACTCATCGCCCCACACAGCGATGAGATCCAAGACTTCACGATCAGTCCATGCTGGGGCCCTCTTTCTATTAGATTGCACGGCCATCTCTGCTGGAGAGCTCTGCATCGTTGCCAGTGCTGCTGAGCTCGCCACGATGTCCAAACAGGAAATGAGATTCAAACTGCCCAGACAGGAAAGGGAATTCAAATTTTCCCGGGGCTTTTCCTGTGTGGCTGGTCAGAGCATCCGAGCTCGGACTGCTGTCCAGAGCGTCAACAGAGTGGTGCACTGTGGGATAGCTCCCGGAGCTATTAGCGTCGATTTCCATCCACACCTAGCCTAATTTGATATGGCCATTTCGAATTTAGCGCTACTCCTCTCGTTGGGGAGGAGTACAGAAGTCGAATTTAAGAGAGCTCTATGTCGAACTAAATAGCTTCGTGGTGTGGACGGGTGCAGGGTTAATTCGATGTAACGGCGCTAAATTCGACATAAAAGCCTAGTGTAGACCAGGCCTAACAGTTCTATTATAACGAACTCTAGGGCGTGATTCTGCTGTCACTAATACTGGGGTAATTCTGTTCAGCAGAATCATTCCTGCAAAAGTGAGAGCAAAATCAGTATATCCCACAAGAGTGTGCAACACCACTAACAGCAAATTACCATTAGTCCCCCATACAATAGTCTCTGGCATAGGGGCATGTCAGGGGCCAGCAGGGAGTGAGAGCAAGCGTGACTGGGATAGCAAGGACTCAGGACTACCTCCCGGCTACCACAAAGTCTATAATTAAACAGTGCAAGAGGCCAAAACTATGTCAACAACTCAGACCACCCCCGCCCCCATCACAAACCGTGGGCCTGTAAGAGGCATATCTTTAGGTGCTCCCTTTGAAGTGAAGCAACTCCACACCCACCCACCCACACACCCCCTCTCCCTTATTGCAGGCCATGGCTTTAAGCTACAAATAAGAGGTATTTGATGTGGCTTGCATAGAAGCAGCAGCAGATCTGGGGAGAGGGAGTTTATATCCTCAGACAGGGCTCTTATGTTAATGACTATGAAGTTAGATCCTATCCAACGTTGCTGTGTAGCTGGAAGCAGAGGTAGTTTTGGAATGAAAAGCTCTTTATAGTCATCTACTAAATATATTCAGTGAGAGTGCTAAGTAGAGAGGGTTATTGGAAACTATTTAGACCCCAAACTGCCATCCACCAGCAAAGGGCTAGTTAAACTATAGGCCAACACAGGCAACACAATTTATCTGGGATTAAACGAGCACTGGGAAAAAAGTAGGATTGGTCCAGGGAAAAAGTTAAATATACTGAAGGTTTTGTTTTCCAAATCAGGTCAGAGGCAATCTCCCTGGAAATGTAAAGAAAAGTTATGCAAACTGGAAATATTTTAACTGAGAAAAAGACATTTTAAGTTTCAAAATGTTCCATGTGGGCAAAACCCCCAGATTTATTTATTTTTTTTTAAAACAGAAACTTTTTGCTAATGCTTTTAGTTTCAATAAGAACGTTTTGAATGAAAAATTTCAACCTGCTCCAGTACCAAATAAATTTAACTCTCCTCATTTATTCTCCATTTGTCTTTTAGTTTCATATTTCCTACTTTGCAGCAATCAACCCTGTGGCAGCAGCTTCTCTCCATGAAGCACAAGCAAGGTTTTTGGCAGCATAGATGAGCCACTCCTCCCCTGCTCCCCATTTTCTTCGGTCTCTAAAATTTCTCTTTTCCACCTATTTGTCTCCCATTCTCTTTTTTGCCTATTGTCTCTCCCCTGTATCCTCCCCAACTCCTATTCCCTCCCCTTTTGTTTCCCTCTTGCATTTACCTATTTGTTCTACATCCCCTCCCCTCTTGGAGCATCCATATTTACTTTTTTGTGACCAGTAGGTGATCCTGCAAGGTACCAAGCCCCACAGAAAAAAAAAAAAAAAAAAAAAAAAGAATTAAAGGGTGTTCAGATTGGGCTATTAGTCCTTGAAGCTATGCTATTTCCTGATACTAATACATGGGGAAACTGCTCCTGTTGCAAATAAACTGATACACCAAAATGTCATAATGAATTTCTGATGCACCCATTGCAATACAGTTTCATGCACCCCCACAAATGCCTGTGAATTCCTAAGGAGCTGTTCATTTTCTCCATTTTTTCAGTGCTATTGTTTTTTCAGTAAGGCAGAGTCAATGGCTGTGTTGAGGTGGAGTGACTTATGTGGTACCAGTGTTGGCACAAAAAGGTTCTGATGAAAACCTAGCATTCAAAGAAGCTGCTCATCTTTGCCACCATTGTATATCTAAGTAATAGGAAGGGCCCAAACCTTGGAGATGGGCACCTTTAAACATAAAATTCAAAATGTGATTTAGGGCAAATTTCCAGTCAACATGCTGAGAGCAGACATTGTGCCATCCTACAGACTGACATGACTGCGAGCAGCCAAGAGACCATATACCATACATGATGCCTAACCTAGCGAATGCTAATGGGAAGGGGGTAGGTTTAGCAGATAAAATAAAAAAAGAACAAGTTAAAAATCACTTAGAAAAGTTAGATGCCTGCAAGTCACCAGGGCCTGATGAAATGCATCCTAGAATACTCAAGGAGCTAATAGAGGAGGTATCTGAGCCTCTAGCTATTATCTTTGGAAAATCATGGGAGACGGGAGAGATTCCAGAAGACTGGAAAAGGGCAAATATAGTGCCCATCTATAAAAAGGGAAATAAAAACAACCCAGGAAACTACAGACCAGTTAGTTTAACTTCTGTGCCAGGGAAGATAATGGAGCAAGTAATTAAGGAAATCATCTGCAAACACTTGGAAGGTGGTAAGGTGATAGGGAACAGCCAGCATGGATTTGTAAAGAACAAAGCATGTCAAACCAATCTGATAGCTTTCTTCGATAGGATAACGAGTCTTGTGGATAAGGGAGAAGCTGTGGATGTGGTATACCTAGACTTTAGTAAGGCATTTGATACGGTCTCGCATGATATTCTTATCGACAAACTAGGCAAATACAATTTAGATGGGGCTACTATAAGGTGGGTGCATAACTGGCTGGATAACCGTACTCAGAGAGTTGTTGTTAATGGTTCCCAATCCTGCTGGAAAGGCATAACGAGTGGGGTTCCGCAGGGGTCTGTTTTGGGACTGGCTCTGTTCAATATCTTCATTAACGACTTAGATATTGGTATAGAAAGTACGATTATTAAGTTTGCGGATGATACCAAACTGGGAGGGATTGCAACTGCTTTGGAGGACAGGGTCATAATTCAAAATGATCTGGACAAATTGGAGAAATGGTCTGAGTTAAACAGGATGAAGTTTAACAAAGATAAATGCAAAGTGCTCCACTTAGGAAGAAAAAATCAGTTTCACACATACAGAATGGGAAGAGACTGTCTAGGAAGGAGTACGGCAGAAAGGGATCTAGGGGTTATAGTGGACCACAAGCTAAATATGAGTCAACAGTGTGATGCTGTTGCAAAAAAAGCAAACGTGATTCTGGGATGTATTAACAGGTGTGTTGTGAGCAAGACACGAGAAGTCATTCTTCCACTCTACTCTGCTCTGGTTATGCCTCAGCTGGAGTATTGTGTCCAGTTCTGGGCACCGCATTTCAAGAAAGATGTGGAGAAATTGGAAAGGGTCCAGAGAAGAGCAACAAGAATGATTAAAGGTCTTGAGAACATGACCTATGAAGGAAGGCTGAAAGAATTGGGTTTGTTTAGTTTGGAAAAGAGAAGACTGAGAGGGGACATGATAGCAGTTTTCAGGTATCTAAAAGGGTGTCATAAGGAGGAGGGAGAAAACTTGTTCACCTTAGCCTCTGAGGATAGAACAAGAAGCAATGGGCTTAAACTGCAGCAAGGGAGGTCTAGGTTGGACATTAGGAAAAAGTTCCTAACTGTCAGGGTGGTTAAACATTGGAATAAATTGCCTAGGGAGGTTGTGGAATCCCCATCTCTGGAGATATTTAAGAGTAGGTTAGATAAATGTCTATCAGGGATGGTCTAGACAGTATTTGGTCCTGCCATGCGGGCAGGGGACTGGACTCGATGACCTCTCGAGGTCCCTTCCAGTCCTAGAATCTATGAATCTATGATTCAAGTGTATGAGTCAAAGGCTTGCATCCGAGCTGAGAATATTAAAATGGGTGTCTGCCTCTGGTTTCTGTGACTGTCGCTAAAAAGATTAATTTGCACCATTAAGAACAAAACCCAGTCCCTTTCCTAGCTGTAGTAGAAGTGTTTGTGTAGCACTGTGGAATTATGTTGGACAAAGGTGGTGTGTCACATGAAATTTCCTACATCTTTTTGACTCAACTGGATACTATGATGCAGAGTCAATCTTTTGCTAACATAGAGATTTCTGTTCCGTACATCAGGAGAGCGTAGAACCAAATGCTACTTATTTTGGACAGAAAAGGTTCAAACATCTGTTCAAATACAGCCATAAGGTGACAAGGAATCCAGCTTTGATCTGGCTTTCTGTTGAATGTTAGTATATACTACAAAATTTGTAGTGAAAATGGAGTTCATCTTCTAACGACAACAATAATTTTAATGGACATAAACAGACTGCTATAGGCAATCAAGGTTTTCCACCCCTCCTCCTCATCTTGAAACTGCAAATGGATCTAAGATGGTTTTCTAATTTTATATTAATATTTCATCCCATGAGCCACCAAGGCTAGAAGTAAGTTTAGAGCCCCTTTGGAAAGTGCTTCCCACCCCCACCCCCACCCCTACCCCTCCCAGGTCTTCAGTCATATAACACTCCCATTTCTATCTCTAAAGGTCTAGAGGATAGTGGACCTGAAATCTGTCTCTGGTTCCAGGTTGTCTTTTGCCCATCTATCACCCCAGATTAATGTAATTCTTGGATTTGAAAGGGATTTCACATCTGGAGAAACAAAGCAATTATTTCTGCACAAGGTTGCTTAAAGAAAAAAAAACAAAAAGAGCACAGCAGCTCTTTCGGGGAAAAAGGCATCAAGGTTTAGAATGTTTAGATATAGGCTCAATAGAGAGGATTCATCACATGGCTCATCAGGTACCCCGCTTTCCCCACCACACTTAGTGTTGAAAAAGTATATGAAATTGCATTTCACATTCCCTTTTGTCCATCCCACCCAGGACCGGCTCCAGGCACCAGCTTGGCAAGCAGGTGCTTGGGGCGGCAGGTCCAGCTATTCGGCGGCATTTCGGCGGACGGTCCCTCACTCCCGCTCCGAGCGAAGGACCTTCCGCCGAATCGCCGCCGCAGATCGCGATCACGACTTTTTTTTTTGGCTGCTTGGGGCAGCCAAAACCCTGGAGCCGGCCCTGATCCCACCTGGTACATCACTAATCTCTCCTGCCTGGGACTAACATTTCAGATCTGTGAACAGCAGCTCCAACTGCTAATTAAGAAATAAAAAGTCTCCTCAGCGCCCCACCACATGGAAATTCCCTAAGAAATTATGTTGGGCTTAGATGCTGCTCAGCCAATAGTCAGTCATGGGGGAGATCCCAACTCAGGCTGCCTTTTTGGCTAGTAACAGAAGCTTTATTCCAGGACCTAAACAAGGGAACGCTAAAGCTGCTATGGCCACCTGTTCTGGGGCACTCTGAAAACTCAGACAGGGCTCTGGCACTCAGGATAACAAGGGACAGCCCTGCAGGGTGGAACTTTTTAGTGCTAAACCACACATGACTAGAACTCCAGCAACCCGCCTTTCTTCA